CCTTATATAAAATAGGTAAGACTTAACTGATAAGTTAATCCGTCCCTATAATGCCACCGTCCCATACCGGTGCATTAAACCACACAATCCAACAATAGATGTAACGATTAAGGAAATACATCAAATAATCCAGAAATAAATATGATAATATGATATCAAATTATCACAAAATAGGAATGACTTATTATTAATTTAAGCTTCCTATATCATATGTCCTACACAAACTGAATCTTATACATGATGATATTTTATTATATCGTCAAATAAGTATTCTCCGTATCCAATTCATCCTACATATTTAATCTCAATTGCTAAAACATTTGAAAGGATTAAATCCATTCGTTTGTTTAAAACATTCAAATAGCAAGCATCATTATGATTGAGTCTATTTAAATTTATTTAAATTCAAACCTAGTTCTTATTTAATGTTCAGGAATTCTAAGCATATTTCTATGTTCCATCATTCTACATATATGAAAATACATAATTTAAACATATAAAAATTCACACTGGAAATCAAATCAAAATCATGCATTTGTCAATTCATAACACAAGAACAAATATGAACCAATTTTATAAAACCTATGTTCTAATCCAATTAAACATGCATAATTATTTAATTTTATGTGTTTAATAAATCCTGAAATTTCCTAAGCATGTACAGAAACACGAATCAAAAGGAAAGAGATAGAAGAAGAACTTGCTTTAAATTTTCGGATCGAAAGTTGAACTTTTTCTTTCTTGATCTTCTCTCTACAGGATTTTGCTCCTCCTTCATTTCTTTTCCTCCTTCCCTCTCTAACTCTCTCTCTCTCTAGAATATGTCATGTGAATATTTCTAACCCCCTTTTACAACCTATAACTATATATTTATAGGCTAAATAAAATAACCCTAACCCTTTTCCAATCCAAGTCAACTAAAAAACTAAATATTAAAATATTAAAAAGGTAAGTAAAATTTATTAAGTATATAATTTATGTATATCTTTATTAAATAAATAAATTATACACATCCCATTATTTATTAATGGATTATCTAATAATATTTAAGTTACCATAATATTATAAAGTAACTTAAAACTTAACATGTATCAAATCTATGTATATTTTTATTATTTAAATATAAAACATATACATCAGATTGAATATTACTACATAAGTTACCATAAAAGTAATTAATAAATTACTTTCCCTTTTATATATATTAAAAAGGTAAGTAAAATATGTTATATATATAATTTATGTATATCTTTATTAAATAAATAAATTATACACATCTCATTATTTATTAATGGATTATCCAATAATACTTAAGCTACCATAATATTATAAAGTAATTCAAAACATAACATGTATCAAATTTATGTATATTTTTATTATTTAAATATAAAACATATACATCAAATTAAATAGTACTACCCAAGTTACCATAAAAGTAATTAATAAATTACTTTCCCTTTTAGATATATTAAAAAAGTAAGTAAAATATGTTACGTATATAATTTATTTATATCTTTATTAAATAAATATATTATAATACTTAAGTTACCATAATATTATAAAGAAAGTTAAAACATAACACATATCAAATCTATGTATATTTTTATTATTTAAATATAAAACATATACATCAGATTAAATATTACTATCGAAGTTACCATAAAAGTAATTAATAAATTACTTTCCATTTTATATATGTATATAATATATATATATATATATATATATATATATATATATATATATATATATATACATGCACAACTATCCATGGGTAATAATCCAAACACATCTAACCTCCTATCCAAGTAGTCCATGGGACCTAATTGGTTGATCCATCACTACTAACCATAACCATAAAAAATAAATAAAATAAAATAATAAAAGAAAAAAATATTTAATTTACAATTAATTAAAACACCATTTAAGCACGTAATCTAATTAAACAATTAACACATAGACAAATACAAATAATACATAAACACATAATCAAATAATCAAGTAATACCTAATTCAATTAAACACATAAGCAATTAGTCAAATAATCAATTAAATAATTAAAAATACAATTAAAACAAATAAATAAATACCAAAACTATCCTTTTAAAATTAGGGGTATTACACCAATCTGGTCTCATTCTCTCTCATTGTGTTCAACTCAGTGAAATATAGATCAAGGGAAATTTTGAAGAAGATTAGACAAGAAGATGTAATATTCAACATACACTACTCTCCTATGTTTTCTCTGAATCATCCAAGTGTCTTTCAAGCTTATGTCATGAAGAGGTCAAGTATGTTTTGGTTTCAGAAGTTCAAAGACAAGGACCTCTACATTAAGATCAAAAGGATGAGATCATCTTTGAGGCTACTCTCAATGGGGCAGTTAGTAGATACATACTCCAGGATCAGTAACTCAAGTGTTAGAGGAATTTGGGATGATTACTGTTTACAACATTTGAAAGTAAGGATGAAAGCTCAAAATCAACACAGTGGTGGAGAAAGCTCAAGGCTGTCAAAGTTTGAAAACTCATGTTCAAGGAAGTTCTGCACTCAACCCTTTATCAATTCAAGAACTCTCAAGTTGGGAATTGACAAAAGAGTCTCACAGCTTGGTCTTCAAAAGTATTTCAAAATTGAAAGTTTTAATAAATTCAGCTGGGTTACTGAATATCTGCTTCAAGGCTCTACAAGACCACCTCCTCTCAGAGACAAGGCTTCTAAAGTCCCATACTTTAATACTATCATTAAATGTCAGGTTCAGAACTCTACTAGGCCACCTACTCTCAAAGACAAGCTGTTTCTTGATCTTTAAGTGTATCTTGCTGCTATGGTCATTTTTGAAGTTGGTTCAAGGGGTAAGCAGATGTATATTGGTGATTTGCAATTTCTAAAGATGCCTGAAACTACCACTTGAAACTGGTACTCATCTTCATAACTCAAACCTATAGTGTAGCAGGATTTTCTGGTTTACTCCTCTGAAATTGAATTTATTATGACATAATCATGCTACTTTGAATGTTCATCATCTAAGTATGACTTTTAATGATCTAAAGCTAATCAAGTTAACGTTTAGTCAAGAAAGTGACTATCTCAGGTTTTGTTATATTGAACCTGCTTGTTAGATTATGTTGAATTTCAAACCTGAAAGTTACAGTTGTTGATAATTATACCTGCTGTCAGCAGTTACCTTGTTGCCTTTTTGAGCATTACATTGTTGATTCATTTCCATTACATCATGTCCAAGCCTTGTACATGTGTAACTCATTAAGTTCAAGCTGAAGGATCCTTTGATTGAAGAGAATTTAACTGTTTCACCCTTAACCAGAAAGTAACAGCAGCAGCAGCAAAATGCACCTGCTGTAAACTACTATTTTGATACATTGTGAGCTGTTGTGTTGAGCCCTTGTTAATACATCGTGTACCAGCCATAAAACAAGTATAATTCATTCTCTTTATGCTATGTCAGTCTTTGGTTGTTGAGGATTTAAGTTCTCTTAAGGTAGTGGTTTGAAAAGGTTGCAAATCAGGTTTTTATCTCTAAAGTGACTGATAAAGCTTGCACTATGTCATAAATTGATGTTTAATTTACTCTATTTAACTGAGCAAGTGTATTTGGCCTATTAAAGAATGGGGGAGTGAAGTTTGAGCAGGTTCTTAAACTAGTTTACAGTTTTACCCTTAGAAGCTTAAAAGTTAGGGTTTGGTGAGATTAAGCCTACCTGGTGTGTTCAATGCTGTAACTTGTTGTCTAAATTGTTCTATACAATCTAGCAAGTGTATTTTGATGATACAAGGCTATGGGAGCCAAGAGCGAGCTTAAATTGAAGCCACATTGCAGAGTTGCCCTAAGAAGCCACAAAACTAAGGTCTATTAGGGTTTGAGCTCAAACTGTGATGATACTTTTGTACCTTGCTACTTATATTGATTTTTTCAACTGAGCAAGTGGATTCTACCTATTGAAGACTGAGAATATGGAAATTGGGGTGGTTCTAAAGCTAAATTACAAATTTATCCTTGAGAAGACTAATTTGGGGTTCTGAAGAAAACAAGGCTGTTTTGTTATCATATTATTGTACCTTGCTTATTTAATTGAGTTTATCTCTCAAGCAAGAGTATTCTATCTACACTAGTCTGTGAAAATCAAGGGTAAGCACATTTGGAAGCTGGTTCAAAGTTCTTAACTTAAAATCCTAATTCAAGCTGCCTATTATTGATAATCAACTCTGATATTGTACTTCAATTGCTGTTATTCCTTGACCCTTTTGACTTTCAAAGTCAAAAAGGGGGAGAATGCTAGGGTTTTGTCATTAAAAGGCAAAAGGGAGAGATTGTTGATCTAAGATGCCTATCTTGAGGTTTGCTCTTTTAATGTCAAAATGAAAGTAAAAAGGTTCAAAGAGAGTTGATAATGAAGCATTAATTTATTGGGTTTGATCAAGTGCAGTTTGACATATAATAGAGGTTTACACAATGAATTACAAGTTGATATAAGCTCACAGCTCACTAAATTATCATGGAAGTCACTGCAACTCTCTTTGTGCTTGAAAATACTGTGACATTACATGCAATCTGCCTACAGTGCTTAACAAGGGTATTTTGGTCTTTATTTCAATATCCATATTACATATGTCTGTGAAGTTACATTGTGTATGTGAGCTCAAATATTCAGTGTGACAGTCCTATTCAATGTGACAGCAATGTGTTTTTAGTGATCTGTCAAAAGGAATCTGCAAGGGTATTTATGTAATTCTGTGTGAAGCTACAAGGTCCTGACACGTGCACAGTGGTCCTGGAGTGAGAAACTATGGCCAGCTTTACATTTCTTGGAGCTCAAGATCAAAAAGGCTTTTCTGGTATACACATATATATATTGATATTGTTTGTTGATATATGCACTAAAAAAGGTGTGTTGTCAAGGGGTATAAAGGTACTATTACCTGTACAATGTCATATTTGCTTTTCTCACTGATTAGAAGACCTCAGCTCAATCCAATCCATTGGTTTTAGGGTTGTATCATCAATATAAAGGCAATGATATAGCAGCAGCTAGGTTTAAGGGCCTAAAATATACATTTTCAGTACTCTCTAGAGGCTGTTCTTGAGTGACACGAAAAGGGGAGCTAAATGAAAATTTATGAGTACTAATTCAACTATGTAAGCCCACTTTTATCTCAGAAATTGTTGTGTGGACATGACATCTTGAAGACTAACATAGAAACAGTGCTGCTAAGCCTTGTATGATGCTGTCAAGGCTGGATTAAGGTGTCCAAAATTGTTCCAGAGGTTCAAAGTGCTAGGAGAAGGTTAAAGCAAGTTTGATATACTTATTTACATCTACTAAACTCAGGTATTTGGCTAAACTTGCACAGAAAATAATTATGAGTTCATTCATCTCAGGTTCAGCCTACTTTCTGGTTTAGTCTTTTGATTTGTGTAGTAAATGATTATATCTTGCAATGAGTCAGAAGTTAATCATCCTAGCAAGTTCCTATAGTTGATCAAAGATTGTTGAAGTTCAGTAATTGCCAAAAATAGAACCAACTTGTTGTTTGGCCTTGTGAACCTAAGGAGTTAGGGTTTAAGGCTTATTTTCTGTGATTTGAACTGTGAAGATATGATACTATGCTGTCATTCATGAAATTATCATCTGAGCATGTGTATTATTATGAAATATAACTGAGAGTCTCGAGCACAAGACTGTATAGCAGTGAAATTACATTTCAGTCTTTTAGTGCAGAGTTTCTGCAGAAATAAACAGGTAGCAGGTTTTAAGGCTGTGATTGTTGAACTTGTTGATGTGATTAACCTCTTATCTTTTGTATGAAGATAAACCAAGCTAGTGAGAGTATTTTCCATGCCTGAGACATAGCAGAATACCACCTACACCCTTGGAGTAAAGGCATAACAGTAGCACCAAAACTGACCCTGCAATGAACTGTTTTGTTGCTGGTTTGATACTACATTGTCTAAATCTTGCCGTGTTAATTAAGGACACTTTCTGAGCAAGTGTATAATGATCTTATAAGAGTGTGAGAAGCTGAACAAACCTTCTGAAAAGTCAAATTTCCAGAATTGATCTTGAAATCAGGTTGCTACTGTCTTCAGTTTTAAATAGCCTGTTGTGTGCTGTCAATGACTGGAATTTGTATTGGACCTGTATAACTTGCTTAGTTCTTGAATCTCATATGTTGAGCAAGTGTAAAGTGAAGCTTAGGAGTAGAGATTGCTAAGGTTTGAACTGAACTAAGGGGTTACATTGCTGAGTATCTTTGTTGCTGCCTATTAAAGCTTATTTGCTGAACACAAACTGTTTTGGGGCTGACATTGTATTACCTTGCTGAGATCATTGAGGAAGATTTGTGTGCAAGTGTACTTTGGCAATAAAGAGCTTTGGAAGACAATTGCAGGCCATTCTTGGGGCTACATTGTGAAGTTAGGTCATTCCCCTTGATTTTAGAGTTTTTGCCTTTGGAAGCTATTGATGATCTACCTTGCTTCTCCAGTTGTGTGCTTTATTCAAGCAAGTTAGTGGTGTTGCAAAAAAAGCTGTGGAAACCTAGTTTGAGTTTACTTTAAAGCTGCATTATGATTTGACAGTGGTATCCTTCTTGTTGCAGAAAAGAAGAAGCTAGGGTTTCACTTCGTTTACTACTTAAGGATGTGTATTGAACTCTCATTTGTTGTAACAGCTTAAGTATATTGTTCCTATTGTATTGACACATTATTCCAATGTTTGTTTAGCTATTGAGAGCTTATTGGTCCAAGCAAGGGTGCTTAGGATAGGGGGAGTGCAGTGTGCACTAGGTGAGCTAGTGTGTGAGTATTGGTTGTGAAAACTAGTGTTTTTTCTTGTACAAGGGTGTGTGCAGAGAGTGAGATAGCTGAGTGTGTAACAAGGTACTCGCAGCTAGTGGAGGATTTATTGGCTAAGGCCAAGAACCAAGGTTTTTCCCTATTGAGAGGGTTTTCTTTGTAAACCTTGTACAGAGTTTTCCTTCAAAAACTCAAAGAAGCCAGCATGTCTCAGCACCAGCAACCCAGATACCTGAGAAAAGACAAAGGACAGAGGAGAGGTTCACACCTCCTCGTACTACATTAGCTTGGTTATTCCAAGAGAATAAAGCAAGATTCACCTCCCCTCAACCAATGAGGCAACCCCTGGAACAAAGGGACAAAAGCAAACACTGTGTCTACCATAGAGATTATGGGCATACAAATAATGATTACAGATCCCTCAAGCAACAGGTGGAAAATATGATAACCATAGGAGATCTAGCAGACTACCTCACACCAAAAAAGCAGACAAGGTCGAAGGAAATCAATCCTCGAAAAGTAAAAGGAAATCAAGTAAAGGTCATTCATGTGATACATAGGAGGTCAGAGGAAGACCAAGAGTCAGAAGAGGTGTAACGTTCCAGGTTAAGGGCAGCCCATAAACTAAGGAGGTTATCCTCAGTTAACACTATTGTTTCAGGAAGTATTAATATTCGGTTCGGAGATAGAAATCTATCCAGAGTTCAACTCCCCCACGAAGATTCACTTGTCATCAGTCTTCTGGTAGCAAATTGCATGATCAAAAGAGTTTTAGTAGACCCAGGTAGCAGCGCCAATTTTATAACAAAGACAGTCTTTGAACAATTAGAGATCCCATCATCTTTAATTCGGCCCACTTCTAGTCTATTGATGGGGTTCCATGGGACGAAGGTGGACCCCATTGGAGTAATCGATTTATCTGTCACTGCTTTGAAAAGGACATTGAAGGAAAACTTTGTTCTGATAGAAATTCATCCTTCCTACAATCTCATTATGGGAAGAGGTTGGATCTACCGAATGAATGGGACCCATCTACCCTTCATTAGGTAATGCGATTCTTATCCCTAGATGAAAAAGAGGTCATTAATATTTAGGGAGATCAAGTCACTGCAAAAGAGTGTTACATGCTGACATTGAATGAGGCAAAGAAGAGGGTCAAGCAGTCCAAGCCAGATGCGACCCCTGAAGATATTCCAAAATAACAATTACAGAGTCCTCTGCCCAAGTACTTGAAAGCAAAGGAGGAAACGAAAGCTACAAAACCTACCGAGGAATCTCTCGAAACCGTCGAAGTTGTCCTCGGCGACCCCCAGAAAATCACTCATATAGGTTCTTCCGCCACAGTCGAAGAGAAGGGAGTATTAATTGATGTCACCCGACGGAATATTGAGGCGTTTGCTTGGGATCATTCGGACATGCTAGGAATTAACCCTTCGATTTCATGCCATAGCCTGAAGGTGGATCTTTCATTCAAGCCAGTGAATCAAAGGCACAGAAAGTTCGCTCCTAAGCACAACCGAATCATTGCTGAAGAAGTAAGCAAGTTGTTTTAAGTAGGTTTCATTCGAGAAGTGCATTACCTACAATGGCTCTCGAACGTAGTGGTGGTTCAAAAGAATAATAGAAAATGGAGGGTTTGCATAAATTTCACCAATCTCAACAAGGCTTGCCCAAAGGATAGCTTTCCACTACCCAAGATATATCAGATGGTTGATGTTATCATTAGTTATGAGAGACTCATATTCCTTTATGCGAATTCTGAATATAATCAGATCCCTATGAATCCAGAAGATGAAGAGAAAACCTCCTTCATTACAGAGAAAGGAACTTATTACTGTTACAAAGTCATGCCTTTCGGACTTAAGAATGCTGGGGCCACTTACCAACATCTCATTAACAAGATCTTCAATGAGGTGCTTAGAAAAATGGTCGACGCCTACATCGATGACATGGTGGTTAAAAGTGTGAAGAAGAAGGATTATCCGAAGCACCTCCAGGACGTCTTTGACACTTTGAGAAAGTATAACATGAAGTTGAATCCTTCCAAGTGTTCCTTTGTGGTCTCTTCAGGGCAATCCTCAGCCATGTTGTCAACAAGAGAGGAATAAAAGTCAGCCCAGCTCAAGCTCAGGCCCTCATATAGAATCAGGAACCAAAAACTCACAGGGAAATACAGGTTCTAACCGGCCAAATCGCAGCTCTTAGCCGCTTCATATCCCGATTGTCTGATAAGTGTAAACCATTTTTTGATACCATAAGATCGAAGAACAAGGATTTATGGGGACCTCAGCAGCAGGAAGCACTCAATCGGTTAAAGTATTACATGGCTAAACCACCAATTTTGTTTGCTCCAAAGCCTGGTGAAGCACTCATCATGTACTTAGCCATTTCTAGTATAGCTACTAGTGCCGTACTAATCCGAGAAGAAGGGAAGAATCAGTACCCGATCTTTTACACAAGTAAGACGATGACAGATGCTAAAATAAGATATAACAAAACAGATAAGAGCATACTAGCCTTGGTATATGCAAAGAGAAAGCTAAGGCACTATTTCGAGTCTCATAGCATCGTGGTCCTTACCAACTACCCTATGCGAGCTATTATTTACAAGCCAGATTTATCTGGAAGAATCACTAAGTGGGCAATCGAACTCAGTTCCTTCCACATAGCTTATGAGCCAAAATTGTCACACAAAGGACATGCGTTAGCCGATTTTCTCTTAGAATATGAAGATAAGCCCGAAAAGGCAGAGCTTCCTGAACCATAATGGGAGTTTCGGGTAGATGGTTTCTCGAATCTAACCAGTGCAGGGGCTGGAATCGTTATTACAACACCTGAAGGGACCAAGCTACAGCAGTCAATCCGTTTGAATTTTCCTGCCACTAACAATGAAGCCGAGTATGAAGCCTTGCTCACCGGGCTTCGATTGGCGAACTATAACACCCCTAATTTTAAAAGGATAGTCTCGGTATTTTAATTAATGATTTTATTACATTTTTGTTTGATTGATTGAATTATTTGCGTATTTGTTTTATTTATTTAATTATTTAATTGATTTATGTGTTTATTTGTGTAATTATTTTATTTAATTATTTAATTACTTTATTTGTTGTCATTAATGTGTGCTTATGTGGAAATTCAATTAATTATTTTGTGGGATTAAATTGTTTTATTTGTCTAATGAAAGTGTTGAATTAAATGTTTTTATTTAGGGTTTTGTATATATGAAGTAGCCGACTTATAATTAGTTTGGTATTAGAATTAGGTTTCAATAGAAGCCTATATAAATATAACATTACGTCTGTTTGGGGTTTAGAAGCAACAAAACTGTGATACCCCTCGATTTTAGAGCCACGGGTGATCAAGTCCGGGCACAGATCCGGGAGATATCAACCAATTAATATGTAAACAAGTAGAATACAAAAGAATTAAAATAAAATAAAATAATAAACTGAAAAGAATTCTAAATGTAAAAATCCTCCACAATAAAAGTTTAGTAAAATTTAAACCTTCCAATTCGTATAACTCGGGAATCAATCTAGCGGACCCCTAATAATCCCAAATGATAAATAAATAAATTTACAGAACCAAAATCCAAAACTAAAATAAGAAAGAAGATCCTATGTAATCGAAAGAGTGAGTGTCTGTATCTGCATCAACACGATCAAGTTCTAAGTCTCGTACTGACGAATACCTGAAAAATAAGAGTAGGTCAGGCCCACATGCAAGTTCCATCCTACTACAATCCATACATAAACCCGATATGCAGATACATCCTAGATAGCTCGGTAATAAAATAGTCCATATAGATACAGATACACATTATAGGACACTCATTAACCTATAGTCATCACACCTGACCAGAAGGTAACACGCAAAACACACGTAGCGTAGTCATGCACACCTAGACCTACCAAGAAACGTCATTAGGTCCAGCTATCCATCCAAGACATTATACGCACCCTAACCGTGATCAGGAGACTCAAGCTCATATCACAATACCATAAAGATATGTATAAATCTTTCCTAATACAGAAAAATAAAACATACATCTGTTATGTCGTTCAACAGTTTTAGTTGATAGGACATGCATCCATGTTGGATTTAACTGTTTTAGTTAATCCATTCCGTATGTATGAAGAGGTAGGACTTAAACTTTTGATCTAATCTATCTCCGATATGCCACCATCCCATACCGTTGCATATAATGCATATGATCCAAAAATGATGCACACTCCAAATGAACATCAAGTATATATTCAGAAACCAACATAATAGAAATCAGATATTGATAAGATCCTATCATGCATCCAGTATATGATTATAATCATAAACCTCCATTTAAATTGCTAGAGTAAAGATACATAATTTAAACCAACCATGTCCATCCAATTGACAAAGCAACAATTATAATCGTTCATCAATTTAAAATCCATAGCATGTTATAATGATAATCAGCGGTAGCAACTGAGCATATCAAAACAAAATCCCAAAGATACTTTCATACTAGTTCATTAATTTTACTAAATAAGGCTAATAGTTTAAACCCTCCACAATCCTTAACAGCATGCAACTTATTATATAAATTTCATGATGTTCATTAAATTCTCAATTGTGAATCTAAAGCAAGATATATTGATGCTCAAAAGTATATACTGAGCACCTCCACTCCAATCCTAAAATACATTCCTATTAGTCCGTTTAATTTATTACGATGACCATTAGAAATAAACTTCCATATTCCGTGACTACATGCAACTATCATAAACTTTCAGGGAGTCCATTAACAGAGTAAAAACCACCCTTCCTGGCCTTCATTAAGTTATATGTATATATATTCATATAACATCCCATAAATAATTTAGTACCAGTCCGTTTAAGTTGTTAAAACAAACTTAGCAAATTGAACCTTCCTCCTTCCTTGACAGCATGCCTATTATATGCTTATGTTTCATGATACCCCTTAAGATTAGCACCTTAGCATAAACCAACTATTTTAAGGTTTTAATAGATTAATTTTTAAACATTTAAAACCCCTTCACTTTTCAAAAACTACATTTAAGCCCCTGTAATCAGAAAAATGTTGCAAAACAACCCGTCAGGTTTTTGTTTTCAAGGGAGCCGGTTCCCCCTTCATGGGAGCTGGCTTTTAGGCTTCAAGAGCCAACTCTCCCTCATAGAGAGCTAGCTCCCTCACATAGGGAGCTGGCTCTCTCTCCCTGAGAGCCTGCTCCTCCGTCTTTCTCTCCTTGAAAGCCTGCTCCTCCGTCTTTGGTCTTCTTCTTCGCTTCTGGCAAAGTCTAAGTCCCTGTCCCTATTTTTTCTTAATTCCTAGGGTTTAATTAAGTCCCAACAGTCCTAAAAACTTCTCATATTCCAACAAGCATTGCTTAACAAAAATTTAAAGCCGAATCAAAAACAGTTTATAAGAAACCATTACAGTTGCAGTTTAAACAAAGGCCTAAAAACTTCTTACAGTTTTAATTTATCATGCAATACTCATCCGTTTTAAAGTTTAATTTACTTCCTGGATGATAAGTGCTTAAATGTTGCACATTTCAGCACCTAAACTAGGATATTTTAGTCATTGCATCTATCTTATTTTCATATTTTAGTTCTAATTTATGTTTTTGTCAATTTCAGGTCAATAAGGTTCAAACAGACTAATTTTGGTTCACTAAAGCCTTTTTGGAGTCAAGTAAAAACATTCAGAAAAAGTTCAGAAAGTGGCAAAAATAGGTTACAGCCCATTGCTCGTATAGTGTGTTTATTCTTCAAAAGTAGTCAATCTCGGGCCTTTGATAATGTTCCCAAAGATGAAGAAGCAAACCAATTAGCTCGGGGCCAAAATGGAACTAAATAAGGTTTAAAAGAAATTTCCAACTCTGGGGGATCGATCCCCCACTATTCACAGAACTAAAAACGCCCTTGGGGGATCGATCCCTAAGGTTGTGGGATCAATCCCCCAGGCCCTGACAGTATTACGAAATTTTGTCTTTTGGGCTTATTTGTTTGTAACTTATGGGCTTTAATAATGTTTGTTACTTAAGGGAAACAAGCCCATTATTTTTAGGGTTAGTTTTTCATTAGTTTTGAAAGAGTTTTATTTTATTTTTTTATTAAGAAGTTTTATTTTTGAGTCGGTATCAATAAATTCTCTCTGGAAAAACACGTAGAAGAGGAAAAAGGAAGAACAGGCTACGGTTAGGAAGAAAAAGCTCAGAGATGATGAATCCAAGGATGGAGATTGTTCTGTCTTCAACTCAATCAACCATGAGTGGCTGATTCTTCTACTTAGGGTTGGATAAACCCTAAGCATGTAACCTATCCTCTCTTTTTATACTTTTTGGGGATTTATATGTAATTATTGTATAGGCTTGAAATATATGAATCAATTCTTCCAAATGTTTATTTGTCTTAATCATATGTTGCTTTATGTGTGGTTGATGAATAAACAAGCTTTACACTTGAATTCTTTGTAAATTGATTCTTGTGATGTCTATACATGGTGATATTTTAGCTGTAGGTTAATTTCTTGTTTAATTAGTTAATCTCATGTTTAGTTAGTTTAATTTAAGGTTAATTAGTTAAATTGCAATTTAATTCCTAGTAAGTAAATCATCCATGCCTGTGTTTGAATTCCATACTTATTGTCACAAATACATTATCTTCTAGATTAATGTAGGCTAGAATTGTAACTTGAATTGATGGACCATTCTTTGGATAGGTGAATTGATTTACACTTAGTTAATTGTCATTAAGTAAATGATTCAAGCTTTAAATTAATGTTTCATACTTTTCATTGCAATTGTTAGCCATATTTAGATTATACATTTTATTTCCCCAATTAGTTGAAAGTTAGTGAGTTAGGGAATGTGCTTAATGGTGAATTCTACACCCTAAGTCTCTTTCTAAACTTTTAAACTTCATTATTTTAGTGCAATCATTTAGCTTACAATTAGTCTAATCACAAAACCAAACCTTTTTGGCAATCACATAAGTACTAAAGTAGAATTCAATTCTGAAAAACCTATAATTGTTTAGATCTCTTGGGACGATCCCTGCTCACTACTCCATAATATAAATGTTTAGTTGTTTTACAAATTTTAAATTATGGTATCCACTTGACATTATTTCTAAACCTAAAGTGTTGTGCATTATTTCGTGCACACGCTCGGTCGCACCATAGTTTTAGCGCCGTTGCTAGGGATCTAACGGTTTTAAAGAATTAAATTAAACATTAGTTCTTTGTTGATTGTTTACTTTTAAGTCATTTTAATTTTTTTTTATTTTCTCATTTGATTTGTCAATTAGGTACTTGAAGCAAAGTGGAGCAAACGCTGGACCTTGAAGCAATTAAAAAAAATTGAAGTTGCTTAAGGACCATTTGTAAGTTTCTCTTTAATTTTTGTGCTTAATTGTTTACTGTCTTGCATGTTTTGGACAGCCCAAGTGGAGGCTTAATTTGAATTATTTTATTTTTAAGTCCAAGCATACCTTCTTGTAGAAGGCATCGGCCGGTGTGAAGGCAAATATTTATTTTAAGTGCATTGATATTATTGAGGAGTTTGGGAACATTGTATGTGAAGGTTAAAAAATTGAAATGTTGGTGTGTTGACTAATTCTAGTGCATGCATGGTCGTAGATCACTTAATCGTCCTTTTGCTGTAAATCAAAATCTTGAAGTTCCCTTCGACATTTAAGAGGTAGTACTAGGGATAGTCATCCTAATTTTTCAAAATTTGATTTTTCATCACCTTTAACGGAAGACCCAATAGATCATGATCTATATAGATTTGCTTTCATTTTTGTTGTCTTATTTGGTTTGCTGTCAAATATGTAAGTGGCCAACTCTTGATCAGATCTTTTGGTGTCCTCTGTTTGTTGTCACAGAAATTGTGCTTTAGACTTTGATCAATCTTGATCAGATCTTTTGGTGTCCTCTGTTTGTTGTCACAGAAATTGTGCTTTAGACTTTGATCAACCCGATGATAACTCTTTATCACAACGCCATCGAGAAAATCTTATCTGTTCCAGGTATCAAGAAAATCTTACCATTAAATCTTCAAACTTTTTGGGCAACTACTTGTGCAAATGGAGGAGTATTATGTAACTTTTTCTGTTTGGGAGCTGCGTAGAATTTTTTGAAGCCATTGTTGAACCCGGTGATGATGAAATAACAGTTATTGGAAAGTGCCATCCTGTAGAAATAGTGAGGAAATTGGGAAAATATTGGCATACAGAGCTAATCTCAGTCGAAAATGGAGACAAGAAGGTTTGTTTTTTTACACTTCGTCCAAAATTTGTTAACTAATTCATATATACAAAGAGCTTACCTTATTTATAGAAGAGGGAATCAATACATTTGGTGGATTGATTATTTTCTCACAATTGTGTTTAGTTTACAACTTCATTGAAGTTCATTATTCATATATAAGATATTCAATTGCTTTACTTCTTTTATTGATTAAGAATGTTTTATTAAGAATAGATCTTTCCTGATTATTTACAATAGCTCACATTGTTCTAATTAGTAATTAACCATACATTTCTGTGTTCTTAGAGTTAAATATTGCTTCGAGAAAATTCGGTGAGAAGCATCTCTAATGGTAGTGTTGGTGATGGCATTATATATATTTGTAGTAGGTGGATTATGTGGGAATGGCTGAGGACTGATTCACGCTCACAGTTCATCAGAATGTTTCGGAAAAATAAGAGGGTTGAGTGGAAGGGGAGAGGATGAGAGGATAGGACAAGGGCCTTGATGGGCTTCACGTCAGAGCATTGTGCTAAATTCAGAACGTTTGATCAAATTTGTTGCGATTCGAGAAGACTCATTTTCAATTGGAAAAGACTGAATAATCAAAACCTTAATAGCCTTAACTGGTTGCTCGTGTTGCTTTTCGGATAAATTCATTGTTTTTGGGCCCTAAATTTGCATTTTTCAGTCCTATTTTACATAAATTCAACAAGAGCAGATTCATTCATTCATTCATTCATTAATAATAATTCAGAATTTCTTGCTTAAAGTGTGTGGATTCAAAGTTAATTTCTTGTTCATTGTTCATAGCTTCCGACACCACCATTTCGCCTGAAGATGGTCATCAAATTATCTGCGGATGGTAAGGCTCGCTCCACAGCTTTGAAGATTGCAGTTGGTATATCAGGTAAATTTTTTTATTTTTTATTTTATAACTCCATATTTCAAACAACCCGTCAGCTTCCTGTTTGTGCTAACTCGCCTCCTCGTTCCCATTAGCCATCTCACCCTCACGAGGTGGGGAATCGAGATGAATAACCGAGTCATTCTGCTGGGGCCCAACATCAGCAGTGACTATGGGAGATACTATAGTTGACGAAGGAAGAGCGATTAGAGGCTGAACGGTAGAAGGAGCTAACCCAATTCATTCATTTGACTAGTAATCCCGTAGGAAAACATATTTGTTCATTCAATTCCACCTTATTATTTCTAAAATCAACCTTACACTTTTCTTCTTCTAGAATAGATATATAATACATGTACGCGATTATAGTCTAACATTACGTTATCGTAGTCTAACGTTACAATGTCGCCTTTTAAAGTAGACTTCCAAATCATTTCCAGTGATAACAATATCATCAACATATACAATAAGGGTAATGGTGCAGCCCTGATGCTTCTTGATGAAGAGAGTATGATCTGCTTGACTCCTGACTCTGTATGTAACCTACTCTTTTCACAGCAGTGCTGAACCTCTTAAACCAAGTACGTGGCGACTGCTTTAACCCATACAAAGCTTTATTTAGCAATATTGTCATGAACAAATTCTTAATTTCAAACTTTTCTGACTTAAAATTTTCAAAAATTGAAAGGAAGATATCCTTGATCTGCTATGATCTTAAACAGTTAATCAATAATCATCCAGGTCCTAAATAGCTTTAAGGTACTGTATGCTTTGGGGGTTTGTATTGTTATATGATATATATATATAAACTACGCATATGTATGAATTGCAGGAGTGGATTTCGTAGGTTTGCACGGGGATTGCAAGGATCACATGGTGGTTATTGGAGTCGGGGAGGATGCGATTGGGCTCGTGACATGGCTGAGGAAGAGTAAGAAACTGGGCTACGCCGAGCTGATAAGTATAGTTGGACTGAGCTCTCCAAAAAAAAAAAAGTATAGTTGGACTGAAATAAGGTGCGAAGAAAGCTAGAAGGAAATTTAAGTGCCTCAATCTAGTTTCTTTCTTTACAGCAAAAGGTTGATGGTTTACAATCTGGAAAATTTGTTAAATTTTCGTCATTAGTGTTCAACACTTGTTTTTGGAGATTATTGTTTCAAAATTTTCAATTTAACTGCCCTCGTCACTTCAGCGTAGTTGCTTTGTTGTAAAATTTTCGAGAATTTCCTTTTAAATTTCTTCTCCATTTGGTTTCTGATTAATTAAAATGCTATACAAAATAAAAGAGAGCTCAAAAATGGCTTTCTTGCCTGGGTCGAAGGATGTAGTTTTCTTGAGCTAATAGCTATTACTATTTTTATCTTTGTATGTAAAACTAATCTGGAGAATACTTTTTATGTAATAATGATGGGAGAGTTGAGATTGTAATCCTTGTTTAATTAGAAATTCAAAGGGAAAAATGCCTGAAAAAATGAGCTTTGTAGTCGTGATTATTAAAACATGAACGAATGCATTTGAATTAAATATCGTGTAATTCATTTAGGTAAAAGTCTACATACTACAATACCCCGGGTAACATATCTCGAGATGGAAATAGTTTGGGCCAGGGGCACGGAATCCCCTCGGACCCAATCTGGCCCATAAAATTATTATATATAGTTATATTACTTGTAAATTTTAATTTTGTACTCCTGAAATTTATTTATTTTCAAACATGCTCTTGGGAATGATTTTGTTTTTTACACATTTAGGTATATAATTTGTAAAGTATTACTTTGTGCCCCCTGAAAGTAAATCCCGACTCCATCCTTGCATATCTCCGAAGTTCTCAGTCGTTGAATGTAGTGGTGGAACTCACCTGATGAATGATCCAACTACTGAGAAATCATGATTAAATTAAATGTCATGTAACTAATTTAGGTTAAAATTTACAATACTTCAAGAGTACCGTACCCTCCAAAGTTCCCAGCCGTTGAATGTGATGATGGACAAGGTATTCACTTCAAATTTATAACTCAAAATTCAGTTGCTTAAAGTATCCATGACTACTAATTCAACAGTAAATATCAAATTATCAAACTCGTGATGTATAGACTAGTGATACAAAATGCCAAATCCCAAATATAAAAACTTGTATCCGAGAATGTAAGGAAACTTCAATTTATGGCATTAGTTAGGTTGTCTTGATCTATAAAATGGGCTATATGACTGGCATTAGCCCTAATAACATATTTAATACTTCTTTTACGATATAATATTATATTGCTAATGCTATTTTAGATTAGTAATAGCAGTAACTAATGCTGCTTTTGTCATTGTTACAACTTATATAGCTAATCAAGCTGGTAGGCCAAAATACATGTGGCCTGTGGTTGTCTGGTTAGGTGGATGCACTAAAAATAAATTTTACTGGTATATATGTGGATCCCAAGTTCCTAAGCATATTTTATTAATCTTCTAAAAGAAATGATGTTCAACACATTTGTGGTAAAGATTCCAAATTCTTTGTTTAGGGTGTGTTTGGATGGTCAAGATGATTTGGAGGGATAGGGAGAGAAAATAAAAGAAATGATAAGACTCAAGTGTGTTTGGGTGGGTTAAATGGAGATAAAAAAGAGAATAAGGAGAGATAGCTAACAGGGAGAGAAAGAGTGGTTTAGTAGCATTTTGATAATAATAAAATTAACCTCCACAAATAAATATACAGGTTTGTTATTTCATTCAAGTCCCAATTAACCACTTATAATTATAAAAAACTACATGAGTAATTTAATTATTATTATTTCTTTTCTTTTCTTGTGTTTGTTGAAAATAAATGTTAAGTGTTTTATAAAAACACTGGAGTAGTGTAAACCCGCTGCACAGCAAAGTATCTGGACTCCCATGGTAAATGCCCCCTGAGTATGTACGGGAGTTGTCAAGTCTTATCCCTTTACTTCACCAGAATATTTATGTATATTATAATGTAAATCATTCTATGGCTCATGTCACGAACCATTGAACACCACAAGTTGCGTAATGTAGAATGTTAATTGGTCATAAACACATCATATATTCTTGATCGTGGCGCTGACTAGGCGCTGATGTTGATAGATTATGTATGATGGAGATTCAACTTTGCAATTAAAGTAATAAATATTTGAGGGTGTAGAAAGTAACTTCAAAAAGAGAGGCAGCTCCTTTGGATCTAGACACTTCCTTTGCTTGGATAGAAGTCTTCAATCCTACACTTCTCTGACCCACCCTCTTTGAAGGATTTTGCCCATACAATCTTTCTAATGCATAATCAAACTCTAAATGGGACTTTGAAATGTTGAAATACTCCCCACTGTATGGTTGACGTCACCAATCCCGTGGTATAAGAAAGTCTAGATTGTCTAATGCATAATCAAACTAACGGGTCAGTGACTTAGCGATATCAATTTTTTACTTTTTAAAAGGAGGTCAGGAATTTAAATCTCAAAAGAAATAAGTATGTGTAAGTACCAACTAGAAATAGAAAAAAAAAAAAAAAAAAAAAAAAAAAAAAAAAAAAAAAGAAAAAAAAGAAGAAGCATAATGAAGGTCTATATGGGACTTTGAAATGTTAAAAATACTCCCCAATATATGATTGATGACAACCATCACTTGACACAAGAAAGTCCTGTTTTTACAATCCGAACTAGAGTCCATTTGAATAGCATAAAACTATAATTTTACACAATATGTATTAGCAAAATACTATAGTGACTGTTTATTTGTCACGAGTAGCTAAATAGTAGCTGTATAAATTGTTTTATTTGTGATTCTATATTCATTCAGAGCATCCATACAACAATGCCACTGAGATGAGATCTTGCAAAGATTTTTTGTTCGTGTTAAGGTTATCATACTCACATGCACTTGGGATTTAATATACAAGTGTACTCAGTAGCTAAAGGTTTCATGTGGAACAAAAAAAGAAAGGTTAGTAATTCACTCTTGTCCTATTAATGCCCCTAAGAGAATGAAGTTTGTTTTTCTAATATTATATACAAAAGAAAAAATGTTTAAAAAATAATAATAAAAGCAGCGAAATATAATGAGGAGTAATCAAAAACTCCAATCAAGTAAACTCATTGGTTCAATATTTGATCGTATCATTTTCGATTGGTTTTTTTTATGTTTTTGCATCATGGTTTATGTCACGACCGTTGCTTACTTCGGAGATATTGTCCACTTTACTTCATTACACAATTTTTAATGTCCTGAATATAAATGTCATCGAACAATTTATTGACCAAGATTTTCAATTTATACAAAAATTGAAAATAAAAATAAAAATAAATCCTAGCCTCCTTCAACTGTTCACATACCTTTGAATCCAAGGAATAGATCTTTCCAACAAACAATGACCCTTCCATCACAAAATTTTGTAAGCTTGGCTTCACTTTCAAACAACCTTATACCATTATCGAGGAGAGAGAGAGAGAAGCATTCATATCGGAAACAAAATTTGTAAAATGAGCATTTCATAATGTAATAATATAATTACCAAAATTTTATTCAACTCTCTACACATGAGTTAACCTGAACAACACAAAGCATCATTATCTATACAACAAGAGATTTCTTGTTCTTGGTGGGTTCTGAGAAGATTTAAATTCAACACCAACTAATAAAAGAACAAAAATCAACACTTCCTTACCAAAATCAACAGATAACACATGCAGTAGGATTCTCCTCCATGCTGTGATGAACTGGTTGGTAGTATGTGTTCAGTGGAGGAGGAGGAGGAGGATAGTATGGCCTGTAATAATTGTATGGCACAATCCCTACCACTGCTGGCGGCGGTGCCGGCTCGGCTTCTTTCTTTTTCTCTTCTTCCTTCTTTGGTTCTTCTTTCTTTGCTTCTTCCTTTGCTTCTTCCTTTTTACCTTCTTCCTTCTTTGGTTCTTCCTTTTTAGCTTCTTCCTTCTTGGGTTCCTCTTTTTTTGCGTCCTCTTTCTTTGGTTCTTCCTTCTTTGGCTCCTCTTTCTTAGGTTCTTGAGCTGGCCCTACTGATAGTATATCTGCTGGCCAGAATTTTCGCAATCTGCTTGCTACTTTCACCGGATCAGCTGTTCCCGTAACTGTCAGCTTCTTATCCTTCATATCTATGGAGATTGAATCAATTCCTACACAATCAAAGTCCCAAAACAGTCAATTGTCTATATATCTACTTCTTCCCTCAAAAGACTACAACAATTCATCGTCTCATATGAATGGGGTCGTCTACATAAATTTTCTCTCTCCTCTCCGATCATTTCTAAAGACTAACAATTGAGAGAGCTAAAAAAAAGAGTTCTTTTTAAACTGAGTTTTTGTTCAACTCTCTGTTCATGAAGTTTTTTCCAATTTATTCCACTAGAACATGAACTATGTTTCATAATTTTATATGACAAAATAAAAATATTGAACCAATCACAAACATTTTTCTTTGAACATAGCAAGAAAGGATGCCACTTTTAAGCATTTTTTTCTTTCATTTCTAGCATAATTGTCAAAAACCCTATACAGAAGAGATTAACTCCTTGGAAAATTTTCAAAATCTTCCATCCAAAGAGCCAGATTGAATAACTTGGACATTTTGAAACACTAATTTGATACCTAAAAGAGAAGAGACTGTTTTCAAGGCCTTTCTCTTGTCCTTGTCATCATGCAAATCCAATTTCAAGATGAACTTCTGTAAACAAAAAAAGATCTCAATCAGAACCTCTCAACAATCAATTATAAAATGAGGACAATAAAAGCTATTGATCAAATCAGAAGACTACAAATAACAACACCAAAGATCTGATTTGGAACCAAAACAAGCTTAAACAAGTAAATCAGATAATCAATTACATAAACTAAATAAAACCCAATTCAACATCTTGTGTATGACCATCAATAAAGATGAGAAGACAAAAACAGGATCTAAAGACCTTCTATTAGAAAACCCATAAAAAAAAAAAAAAAAAAAAAAAAGCATTACCCATAGGAATCAATTGAATCTTATATCTATACTGAAATTTAAGCAAAACCCATTAAAAATCATGCTTTAATTCCTTTACAAAGAAAAAGAAAAGGAATTGGAAAGAGGAATATACTGAATCACAAATAAAGAGAAAATCAAAGTATCAAACCTTCATTTGCAATTCCTTAGGGTGTGACTGAGAGGGTAAAATGCAGTTGGGATGAGAGAACCAAGAGAAGAATCCTAAGAAGAGATTAGAGAGAGATAAAAAGGAGAAACGGAAATGTTGAAAAGAGTGAGATAATACGAAAGCGAATATTTCTTTTATTGAAAGAGATGGAGAATTTTGGGCGAACAGTGAGAGTTTTCCAAATCAAAACAAGAAATGCAGAGTAGGAGAGAGAAAGTGGAGAGAGAGGAATCAGTGCACGTATCCGAAGAATTGCGACCAGTGAAGCTATTTAATCCCGCAGTTAAGAAGACGAAACAGTGAAAGAAGTATCGCTTTCTTGGCAGGTAAAGCCTATAACCACGCGAATCAAAAGGAGCGTGACCGACACTTCCACCTCATGTTAAACACTCGGTATAATTTTTTTTCAAGGTAACGGAGTGGGAAGTAGTTTTTTTCTTTTTTCTTTTTCCATGGCAAGAATGTTAGATTAGAAATTAGTGGGTGAGAAGGCTGGAAATTGGGCTCCCTGAGATGACGAGAAGCAACTCACTGGATTACAAAAGTGTTCACCCAATGAAAGTAATGTTTATACTAAATTCTCCTTTTTTTATGTATATTTATTTTGGGTAATAAGAGTGATATCATTCAAGGAATCAGGGCCAGCTAAATTATAATAAGGCACCGACTTTCCCTCCTGTGGAGGGAATCACACGACAAATCATGTGCCTCGAAACATCAGAGTTGGCAGCAACCTAAAACTAATTAAGGCAACATTTGTTCATTTCTTTAAATACAAAATATTAATTCAATTCGAGTTGTTTTTAGTAGGGTTGATCACGAATCGGATCGATTTGATTTGGGGTAAAGTTCAATCCAATTCGGTCCCAACAGATTGGTGAAATTTGAAACTGAACCGATCCGTGAGAACCTTCAATCCAAACCAAACCGATCCATAAAATAACGGATCGGTCGGGTTTCTACGGATTGGGTTTTCAACAACCCAATATGATTATACTTTATGACCCATTAAAATCTCAAATTAGTAATTAAAAACCTGTAACTAACTTTTCAACATATATCACTACAAACTTAAATTACCTAATAACAAAATAGAGTTAAAAATCATCCAAAAGTGAAAAATATATTGCAGTACCAAATATAAATTATTCAAATCGAACAAAACAGCTCATTAGCATATATATATATATATATATATATATATATATATATATATATATATATATATATATATATAATTAAGGTAACGGATTGGATCGGTTCGTTTAACGAATCAGATCGGTTTTTTTAGTATCCAATCCGTTAACCGAATCGCAAATAACGGATTGCTATTTTTCTAAACCATCACCGAACCATGAGATCTGAAAATCGAACCAAATTACACAGATCGGATTGATTCGGACCGGATTGACAGATTATTTGCTCACCCTTAATTTTTAGAATATTAATATATGGACAATATTTAGGTCCTCATTAGTGAGAATCTACAATATATAGAATAATACTAATTTCCAGAATAATTGTAAATCCTCCTACAAGTTGGAGATTAAACTAAAACAATATTTATGAGTCTTGGAACCTTTTATGAACTACAACAATACTAATAAGTTCCCCCCCCCCCCCCCCCCCTCCCCTTAGATTTCACTAGTAAGCTCTCATAGTTGTTGCGCAATTAACCAATAAAATTTAAATAAGTCATTCTTTGTATAAATTATCACCCAAACTATATTTGTTAGTTTGAAATTTCTTTTAGTTTCATCAAAGCATCAGTATTATAAAGCTCAAGCAATTGATATAGAGGTAGCCGCTGATTCAGGAATATAGAATTGATGCTCTAATTTTCACTTTATATGATTGGGAAATAATATTTTAAATACATATAACGACCCGAATCCGGGGGATCCGAATTGCTAATCAAGTCTGAACCTGACCCCAGGACACCAAGGGCAAAATGGTCATTATAGACCTTACAAGGCATTAGGAGTCAAAATGAAGTCATAATGATCGTTTCTAATCACTTCGGTTCAAGTATAGATGAAGGAATCGACTCCGTTTTCAAATCGGCCCACTTAGGGTTTCTAAGGGTAAAAAGGTCATTTTAGGCCACAAAGTTCATAATTAGACGCGGTTCTATAATTTTAAATACTTTGGAGGTTAAATCAGATGCACACGTTGAAAATTCCGGACATCGAAAAAAGTCAGGAAAAACAGTACCTAAGAGCCCTTAGCCGAGCGCTCGGTGGACACCCCTAGGCGTTCGGCGCTGAGTGCTCGACTACGGAATTTCACTACTAGAATACCTAGCCCAGTGGCCCGAGCACTCGAAGCAGGGGTTGCGAGCACTCGAGGGTCCCAGAAAATGGATATTTTTGCCCTTTTTCGACTCCGTTCCCGTCCCCGAGCTATATTTTAATCTTTTTGACCATAATACCCCTATCCCAACTCACAAGCATGAATGAATGATTAAACGTCAATGCATTTCATCAATCCAAGCATTTATACAAATCATTATGTATCTATATCATTCAAAAACTTGATACATTGCTAGTATATGACATATATAGTTATCTGTTACATGTCCTAAATTATATTAAAATAGTCCAAAAGAATATAGGTTACATATTTACAATGCTTTACAAAAGAATTAAAGTCTATCAAGCATTGGTTACAAAAGAATGCAAAAAAGTACATCCATTGACCCTAGCTACACTTATGAGGATCCGTCATCAACCACGTCCTTGTCGTGACCTGAAAAATGTTAAAGAAATGTGTGAGCACAGAGGTTCAGTGGGAATGTTAGAAGAATGATGTCCATGCTCTAGTTGGCTAAGAATGTGTGAATTTGTATGCCTACATGAACAAATATGTTATTATGTGCTTATGTGATGACATGGTATGATTTAAACCTTTGGAATGTCATGATTGTGATACTTTTATATGTGTATGTCACCATTCAAAATTGGTGTTAAAGTCTTGAATATATCAATCATGTATTTCATTGTAGAAATGTATGCAAGGTGTTTGATATATTGCTTATGTGAACATAAAAATTGAACAATTGAATTGTGAGCATGCCCATGGAATGTATTATGATCCTACTTATATATTAAGATGATGAATTGGCATATGGCATTTACACCATTGGCATTAAGTGAGCACATGGATTGAGAGGAAATTGGGAACTTGTTTTTTAAAGGTTTTAAAGAATGTTTGCGAAAACTGGATGACGATGAGTCATTTTGTATCCGTGATGTTAATGCAACCTAGAAGAAACATAGGGAGATTGCTCTATGAATGGTTGAGTTACTTAGGCCCCAAATAACGTTAGGGAGTCACTCTAAGTCAGGGATAGTTAACCAATCATTCCCTCATGGTGGCAGGGAGTCGCCTCGTGCCAGGTTATATTAACGGGCTTGGTGTGTGTTAAGTTGAGAGTGTGGGAGCATTGGGTTGGACATTTGCATAGCACTGCATTGTCTTGCATTACACCAATTGTAGTTATGAAAATGAAGTTTACGTTTACTCTCGTTATCTTTCCCAATCTTGCATGATCCCACTCCCTTCTACTCATCTTTGGGTGTGACTCACGGAATTATAAGGAAAGCGTCTTAGGCATCACCTACTGAGCCGTTGTGCTCGCCTTATTATTAATATTTTTTAGGTAACGAAAGGAAGTGGATGTGAACCCACAACCACAAGCTTAGAGACTCCTATTACAGCTTTTGGATTGTATTTTGTCATGCCTAGTCCGTTCCCATGCTTTTTGCTAGGTGTTCCATGTGGCTAGTAGTACTTGACCCTAATGTAATCTTTGACAATCTAGTTGTTGATGATGTAATTATATTACTTTTGGAGGGACTTGTGTTCAATTGACATGTATATCTTTGGACAACTTTTTTTTATATTGTATCCCTTGTATGTATATGGAATGTGGGGATATCAATGGATGTAAAATGGGTCACTTTGGCACGCAAAACAGAGCATCGAGAAAATTAAATATGAAAAATAATTAAAATTTTTTGAAAATTACAAAACATCACACAATTTTTACATTTTAGGCAAATAACAACCATACCCTTTACGTTGGGTATATAAGTCTGTTACGTTTGAAAAAATGAGCAAAGAATGACTTGAGCTCATTGTTTCGTTAAAAAATTAGTTATGTGTAATACATGACAATTTTAAGATATGAAATTCTAAAAACACCCTCATCTCTTCCTATAATGCCCTCATATATATATATATATACACTGAACTGACGCCGGTGACAGACCCGAAAAAGCTATAATACCAAACTGAGAAAACAATGGAGCATCATTGAAGATATCTATGGTTATTCATTAAAGACCAAACATGGCTATCTAGGAATAAACGCAGCTCATTGTTGAGTCAGTCGAAGGTCATCAGAACATGGATGAACGGAGCTTTCCGGTTCGGTCACCGGAGAAGCTTACATGGACGTAGAGCTCATTGTTCTGTCACCAAAGAAGGCAAGCATATCGTGAGCTTAATGGTGTTATTAATATTGTTCTCTCTACTATTAATGTAGATGAAGCTAAGGTGGAGCACACTGAACTAAATGAATGTGGAGCTCGCCGTATTGAACTGGGTTCATTGGAAATGGTGCTCACCGGATTGAACTAGGTTTCTTCGCCCTTATGTTTGCTGCACTTAGGTTGTTGTTTGCTCAAAGTTTCACGCAGTTCATGTTGCTGCATATGGGACTTTTGGTTTGGTCTTCACCTTCAAATCTTGGTTCATCACCATGGCTTTAACCGAACTGAATTGGGTTTGCCGAAAATGGTCCGCGGTTAGGTCTTCAAACTGGAATTGTTGGTTGATCTTCTGAAGTTTCTGAGCTTACACGGTGATGGAGCTTTTCCAATTAGATGGTTGAAATTGAACTGAAGCTCGCGCGACGGCGGTGTCATGAAGAAGAAACAAAAGAAGGGAGGGGGGGGGGGGGGGACAATTTCGTCCTTTCACATTTGATTAGTATTTTACCTTTTTTTTTTTATTCATTATAGATAGACCCTTAGTCTTTTCTGTCCTTATTTGTTCCAAAAAATTAAAAGATAAAAAAATTTTAGAACATATAACTTTTATTTTTTTATTCATTATAGAAAGACACTTATAGTCTTTTCATAAATTTTTTTATTTTTTTCCTTCTAATAAAATTTGTTGAATTGAAAGAGTGTCTTTTTCACGCATATAAAGGCGCGTGAAAGTAAGCATAAAAAATTTGAGATGTGGGTGTGGGTCAGTTGTCAATATAGGAGTCGATGCGTCAGCGTCAACAACGAACATCTGCGAGTTTTTCCTTACAATCCAGGCGGCGAAAACATCCAACCCACCTGCTGTGAATTTTCTAGAATGGCGATAATAATAGAGTATTACAGTAACAGTGAGTCCTACTACTGCAAGACGTAGCTAATTTGGAGTCGTGGACTATAATGCCATGCCATAGTAGCCCAAATTTGACGAATTTCCCAACCCTGCATGGTAATTGGCAAGCCACCATATATCTGGTTCCATCAATTGATTAATAATAATCCACCATTCGTACTTTAAATCAAACAATTTTAAGTCAATTCCCTCACCAATCAACTTATGCGGACTCTATTTGAGAATCACCTTTTTTCTTTTTCTTTTTTCAAATCAAGATATGTCAAAGCTTCAAAGTATTCTATTCCTACTATTTTTTTACAAGACGCTTGACTACCCACAATTTGACTTTTTTGTATTTTATGTGTGGTATGATTTTAAAGTATTTGTCTATTATTACAACATTCAAATTTTATAAATAAATAAATAAAAATTAAATGTTGAAGAACATATATGGTCTTAGATAAAACATGACAAGGAAAAAATTCAGACATTCCAAAAAAATAGAAATATTTAAAATATCTGGTTGCATAGAATTAGGGTTTTTAGAGTTAAAATTGATGGAATTGGAAAAAAAATTAGTTCAAAGTTACAGAAAATTAAATTGAAATATTCTCTAATTTTATAAATTCAAATTATAAGACTTTAATTCTATACCGTCAAACATAATTAAAAAGAAATTATTTTCTTTAGTTAAATTTTTTTCCAAATTTTTAAAGTTTGAATTGAAAAATAAAAATTTTAAAAATTTATAGGCACAGGGCACAAAATTTTACTCCTGATGTATTCCTCGTCTAATATTTTGTTACTATGATAGAGGGTATGATAGAGGATCATATTTGAGTAACTGAAATTTGGCAAGTATGTCATCATTGAAAGTGCTCTTGCTTTATGCAAAAATGATTGTCAAATTGAAATTATGTGGAGCCCACCCCACTTGCTCTCATGCAACTTTTATTCGAATTATCAAAACATGTATCATAATTCTATTTCAAAATTAGATTTAAAATATTACAAACATACAAAATCGTTGTTTAGATGTGCAAAAATAGGAGGGCATGCACGTAAAATAACCTCATTAATCATCAGATTGCAACAGAAATTGCTTTGACAATTCTAAATGGTTTACGAATTATGATTTTATGATTTCCATCGTATCAAGAACACCCTTATCCTCTACTTTGTTTTGACATGGATGTTCATGGTTGGGGGGTTCTTTTTTGTCGACCTAAGGACAAAAAGTAACCGGCCTATGGACTTGATTAAATATTCTTTTTCAAATCCATTCTCGGCCTTTATAATTTTGCTTTTTTTTCGTACCATGTTTCATCAATTCATTTTGGTCCAATACTTCAATCAAATCACACCCTAAATGTATACCATACTTAGTATTTTTATCCCATATATCCTTCAATCAGAAATCTGATATAAATTAATGCTATACAAGTAATACCTGTTTTATTTTTTTACTCTTTGAAAAAAGTCCAATAAAATGTATATGCTACTAATCTTATAATAAAGGGATGTTATGTACACATAAAATGTAATATATTTTTAATACTTATTACCTTTAGAATTATGATTCTTTACTAAATTATTGCACATGAAACTTTGGAATTATTGAATTATGATTCTTTACTAAATTATTGCACATGAAATGTAATAATTAATTATTTATTTATTTAAGAATTATTGAATTCTTTATAAATTTAAAATATTAAAAAAGTAACATAGAGCTAGATAAGTTTCACCTTGATAAATTTATTAAATGCATGCAATGTCGCTTATAAAGTTCCAATACTCCAATCAAATCACATTTTCCATCATAAATTCGATGGTTTTACTTTAACTATGGGCGGCGGGCCCTAAAATATATCCAAGGATAATCCCAGAATATATTATTTATTTACGTGGTAAAGAACAAAATTAGGCTACCAGGAAAAAATCTACCATGCCATGCGAAGAATTTTTCATATTTAATCATTAAATTAAGACCTTTTTGAATATTAGTGAAAATTTAGATAAATTATTTAATTCATCTTTTAAATCATTGATTAAAAATTTTATTTGGATATATAATCCTACTACATAAATTTTTGTTCTATTTAGATTTCTTAACTAAACTAATGTTCATTTGGGAACATGGGCGGATAGAAATTTGCATAAATTGCATAGGTATAATTCTATTATAGAAATATGTATTCCATTTGGATCACTTAACCAAACTAGTTCACAATTAATATAATTAAAAGGATTAATTGAAGTGATATAACTTTTTTCTTTTATAAAAATAAAAAATAAAAATAAATAAAAAATTTAAGATTCAAATTTTTAATTAGACAATAAAACAGTGTGTTTGTGTATAAATCAAGAAGCAAAAACAAGAAAAAAACAAATATATACTGAATCATAAAACAAATTAAACAATGAACGACTTGTTGAAACAAAAGGGAACAAAATCATTAATCTCTTTTTTTTGCCCTTTCCCTTTCCCTTTCCCTAGGAAAACAAAAGTGGGTTGCATGTGCTTTTCACTCCATCCATTTATTTTACTCAAGTCCCTTCATTTTCTCTAGCAGTTGGCTCTCTTTTCTTCCTTCTTAAGATTCTCCCCTCTCTCTCCTCCTCATCACCATCGTCATCTTTATTTTTATCTATATAAATGGATCCACATGAATTCTTATTTATTTATTTATTTTTCACTCACTTTCTTATTATACATCATGTTTTCTTTCGGAAAAAAAAAAAAATTTAAAATCGTTTTTAATCTCTTATTCTTTTAATCAGTATATTATCAAATTACATTAAATATGATCATACCATCTAAATAAGAAGGATGTTATGCATGTTAAACTATATGAGTAATTAGAAGAGACCAGATAATGAATGTATGTAAAGAAAACCTACCCCAATTGAAAAAAAAAATCCTCTCTAATTACTCTCTCATCGGAGGACGTCCAGTAATCATCTAACGGTGAGTAATACTACCTCCTCAACATAGTCTTGTCATCACCAATAAATTTACTTTTATTTTCCCATATATACAAATATCACTCTATTTATATATTGAAATATTTATATATTGAAATTAAAACGAAAAATGCATACAGAACATGCTACTCAAACAAATTTATGGGTTATTAGGTCAATATACTCCTGCTTCAAAAATAGATCCAAATTATGGATTATTATGTTAGTATACCCTTACCTCAAAAATATATCCAAATCACTCGATTTTCAAAACTTCTCCAAATCAAAATTTTTAAATTGTAGTTGTGTATGATTTGGTCGAGTAACTTTAATTCTTGCACCATAAACTAAATCTTACCCTCCTAACCTTAAATTCTAAAGAGAAAGATTGAAAAAAAAAGGTGGCTTAAGATTTTCATTCTTTTTTTTTTTTTTTTTTGGGAATGTTCAAATTTCAACCAACTAAAAATATGAAGTGAAAGTCAATTCATTAAATAATACTGATATGTTATATACAGAAAATCATATATATATATATATATATATATATATATATATTAAAAACTTGATAAAAATAAATTTAACTCAGCTGTCAAATCAATTTTTTTTACCTCTTAATGGAGTCAGAGTATCCACCCCCACCACCTTGCTCCAATATGGGTTACTAGTGTTGGACAGGACACTTCCCTTGATCACATGGATTATTCATACACTAACCACTTTATAAACTAGGTCAAGTCTCTCTCTCAATCAATGGGCTCAGCCCAAACTTCATCTGAACCGGGCTTTGTGCCAACCAACAGTTGCATGACTAGTTTTCCATCTCCCTCCCAACAACACAACACACGTTCTGTACATGCATCAAGCCAGCAACAAAAAACCAACTCCAACTCCGTTATTTCTAACGCCGTCAACGCGTTCCCGTCACCGTTAACTCCCCACCTTTAAAATCTCCAACGTAGCTTCCGCCTTCCTTCTCTGTTGACTCCGTCTTCAACCACACTTGCACCTTTCTAGAATCCACCATTTAAAAAATCTCCAACGATTCCTTCAAATTCACACCCCAAAAACCCTAATTTCCTGCACTTTCTTGCAATTCAAAAACCCTAATTTACTTTTGTTTGGAATTCTAGGGTTCTTGTCCATGATTTCATAACCTCGATCTCTGATTATCATCATCAATTATGGATGATCAGGAAGAGGAATTGTCGTTGGCGATCTATAAGAAACCGAATTTGAATATGTATCGTCTCATGAACGGCCCTTCATTGCAACCATCGGGTTGGTTCGAGATTCGGCTGTTCTACGTTCGAATTGCGCCGTGCGCAGTCGACAGTGTTCCGGACCACCTCACGCTCCGCCATCTCCGTCGCGAAATCGGAGTCTCTCTCGAGATCAATGGCGCTCGCATGCCGGCTTCCGAGACGGCGTCGTTGACGCTCCGTCGGGATCGGCTCGACAAGGGGTCGTCTGAGGTGACGTATGTGAGTACAGACAGTGTTAGGGTTACAGGTGCGTTGGAATTCGAGGTGTTTGAAGAGGAGGAGATGATACTGTGTGGGTCTTTGGAGAGACTGGAAGTTGGGTGGAGTAATGGGAGTTCTGGATTGGAGAATGATTCGAAGACGGGGTGGAGTATGGATTGTTATACGGCAGCGTCGATTGCGTGTGGGTCGTCGGCGTTTTTTCAGCCAAAACTTGGGATTTCGTCGCCGTCGATTGAGGTGTACATTGCTGGGTGTTGTTCGGGTGTGCCTGTGACTCTGACAAAGACCATTCTGATCAGTCCAAGGCGGAGACCGATGAGGAATGGGATGCTTGATGCCATTCCAGAAGATGAAGAGATTGGAAAGGAGCAGAGGAGTGGTAATGGTTTGCTTCGACAGCGTAAATTGCAGGTAATCTTATGGTGTCAAAATATTCTGCTTCAGTTATGTTCTTCTATTTTTGATAAGGAAGATAACTCTTGTTAGTTGAAAAAATGAAGATAAGATAAATATTAGCAACAGAAAAAAATAACGATATACACTGAGGGTCCGAAGCTCTAAAATACGCTATCAGGCTGAAGGAAAAACTTTTACAAGGAAAAACTTGTACAACAAAAGGGCATACAAAATTATAACAATTATTGAGGAATTAAAGTAATGAGTCATACAATGAGTTGACGAGTGTATGGTTAATCAAAAAATTTACATATGGTTTTTATAGATTTATAAAAAGCATATGACGGGGAGCTGGGAGATAATTTGGCAGGTCTTACAGAGAAAACAAATTCATATAGAAAGGATAAATATTTTAATTATTATTCAGGATGTGTGTGTGAATATAGAAATTAGAGTCCACACTACATATGGTGAGAGTAATGATTTTTCTATTAACTATGGGATTGAACAATATTTTCTATAAACAAGGGTCGGTGCAAGTCCATGTCTATTCACAATATTTTTACTGGAGATATTCCATGGTACATGTTTACGGATTACATAGTACTAATTGGCCATAAAATAAAAAATGGGAGAAATGCATTAGAATCAAGAGACTTAAAAATTTAGTAGGATTAAAACTGAATATTGGAAAGTGAATATAGTAAAAAGAGTATACTGACAAGATAGTGATCACTTCAAAACGAAAGGACTATCTAAAGCAAACGTTTACGATTAATAATACAGGGGGATGGTGGATATATATGGTGATATAGTCAATTGAATAAGGGTATGGACAAAATAGAGACAAACTAGTGGTATTATGCGATAAAAGAACAACGAATAATTAATATATATATATTAAACTATTAAAAATTATTTTAAAATTTAAATGTTAAAGGATAGGTGGCTTGGAATAGAAAAGAATGGAAAAAAGATGATTCATATGGGATTAAAATACTTATAAAATGTGATTCTGGTTGAACTTGGAGTATAAATGAGAATATATTCAAAATTTGTTGTCTAGGAGAATCAAACGTCACTATCTTCATATATTGTATCACTCGTTTAGGTAGATGATCAAAGAAGATGCCAAGACATATAGCAAGATGAAGTTATTGGAATACTGGCTTTCCAATGAATGCGTGATAAATTCGAGTGTTATATAAATTCGAGTGTTATATAAAGAGGCAATAGCTCATTCAGTTATGGTACAATGTATACAGTAGATGAACTTGGATTATTGTGTGGACGCTGCAATGGATGAGTGGCAAGAAGAGAGGAACATAATAAGAATTTATATCTATACAAGAAGTAATTGATTATGACCTTTGTGGACTTTGAACCGGATAATTTTGTTTGGTCGTTTGGGCATCAAAGACCAATTATTGAACTAGTGAGGAATACATCAAGGAGAGATGGTACATTGGTTTAAGTTGAAGGCACTGCAAGGACAACAGAAAGTCTTCCAACAACATGGTCTGCCATGAAAAAATCCGCTATGCTGTAGCTTAATGGAATTCAGAAGTAGGCCTGTTAATTGGGTTGCGCTGAGCTAAGCTTACAATGGCTAAAGCTTTGCACAGTACACATTTTGAGCTCAAGCCTGAGCTAACCTCAATTGTTGCTCACTTTTCTCATATATGGGGTGACCTTCTTGCTGAATTCGGGCCATCCAAATCTAACCTTTATGTTTTCATCTTTTGGAAAAAAAGTTAAATCTAAATATTATGGTATGTCTGGTAATTTGTTGGTTTTATCTTATTCCCAAGAGCGAATTTAATTGACTATTACATTGCTTATATCATATATGTAGCCATATATGTCCAAGCCAGCTGAGAGTTTATTTCGTTGCAGTACAATAATATGAAAGTGTAATATATATATATATTTTTTCCGAAGTACTCTAAAAAGTTCTTTGATCTCCCTCTCATAATTATCAGGAGTGTCTTGATATGTGTCTGGAATTGTATGTTCATTTGTTTCTGTTGTTTTAACTGATTCACGATTTCATTTGGACATCTGCAGATCACAGAGGCAGAAGAAGATGACTATGAAGCAGATGGAAAACTTGGACACGGCTACTACTCAGAAGACATGTATGCTGGTGAGGATGGACAACTTTCATGGTTCAATGCTGGTGTAAGAGTTGGGGTGGGGATTGGCCTGGGGATGTGCCTTGGTGTCGGAATTGGTGTTGGATTGCTCATGCGTTCATATCAAGCAACCACCCGGAACTTCAGGAGGAGATTTTTCTGAGCTTGATCTCTTCAGTTGGAGACCCTGATTCTGTTAAGAGACAAAGAAATGAAGTGAAAAACTTTGGGAATTGGATTGAGATTGAGATTGCAAGATTGTTGCTGAGGTAGTAAGAATCACCTTATGCAGCATTTTAAAAGTGAGCTTTAATACTTGGGGCAGAGGCTGGATGATATTTTGGTTCACTTAAGATGTTCTAATGGAAGCCACTGCATTCTTTAATCTCATGCCTTTACTTTCTAGTATACTGAAAAAAATCTGCTTCAAATGAAATTATAAAGTGGAAATTGGGGTGCTTCAATCCTTGGACCAGCAATTTCCTTGGTGACCCAAGGATACCATGATCCTTTTGTACGGATGTCCTGCTGGAGTCAAGGTGTATCTACTCTCTTGTTCTGTAGATAGTTTGCATTTTGAAGTTCTGTGAGGTTTATTTTCTGCTAATCTTTGGACGTATAGAACTTTTTGTTGTTTCCTTTGTGTCAACTTTTTGAAGATTTTCATTTTCCCATTCATTTCATCTTTTGTAATCGGTTGTGCTTGTGGAATAAGCAAAAATCATTTGTCAGATATTGTAGAGAATATTTAATTTAATAATTCCATGTTCACGGTGTTCTTGGACTCTTTTGTGCCATGCCTGCGTGGTATTGAAACTTAAAAAGAGAAACTTGTCAATTTCTTATTGCATGTACGAATCAATCTTGTAATGCGACTAATCTGGGCGTATGGTGGCCTGAATGTTTCTGGCATTCCCTAATCGTGATTAGCAAGTTGTAGCAGTGTCAGCACTGTAGTCTGTCTTGGAGATCTTTTGTAGTTGCTGGTCAGAATGAGCACACCTTTTCTGCATCCATGATGTGTGTGGAGTTTGGGCATGAAGTCTAATGTTGTTTACTGTACCGTGGTTTTTAACATTTTCTAGGGCTTCTCATAAGCAGTTATAGTAAATTAGAACATTCAGTGCACTGGAGGGAAAGACATGAAGGCCACTTGTTTTCAGTGTGCGCCTTTTTGGGTTTAACATTCAATAAGCAGTTTGATTATCTTAATTCACGAGAACACTCTCATGGTATGTCTGAGAGCACTGAATTTGCGGAAAGCACTGAATTTGCGGAAAGAACTAAATTTTTTTTAATTCTAAACGCGAATTAAATTTTTTCTAATTTCAAATTCGAGCGCGAAAACTCAAAATTCAAAATAAATTGTCAATTCAATTCTCCCAAATAGGAGCTGAAAAGAATTTCTCACTTGTATACTTCTGAGTATTCAATGAAGTCAATTATGTGATCAAAGCCCCATCACCCTTTCCTAACTTCTGTTGCTTGTCCTCGTTAACTTCTCACTATTTTTTACTTTTTTTTTTCTTTTTTAATTTTTTTATAAAAAATTTATTATGGTAATGTTAAGTGTGTTAGTAGGGGAGGGAGAAAGATGGGTTGGGATTTGAACTTGGGCCAAAGGTCCCAAAATGTACCTGTCTTACCATTGGGCCATCACCGCACTCCCAACCTCTCACTACTTTTGTAGGACCATGATTCTCTATATATATATATATATAAACCAGGTATAATATAAACTTTACATTTGTGACATGACTGAAACAAGTTGAGTTTTAGATCAGAATTCACTATTTTTTGCTTGAACCAAACTCACAAAGCCCTTCTCTTCAAAGGAAGGATTGGGCGTTCTAGTATAGTTGTGTGTGTGATTTTATTATTATTATTTTTAATAATAAAAAAAAAAACCAAACTTATAAAGCTAGGCATGTTGATGATATTTGCAGATATTTGAACGCGTATCCAAAATAAAATAAAAAAGCAATCAAGCAGAGTGTGTTGTATATCTATTTTCCTAACGTTGTGAAAGTTCTTTTTCAAGATCAAATAAATATAAAAATTGAATATCAGGGAAAAAAATGTAGCATTAATTAATAATAATAAAATATATAAAAAATAAAAATCAACACTTGAACAAATAGGAAAATAATTGAAAAAAAAAAACCTTGGAAAGTAAAACAAAGAAAAGAAAAACAATGGGGCATGACAGGAATTAACAGAATTTCATGGACATTTTAGGGAGAGAGAAGAAGGGGAGGGGACTAGTTAGGGTCTCTCCACGGGATCAGTAGAAGAGCAGAAGAAAAACGACGCTTCAGCAAAATCAGAGAAATGCTTCTTCCATAATCAATGAATCATCACCACCAACATAGATAGCACGAAGGTGTTTAAACTCAAGAGTGTGTGATGATATGAGAGATAGAGACACCGATATGAACACCACTACCTCCAGATCACCTGCGACAATGTCTCACCGTAGCAACGCTGCACCACCACCCCTCCCCTTAGTGGTCACTCTCAACTGCGTCGACGACCCTTCCCTCGAGCAAGACTGCCTCTCCGGCGTCGCCGCCGTCGAGCACGTCCCCCTCAGCCGCCTTGCCGACGCCAAGATCGAGTCCGCCTCGGCCGTCCTCCTTCACTCCCTCGCCTTCCTCCCCCGCGCCGCCCAGCGCCGCCTCCGACCCTGGCAGCTCGTCCTCTGCCTCGGCTCCTCCGACCGCTCCGTCGACTCCGCCCTCGCTGCCGACCTCGGCCTCAACCACCTCGTCCACATCGATGTCTCTCGCGCCGAGGAGATCGCCGACACCGTCATGGCGCTCTTCCTTGGCCTCCTCCGCCGCACTCACCTCCTCTCCCGCCACACCCTCTCCGCCTCGGGCTGGCTCGGCTCCGTCCAGCCACTCTGCCGTGGCATGCGCCGATGCCGGGGTCTTGTGTTGGGGATCGTCGGTAGATCTGCATCTGCGAGGTCTTTAGCCACTCGCAGTTTGGCTTTCAAGATGAGTGTGCTCTATTTTGATGTTCACGAGGTATGAGTCCTATTCGATTGATTGATCTAGTATTTCATATAGTCAATTCTCATATAAAAATGTATGTTTATCTATTTTCCTAATTGTGCTTCAGTAAACTAGACTGTGATCCTCACACACTTGAGCATATAGTGTTGTGATCTGCAATGCAAAAATCACCAAATATTTTTGTGTTATTGTGAGTTCTGTTTCATCTAATTGAGTTGTTTTTAATCCCTGTTAGTGCTTCTGTTGCTAAAGTTATGGTCTTTCATATGTTTATATTCCTTAACTTTGTGTAAATAGTGACAATTAAAGGATTTCAGATTGTATTGGGGTCGCTGCATAGTGCAAGCTTAAGTTATGGGCACATAAAGGAACTTGGATTTCCAATTTTTGGGGAGGACTTCTAAAAAGATAATTTCTTTGAACAATGCAACAAATGAATTAGAATTTTGTCCTTTTATAAACTGATGTTTTAATATTGAAATAACCAGTGAGCTTCATGAAAGTTCTCCAAGTTCATAGGCTTTGTTGTGGAGATGTGCATTTAGTAATATTATGGCATGATATTTGGGGTGGAGACATCCTCCTCAACACCTTTTTCCATACTTTATCAGATTCTCAGGGTAAGGTGTAGTGGGGGCCCTACATTTTCAGAGCTTTTAAGAATTGGGAGCTGGAGTTGATCGATCTTTCTTTGAGTTCTTATATAGTGCTTCTATTTGTGGAGGGAGGAGTTACTTATCAAAAAAAAAATGTGGAGAGAAGAGTTGAGGTAAAATCGTGCAAAGAATGACCAGTTTGGAGTATGATCTTCAATTGAGTATTTGGCAGTTGGAATAGGCCTCTGGCTTCCCTTGGCCGGACATTTTGCAGGTTGCCAGGGGAATCCGGGCCTATTCCAACTTCCAACTGCAAAGTACTCAATTGAAGATCTTACTCCAAACTGGTCATTCCTTGCACAAATTTATCTCAAGTCCTCTCTCCACAAATAGAAGAACTATATAAGAACTCAAAGAAAGATTAATCAACTCCAGCTCCCAATTCTTAAAAGCTCTGAAAATGTAGGGGCCCAATTACACCTGCCTCATAGAATCTGATACAACATGGAAAAAGGTGTTAAAACCCCAAATATCCTGCCATAATATCACTAGATGCCATCTCCACCACAAAGACTATAAACTTGGAGAACTTTCATGAAGCTCACTGGTTATTTCTACATTAATGCATCAGTCTATAGAAAGACAAAATTCTACTTCCTTTGTTGTATTGTTCAAAGAACTTAACTTAGAAGTCCTCAAGAAAAATTGGAAATCCATGTGCTCAACAAACAACTCCAATCAATTCAGTCACATATTTAACTTTATTGGAGAAATTGTACAAACAATAATTTAAGGAACCTTGATGTCCTCAATCCTAAGTTTAATTTCTTGCTTCAAACTAAGTGCCAACTTCCTTCCCTTTTTTACATTTATCAAGAAAGAAAAAAAAAAAAAGGTTCCCTTTCACCACTTGTATTTCAGCATAATGTATTGTTTCATCTGAGAAACAGAACATTGGACCCTGACTTCACACCTGACACAATTTCAGCTATCTTATCATTAATCTAGCACTATGTCGTTTTCTCTCCTTTGGGTCCATTGGCTGATGCCAGTCTGTAAATAAGGTGCTTAGTCACGTGGGCCTTGTGCTAGGAAGAGACTTTATGCGGCTTGGCATCCTTTTTCCTCATGTGGTGTCCTTAGACAGAGAACAATAGGTGCACCTTTGACGATTGGTGGCTCTAGTTCATTATAGTAAGCATAATTGTTGCGTAACATATTATGTTGAACTTTTTACATTTTTGGATTTTTTAAAATTTCCAGATTCATTACTCTTTTCTAAATTTTGTAGGTGATTTGAGTTCTATAGAGGGATTTTTAAGTTTTTGTGCTTCTGAATTTCACATGTACATGGTTTGCACCCCTTATATCAGTTTTCTGTAATAGTTTTTTTCTTCTTTATTATTATTATTGTTTATAAGAAAAGGAAGATTAGTACTACACACAATTAAGCATACACGCAAGTACCCTATCTGTATAACTTCCTGCATGCATAATATATTAAGCTGAAAGTTGACCGTGTCATGTTTCTTGTTTATGTTATGTATTTGGTATTTGTTCTTCAATATCTGACTTTTTCTGATAATTTTTTATTAAATAACATCTACATAGGGGAAAGGAAAGTTAAGTAGATCCTACACAACATTTCCATCTGCTGCACGGAGAATGGATACCCTCAATGATTTGCTTGCTGCAAGTGACCTTATATCTCTCCACTGTGCTCTGACAGATGAAACAGTTCAGATTATCAATGCAGATTCTTTGCAGCACATAAAGCCAGGTACTTTTATTTTTCATATTACTTTTGAGATATTTCTTCTGTAAAAGAAGTGTTGGGGTTCCTCACTTCCTCTCATGTGCACTTATTGGGGAATGTCTTTCTCCATGCAGGAGCATTTCTTGTAAATACTGGTAGCAGCCAGCTGTTGGATGATTGTGCTGTAAAGCAACTTTTGATTGACGGCACCCTTGCTGGTTGTGCTCTGGATGGTGCTGAAGGGCCACAGTGGATGGAAGCCTGGGTATGATAATTAGTCTTAGGGTATGAATATATAATGTGCATGTTGAGCTTTTGTTGTTTTCCTGGGTGAATTCTTTGTCATGAATTATATGATTGTGCATGATTTGTTTGGCAAATTATGTTAAAACTGCATTCTTATTTCTCAAAGGGTCCCTATGTCCTGTTTTCATTTTCCCTTTTTTTTTCCATCCAGATCCCTTTCTATTGTATTTTAGGTTTATTTCAATTTTCATGTAATATTTCAAGGAATGGGAGTTGAATCCCTTTCAACCCTTTGTCTCACATGCTAGTGCACACGCGGATTTGTGTGTAACAGTCATTATTTGAATTTCACTCCCAGTTTACATTAGTTGCACAAATAGTTTTAGCGGTATGGAATTGGGAAAGAAAAAAAAAATCACTTTACATACGCATGTTTAGTTTTTATATATGATTATAGTGCAGAGATCAAAGTATTTCTTTATTCTTGGAATAGCCTGACTTCTAGTTGATTGCTTGTTTTGTGTGAAACAATATGGTATTTTGGCGGTAGAAAATATGCTGTCAATATAAGAGAAGAACACTCGGTTCTCAAATCTCAAGTGGGCTTCAACTTTGATGATCTTAAGAGGAGTACTTCGTACTTGCATTTTGAGATATTGCCATTCTGTTGGTGGAACCTCCCTTCATCCTTCTGCCAAATTGCATAATTAAATGGACTTCTGTCAGTTCTTGTCGGAAAATTGGATTAACCATGAAGGGAGCCTTTTTCTGCCTTGTGTTTTGAAGATAGTGGCAAACATGAAGGGTTCGTTGCTTGATGCAATGATATAAGTTTGGCTTTGCACTTCACGCAAAATAATGCTAAATGTTTGGTTTGTACCTTGTTCACTCTCCCACTATGGTAATGGATGGCTATGGTTTTACTGCTACTAACTGGATCCTCTGTGGAGAGGTGGGGTTCTTGGAGGCTAATAAATGTCATGAGAGAAGCAGTAGACTTGTTATAGATTCTTTCAGCTTGCTCTCATGTTACAGTTTTCGAGTGAGAAAAAGCATAGAAGTGAAGTTGCATGATTTTTTTAAATATTGAATTTTGACACTGTAACTGTGAAGTGAAACATGGAATGTGAGTAGTAAAGACTAAAAGTTTTAGGAGTTATTATTTTTGTCCTATAATTTTTCAACAAAGCAGTGCATGATATCACAATCAAGTATAGGATTTATAATGTTTTCCGACTTGACTTTAATTTATCTTATCATGACTTTAGGTAAGGGAGATGCCCAATGTATTGATACTTCCCCACAGTGCAGATTATAGTGAAGAAGTGTGGATGGAGATAAGGGAGAAAGCTATTTCTATATTGCAGACATTCTTCTTGGATGGTGTCATTCCAAAGAATGTTGTTTCCGATGAAGATGGCGAGGAAAGTGAAATAGGCTATGAAAATGAACAATGTGAAGAACTGGACAATGAAAGTGCCTTGCAGGGTTCTGTTGTTCAGCCTTTAACAGATGATGTACATGTAACTCCAGAAAGCTCCCAGAAAAAGGGTACCTTTCAATCAAAGGAATCTCCTAGCCAGCATCAGGGTTCAGTTTTATCTCAAAATACTTCCACTCGATCTGAAGGAAAGCGCAGCAGATCAGGTAAGAAAGCTAAAAAGAGACATGCCCGCCAAAAATCGCTTCACAAGTCAGATGATCCTACTCCATTAGTAAAAGAGAGTACCTCACATCGAGAAGATGATACTGCAATGAGTGGAACGGATCAAGTGTTGAGTTCTAGTTCACGTTTTGCTTCTCCTGAAGATTTAAGACGTAGGAAAACACCAGTTGAATTAATACAGGAATCATCTTCTGGGCAGCTTTTAGAATCAAGTATGAGGCAAAGTAAAAGGTTTGATGAACTGCTGAAGGATGGTTATGTAATAGCTTTGCATGCAAGAGATCATCCTGCGCTTCATGTCTCCCGGCAAAGAGTTCAAGGTGGTGGTTGGTTCCTAGACACTATGTTAAATGTAACAAAAAGAGATCCAGCAGCACAGTTTCTTGTTGTTTTCAGAAACAAGGTTTGTGGACTCTACTTTTTTTGTTTTTTGTTGGGCCTTCTGTTAGAGTCTATTTCAATTTTTGTGATGAGTGGCACTTGGTTATGTGAATTGTTGTGCCGGTTGACTGATTGGTTATATGCATGTATTTTCTGCAGGACACAATTGGCTTGCGGTCTTTCACTGCTGGTGGAAAGTTATTGCAGGTATTATTTATTCTAACGAATTCAGCAGTATAATATTTTTATCTTGTTGGGAAGCATCTTTTAAGCACTATCTTCACTTTGATTTTGGGGATGCAAGTAGCAAGCTTTTGGTTGGTATCTGGAGAGAAGTGTTTACTTTTGCAACACAATCTTTAAGGACTCCTTTTTTTAAAAAAATAAAATCTGGGAGTTTAAGGAACAAACTTTTGTTTTCTATCACATGATCTGCACAATGACAGGGTCTGTAGTTGTACAATTACTCTTGCTGTATTTCTGTTTATTAATAGCAAAATGTTTATTTTCTGGTTTGTTGTTGATGGCTAAAATTTATTAAGAAAAATGGGAAGAGAAATTTGACAGTTGCAGGCATCACGCTTGGCAGCAAATATGTTGTAAAACTAGATGCTCTGGCTTAGATCTTTGAGTATTCTTTCTTTTCTTTAATTCTATCTAAAAAAGTAAAGAAAAGAAATAATCTTTTATCAAATCCTTGTAGAGTAGTAACCAGGGAAAATTGGTAATCAATTCCAAGGATTTTTTTTTATTCAACTTTGATGTAATATGGTATGGTATGGTAGTAGACGAGTTCGGTAAATCTTGTATTGATTAGACCATGTTACATGGGATAGATGGTGTGTTTTGTTAATTAGATGAATCCATTTTACTTTTTACTTTTTCTAAATTTTTCATTTTTCAAAGAATTTTTTAGTCTTGCATCTGAATCATACACAGGTGATAACAGTCTTGTTTTGAATTTTGCAATTCTGATTAGTTATTCCACGTGGCCCCCTAATCAGAGTGCCTAATACCATGAATTACATGGCCACATTGCTAGCAGGTTCCTTTCAGTTGCTTGAATCATTGAGATGGAGACATCTAATTGTTCACTTTGGGACTTTTGTCTGATTCCATATTTTCACTAGATAGAACACCTAGTTGTAATTGTTAATTTCTAGGTGGTTATATTTAATTATATGGGAAGTTGTCAGCCTAAGCAAGACCTGAAGTTCAATTTGCTTGTATGTATAACAAACACTCGGAAGAGCAAGCTGTGTGCATATTGAATTTAGGGGATAAACATAGTCATAAACAATGTCAAGAATATATTGAAATAAATTTAAAGAAGCATATCATTGACCTTGTATATGTGCCCCATAAGAAGGTTTTAGAAACTTTTTTTGTCATGACATTATGTGCTTCCTAATCAAAATGCTCTTTATATTATATCTTAAAGTTTCTGCTTTTCTGGGGTGATTGAACTGTGAAGTGGAAGTTGCTCAAGTTTACAAGTAGTGGCTTCTTTAAGTTTGATATCATTAATGCAGTGACTGACTAGTGGAATTGAATCATTGATTCTATTGCCTAAGGATTTGAATTCTATTTCAATATTGCAGATAAATAGAAGAATGGAATTTGTATTTGCTAGTCACAGCTTTGATGTCTGGGAGAGCTGGACAGTTGAAGGTTCATTGGAGGAATGCAGGCTGGTCAATTGTAGAAACCCCTTAGTAAGTTCCTTCTTTCACCATCTTCCTTCACTCCATATAATTGTATAATTCAGACCGGAGTTGGCATTGCAAAACCTTATTAACACAGCTGAGAGGAATCTTGGTAGCAACCAAATTGCAATAGTAAGTAACTATGTGGGCCAAAAGAAAATTAGTAAGAAAGACAGTCAAATAATGGGTGGGAATGTAATTAGAATGCTTTGAATCCTCACAATTACATAAGAACAAGGATTGAGGATAATCCCTCATCATCAGATTAAGAATTTGGCAAAATTATAACCTGGTGTAGGGAGGTTTTGTTGTTAGAACCCAGATCCTCTCAGTAAACATTTGTTAAATGTCTACGATATAAATAAATCAAGGATGGAACACCATGCAATACCTTTAAAAAATTTAAATTGATGTAACACCATTAAATCTAGGACGCAACAATGTTGCAACTTGATGTAAAAGTTGCATGGGTTTTGCATCCTCAAAGTAAAATGTATTGCAAGAGTGTGCACATCAATGTTGCATATGCGTTGCATCCTTGATGTAGTGTGTTCCATCCTGAATTTCTTCCTTTGTTAAACTCCCCTTGGTCTTGGCTTAACTTGGATACCTTCCGGGACATCTCTGCCGCGCTATGCTGCAACTGTAGCTAAAGCGAACGCTTACCTTTACGCCGGAACCCTCTCTCTGTTTTTCTCTCCTGGGAATGGCAAGTCCGAGAAAAGAAGAGTGGTGGACCAAGAAATGATAGGCCATCCCATCTATAAAAGAAGCAAGCGTCTCCATAATGATGAGAGCAATCTTATTTCATATGATTATATAAGGGAGATGCAAAGTGGCAATCATAGAGTCCGTTGGGCATCAAGGTTGTTATTTCAGCCCGATAGCCATTGTTGCAGGCTGGTTGAGCTCTGCTCGCCTTGGTTCTGCTCCAATATATTCCCGCACACTCAGAGTCAAGCTAGTTAATTGAGGGGGAGACGCCCGTGGAGCTTGGAGGAAAATGGACCAGCTTCTGGCCTTTCCTTTGAACGAAGCGGCTCTTCGCTTGGATGAATTGAAAGCAAGGGTCTCATTTTTAGCTCACTGCCCCCATCATCATTTATTGCCATCATCAGGGTGATCCAACCAGAGAAGCAGGCCCCCCTGCATTCTTCCCCTTCAGGGTCCTCTTCACCCCCAGATCCTCAAACTAAAGTGCACTGGGCCATCCAGTGGACTTTGTTATGGTCAATGCTTTCACTTGCAGTTGTGTCCATCATTTTTGTATTGATCGTATTTATTAGAATGATTAGGGAACTCAACTCCAATATGGTGGATGTTTAAGATGAGTTTTATTTTTTGGATGCATTTTCATGTCCCTGGCCAATACAGCCAATACATAGATATGCAAATTACTAAGTTCCTATCAGAAGATTGTTAGTCCCTCTGAAGTTTATTTAATCTCTCTTTGGTTCAAACTACAGGCTGTATTGGATGTACGCATTGAAATTCTTGCAGCAGTAGGAGAAGATGATGGGGTTACTCGCTGGCTTGATTAGGTTGTCAATATTGGAAGTGCTAAGCTTCACATTAATGTTTGTAAAACTTAAAAAGAGCTTGTAACTTGTAAAACTTTCCATTTTTACCGGCAATCAGCATTGTACGAGGTTGTTGCTGTGTGTTAATCCGCCTCCTGATAAAGTTCTTGTATTTTGTTATTTGTGATCGGTTTCTAGTGTTTGTAAAACATTTGACAGTTCCTCGTTTTATTTTTACTGTCGAGGTCTCTTTGGAGGTGGCAAAGCTAGTTGTTGCTGATGTACATCCATTTCATGCTCTAGCAACTTAACAAACTAATGAACTTGCAGGATCTCTCTCTCCCTCCCTCGTGCTCTAGCAACTGAACAAACTAATGAACTTGCAGGATCTCTCTCTGTATATGTATATATACTGGTACAGTGATACCTGATGCTTGAATAAACTCGAGTGAACTTGATCTTTCAGGAACGGTCTCTTTACTCTTTGAATAAACTCGAGTGAACTTGATTTTTCTTGGATAAAGTATAATCCATTTGATTTTAAGTGTGTTGAAATCTCTTTTTAACATCATGCGTTGAAATTTTTATCAAATATGTTAAAAATGAATTGAAGTATGTTAAAAAAATTTATGCCAGTGCATGCATTCGTTACAATAGAGGATCCGGACACCTGATCTAGAACATCTGTTATACTCAAAAGCTTGATGGTTTTTAATTTTTACTGCAATGATCCTCTTCTCAAACTACGAGTATTGGAAAAGCTCAGGAATTGACACTGTTCAAAAACAAGGGTTAAAATCAACATGGTCTAATGAGACTAGCCTATAGGCTGGCTCAGTTTCAACTTTTTTCAGAGAATGGCTTTAATTAGTTGAGGCTTTTTTAAACATATAGGTTTGTGTGTGTAGTGCTTCAATTGGCCATATTAAATTAATATTTGAGCTGGCGTCCTCCTCATGTATAAAATAATCTTCAGATTAGCATTAGGTTTTATGTGGACTTTACAAATGTAAAGTGATAGAATCATGTGGGAAAGCTACAATGCTCGCTCTCCAATTTTATTTTATTTTTATTATTTATTTTTTATTATTATTATTTTTTTTTAACCCTGACAAGAAACAGTCAAGCGGCACTTACAAAGCAAACACAAGTCACAAAACATCACAACAATTTATAAAACAATCCAGATAAAACTAACACTAAGCTATGTCATGCCAACAGGATAACAACCTAAAGCTTAAAATTCAAGGGTTACCTACTTGAATTTTCTAAGGCAATGCTATAATATATGTGTGTGTGTTATAAAAAGTCAAAGAGAGCATGATGTATTACCAAACCTTCACTAAATAATAGTTTTATAAACCAATGCATTTAAGAGAAAGATCATTGTTACAAAATTAAAATTCAAAAAAAAAAAAAAAGACTGGCAGTTGGGACTGTCAATTTGAAATGAAATTAATTTTGTACCTGATTCCTACAAAGTAACTATCTCCCATAATCCCATTGTAGAGGGAAAAAAATCTCCCATTTTAGCTTATATTTACATGTTTGACAACTCAAACTTTTAATGTTTTATTGCACAATGGTAAATGGTAACATTAATTTGAAATAAAAGAGATACAAAGATACTTAAAATCCCCTCTCTAATTTTCATAAAGATACAAAGATAAGGATTAAAAAAAAAAAAAAAAGAGAGAGAACAATGGTAAAAGTGGAGGAAAAAAAAAAAAAAGACTGATTTTACATATAAATTCAAATTCAAACAATACAATTTAGTATACAATTCTACATATATACATAAATGGGTATGTAAAGACTGATTTTTTAGAAATGGGTTTGTGGAAACAATGCTAATTTAGTATACAAATCTATACATATACATATATGTTTGTGAGACTTTTTAGTATACCAATCTATTAAAGATTGATTTTTCTGAAGTGGGTTTGTGGTTTTTTACCTGGTAAGAATGTGGATGTTATTAAAGACAGTGAGATGATGAAGAGGGTGAGCTTAGAGTCTGCCATTAGAGAGACGCTTGAGCTCTACTTTCTACTTTTTCTGTTATCCTCTGCTTCTGGTTTAACTAAGCTTTGTTGCATTATCTTATGCAAGCCCACTCACGGCCTGGGTGAGTTGCAATGACTGATGGTGATGGTTTGGGCAGACCCAAACTCAGTGAAGTGTACAGAAGCTTACACTGTCCGGCGACCCCCAAGCAACAACGAACCGGTTTGATTGGTTTTGCCTTGAAGAAAGAAGATGTGATATTTAAGTAATTTCATATGATTTAGTTAAGATAATAATTTATTTACACATCTAAAATGGGAATTTGAGAATTAAAAAATTGATGACGTCATCATTTTCAGTAATGGAGGGGAGGTTCATCTTATCAGTATACAAATATCGAGAGAGGTCAGTGTAATTTGATAAACAAGAGGAGAGGTCAATGTATGTTGATAAAACCTTAAAGGAAGTAAGTGTAATTATCTCATTGTTTTATTGACTCAATATTATTATTATTATTATTATTTCTATTTTTATTTAGTTGTTCCTTTTCATCCTCAATTGAAACTAAAACACAAAATAACATATTTTTCCCTTCTTACTTTCCATTCCAACTCCCTCCATCCCAAACATTTTTTCGAGTGGTAACTCAAGAATGACTCTAATTTCTGTTTGACCTATGGAAGTAAGAAACTGTGTGACAAAGAAAAGCATCCATTTAACTTGCCCAAAAAAACCTAAACAAAACTAAAAGTAACTATTCATAAACCAAATTTTACTAAAAATTGAAATTTTTGAAAAAAACAGTTTGACACTGACAGAAAGTAGGTCTCAATCCAATCAACAAAATTTCGCCACGTGTACCGTTAGATCAATTATGTTGTCACACACCATTCTTCCCCGGGCCCCTCCACTCTCTCTCTCTCTCTCTGTCTGTATCACAAGTCAGTTATCACTGCTTATGCACCACATTTCTTCCTTGTCTAACCAAAGAACCAACCAACAATTCAAAATCATCAAAAACAAATATTATTGTTTTTGTTTTCATAAAACAGTTCACAAAGCTTCTTATAATTCCTATGGTGTCTCTAAATCCAAACCTACAACCTCAAGAATTCTACAAAGATCCTCTGAAAATGGGTCTTCCTGGTTTCAATTCTCCATTAACACCACCAACCAATACAACAACAAGTACGGCTATAACTGCAAATACCACTGCTTTAACATCGGAGGATCCGAATAAGAAGGTCCGAAAGCCCTACACCATTACCAAGTCCAGAGAGAGCTGGACTGAGCAAGAACACGACAAGTTTCTCGAAGCCCTGCAACTGTAAGCTTCTCTCTATCTCTTTATCTGATTAGTTGTGTGTTTGGTTGACAAGAAGCGGATGCAAAGAAATTAAAAGAAAATATATGAATTCTATTTTTTTTTTTTTTTTTTTTGGTAAATTCTCTTTAATTAAAATATTATGTGGTAGGCTTTGGTTGAGAGTGGTTTAATTTTCTCGCGGTTTGGAATAGGGTTCAAATGGTTTTTGTGATTTTCCTACATTTTCTGTTGAACCAAACGGCAATTGTGAGTAATTTTAGCCACTTATGTGATCTTAAGTGAACTAATTTGGTGTTATTTCAATCTTAAAATGCTTTTATGAATATAATGAATGTGATTCCCATTTAGTTTAACCTGAAGTAACTAAATGAAATTGGATGGTGGGAGTCATTGACACGACATGGATTTTCATGTGAGAGAAAAAGTTTGGGCCCTTATATTCCAATTTATTAATAATTGTCAGTGTCAATTCCTTGCTAGAATATTGAAAAAGAAAATCTTTAAGGCTGTGTTCGTTTACATGGAATTAGAGCTTTGGAATTGGAATTCGTGGATTTGGAGAAAAGCAACAAGAAAAATTGAACCAAAATTTTCTCCAATTCCACAAATTCCAATTCCAAGGCTCTAATTCCACGCAGCCGAACACAGCGCAAGAGAAACTTATGAAATATAATTCTTGTTTTACTACATTCTAAAAATTGTTTGGAGTTCTAAAGTGCTTTAAATTTTGGTTTCTTGGCATCTGCCCTATAAATCCGAGAAGCAAGTTATTGTAATCCGATTCAAAAGTTACTAAGTCATAATGTATACAAGAGCATGATTTATATTTTCCCATTACCATATTGAGGAGGAAGACAAATTCTGATCCCTCTTCTTTTTTTGTTTTCCTTTTTTTTCTTTTTACTTGAGAATTTTCAGCTTTGATCGTGACTGGAAAAAGATTGAAGCTTTTATCGGGTCGAAGACAGTGATCCAGGTAATTTTAAATAAATGCTTACTTTGATCATAGATTAACTGTAACTAAATATCAAGCTATAACTATATGAATTTCGTTAGTTAGTCTTGTGACCTGTCAATGCCAAAAATAGAATAGAAAGATTGGGTCCCTTGTGCTGTAATATTTTTCTCAAATCAGTCACTCCCCTTTGACATAATTTTTCACTTGATATTAGATAAGAACTCTATAATGAAATTGATATGGTTCCACTGCAAACTAAGCTTTTCTATTAGGTTCTTTTCAAGGAAAATCACTATAACTATTAAGTTTTAACATCACAGAATATGAAATTTTTATGGTGATTTTCGTTTTGGGTAAATTAGAGTGACCTCCTCTGAGGTTTGTTATAATTACACGACCTCACTCTTGATATAATTTTTTAACAGATTTCCTCCTTTGTTAACAGTCAACGCCTGTCAACAACATTTTTTGCTAATGTCGGCAATTTAGAATTTTAGAATATGAATTCTGCCTTGCAGTACCAATTCTTTTAGTTTTTTTAGTAAAAATATTAAATTAAATTAAGGCCAAAATAGTTGTAGAATGAATGACGAATTTAACGTCATGTGATGGAAGTTTCTGATTGAGGTGGTCGGTAAAAAAATTTAAATAACAGGGAACACATTGTAATACATGAAGACTTTAGGACTGAATCTATTGCTATATAGATTATAGAAATTCTGAAGGATGCTGTTGAAACTCCTTAGTCTGATCGTTTGATTGAAACAATAAATCTGATACCTTGGAGCATCAGCTGTATCTTGCTGGCAATATCAAATCATTGACAGAATTTTAGGAGAACAAAATTTAGATGATGAAATGATGCCATTTTATTACATCAGTCAATGTGTATTTATCATGTGGTTAACCCTAATAACTTTGATTTATTTTTTAAGAATACAATGTCAAAGGTCCTGTATGGCCAAAAGAAGTATGTTGTAAATCTATTATGTATCTAATTCACTGCTGAGTTTTTCATGAAAATTAGTCGTGCTTGGCTTGTGAATCTATGCTATAAAATTATGATTGGAGAATCGCATAATCATAGCTTGGTAGGTCCTGAATTTATATTCTGGCTCATATCTTCTTGGCAATTGTTATGGGGCAAGTGGACCACTAAACATCTTATCATTATGCTTGTAACAGATGTTAAAGGGTAATCTATATAGCAGATATTAAAAGGTATTCTACGCCGATTTTTTTGTTTCATAATCTCTTCACTATATAACAAAGTTTGTAAGGTAATCTATGCAGATACGTAGTCATGCACAGAAGTACTTTTTGAAGGTGCAGAAGAATGGGACAAGTGAGCATGTACCTCCACCTCGGCCGAAGAGAAAAGCTGCTCATCCATACCCACAAAAAGCCTTTAAAAATGGTTGCATTTTTTTTATTTTTTATAATGCTTAGTATAAAACCTGATTGTAATATTGCTCTTGCTCACATTCCTGGCATCTCCTGTGGTCTCCCAAGGTACAGGAGCAATTCCATCTTCACCTGCTCTGCTTGAACCTGGATGCGTTCTCAGGCCAGATTCATTGCCCGTCCCTAGAAACACAGTTAGCAGTGCAGCTTTGACTTCCTGGACCTACAATACTGTGCCGCCAGTGAGTGTGCCACATGAGGCCAAAGGTTCCTGTTTGTTTATGCTCTGTCGTTTACTTGGTGAACCAGAATTTTTGTTTCAAGAAGTTGTTGGTTCCATGCTGCCAAAATAACATCTATACTGTGTTTGGTTGCAGATGATACGGGTTTACGTATGCCAAGTATGGCACATAATTGCTCTTACTGTTGTAGCAACGAGAGCAATCGGGAGATTTGGCCAACTGATGGTACAAATGTTCATGAAAAAGGGAAATACAGGAAGCCAATGAGAGGTTGATACCTTCTTTTGTGTGTGATGTCTTAATTGTTTAGCCAAATATACTCAAGAGCTTGGTTAGCTGAAGCCAATTAACTTGTTCAGGTTATAATTTGCCAGTTGTACATCCAAGTGTCTCGTAAATGTGTGTTGGGTTTGTCATCAGAACATTTATTTATTATTAAATTCTTTTGCCTCATTGATGTTTTTAAAAATTTGGAAGCCCACATAAAGGGATTATAGGCAGCTGCAATTTCGAAATAAATTTCTTACTACTAAAACTACATTGGACTGATATCATTTAGTCTTTATGATATTGTTGAATATATGTACTCAGGATTGTGCGCTGTCTTCCAAATGCTTCCCTGCCTCTAGAGGCAGCTGGTTTAAGCAAAAAACCCTTGTGACTATTTGTGCGTCATTCTCATTCATCTAGTAAACCAAATTCATAGTATTAATATCATGTGTATCGACATTAATGAATAGAATTAGTGTGGTTCTCCTTCAGAACAACAGTTATATGTAGTGTTGTTTTAAGATAATTCTGATTTATTGCGTGCACTTAGTAAAGGCATAAAATCTAATTCATATAAGAATTCCATGTTGTTTTCTCATTTTGAACCAAAATTTTAATGTTTAATGATACTAAATAACTTATTTACATAACTGTTTACTGGCTGGTTTGGCGGCTCTACCCCTGATTATTTTTTTTCTTTTCATTTCTTTTCTTCTTCTTTTTTCCCCTATACATAATTAGTCTTGCCTACCATTGTTTCTTATCTGTCTTTTTCCTTAATTCTTGTCCAACTTATCAATGATGCAATATTATTAAGTTGACTTTCTTTTATATATGCAGTTATGCCAGACTTTGCTCAAGTATACAGCTTTATTGGCAGTGTGTTCGACCCCAATGCAAGTGGTCACTTGCAGAAATTAAAGAAGATGGACCCAATAAATGTTGAGACGGTAATTCAGTTGTTATATCTCTATTAATTTAATTATTTGTTTGAGAAGTAAATTAGCTGTTTTCATAATGAATTGTAGCTGGCAAAGTCTAAGAAAGGATAGTGATGTCTTATTTTGTTGCTTGGGAAGGTTATGATGTAAAAGAGATTGAATTATGGTGGAAAATTAACTGCTTAAGGATGGTTTCAGAACATGGATATCTTCTGGGTGGGAGGGAGGGGTAGGGGGGTTTGCATTGGCAATGTACCAAGAGGGCTCTCTCTCTCTCTATGTTGGACATACTAAAGTTTTGTGTCATTGCTTTTAGTAATTCTTCTCTTTGGATCTGATTTAGTTAAGTTAATTGCATAAAAATATGCTTTTCAGTCTTAATTGATTTGTGGTACAATAGTGAAAACAAAAAGGAACTTTCTAACTAGATTTGATAAAAAAAAAAAAATTCCATTCAGTGCCTGAGCTTTTATAGTTGATATCAAAAGCCTCTACAAATTATTTTTAGTCTTACTAATCACGTGCTAATAATTAACGGTCTATAAATGGGGGATTCGCTTGTGTGCTTTGACTGAGATGAAGAGCTCCTTTTTGTTTTGCTTTTTTATTTTTATTCTTTTAACTCTTTCAGTACCACAACCTGAGTGGACTGAAGTTGGATTAACTGAATCCGGCAGGCCGGAATGCCGACCCCATTCTTATGGGATTAAGACAAGGATGATGACATGGTGGTGGTGTGGTGATGATGAGTACCACAACCTGACTAAAGTATTTCTTCAGTATAGTCTGAAGTATTTCATATGCCTTTGGTGTAACTAGATAAATTGGGGAGCATTTATTTATAATAGCAGCCCTTTGATCATGTACATCAGATTGTTTCTTTAGTATTGACTTATTCTTCAATCTTAAAATGTAGGAGTCATATTATGGCGAATTATATCATAAATGTTGTAAATGTCTACATGATACATTAAAAAGTGAATCTGAAAATGATCTGTTGAACTTTTTATTTTACTTCACTCTGGTTCAACCTTATACCATACTATTACTGGGTGCTAGCCTGTCAAAGTAACAGCATTCTGAAGTTACCTATTCCAACCTACCCTTCTTACCTTGAAAAAATTGCATGTGTTTCTGCATTCGTTGTTTTTGTGTGTGCATGAACTTCATCCACAGTTCTGGAGATAAATCTGGTTTGTTTTACTTAAATAGTTTGCTTGAATTGTCTGACACGTTTCTTACCAACTTGACGGATTCCATTTGCTTTCATCCAGGTACTGTTGTTGATGAAGAACCTCTCTGTCAATTTGGCAAGCCCTGAATTTGAGGATCATGTGAGTTCTTCTTCTTTCTTTTTTTTCTTAGTTGGTACTCACACACACATGCTTCCACTGAGGCTTGAACCCCTGACCTCCCTTTGGGAAGTAAGGGCCTGATACCGCTAGGCCACTAGCCCGTTGGTATGTGAGTTCTTCTTTTCACATTCCCAATATTATTCTCTTCACAATAGTTGTTCCATCATATGCTCTGACAGCTCTAAAATAATTGGTTCCAGAAAGCACCTGTCAAGCACTGTGCTTTCTATACTCAATTTCCTGTTATCGGAACCATTCATGTGCCTTTTTGGACTTCTTATTTCCTTGATCTAATGTCGAAGGGATTTGAGGCTCTTGATTAGGACATAGATTTTGATTTCTTTGAATTATTTATGGTATAAAATTGTACCATTTTAGTTGTTGCATCTCTCTTACATGAACTGAAATTCTCATTTAGTGTTAGATCTTTTAATTAGAAACAACAGGGAGCATGAGACTTTGTTTCATGCCTTCCAAATTTATTAGCTAACTGTCCTATTTGCCTCCTATGCCATCGTTTGCTATTGCTTCAGGTGGCAAAGTAACTGTAAGCTATTTTCTTTGATATATTTTACGTGCATTCTTAAACACATCATGCTGGTGACTTATTTTCTTTTTTCCATCATGGCGTCTCAGTGCTTGCATGTCATTGTGATATATCTTTCCATTTCATTCCGCATTTAGTGGTGAGTAATCAAGCTTAAATATGTACATTATCAAGCTGAGAGGTTATCTTATAACGAATTTCAAGAATTATCATAATCAATCCAAGAGGTTGCGATTTCTATTGGCCTTATTACCAAGTTCTTTGAATCGTAAAAAACATAGATTTTTCCCCATTGCTAATCTTTTTTACTTTTTGGGGGGATTGATCCAGAGAAGGTTGATCTTGTCATATGATATTGCCTCTAAGAAGGCTAAATTCAGTAGCCCTTTCAACAATCTCCATTCTGATAAACTAGACAGAGCTATATTATCTGTGTAGGAAGTGAAAGGTAAGAAAGAGAACCTCTTTACAGTGTTCAGAGAATTTGCTGTGTTTTGTTAGCATAATAATTCATGCCTCTTACAATTTCAATCCAAATATTTGCTGAATATAGGTGAATAAATGCAAACGCGGGAAAACAGCTCTGGTTGTCGACCACAACTGATAGCATTGAGATGCTTGTATGTGTGTATATATGGCGTAACAATTACTATCAATTAAGGAACTCTCAGTCCACTGCTAGGATTATTGATAATACCATTGTGGGCTTTTAAGTTGTGTATATACGTAAGTTGTGAGCTTTGGATGCAAGTCTTTCAAGTTTTGACTTTATATTGCACCCTGAGAGACTTTTCTGTCAAAGAGTTTCAGATGTGTGTTTCGATCTTGAGTGTATGTCACTGTTATATTGAACCAGGATTGTTTTTGAGGCTTTGCTTTGTGAAATGTATTTGTGGCAATATTTCAGTGTAATCTACAGGATTCTTTCGTCTTTTATCTGGAATGAATTGAACGGTCAAGAACGACTTCGATGGAATTCAAAAAAAAAAAATGTCAAAAATTATTCCTGTAATTATTTTTGTAGCCAACTGGATGAACACCAGAACAGTCAAGACATGGCATTAGAAAGCAACCTTTCACACACCAATTGTCAATGTACGTACCTCTGCCTACTCTATAACTTTTGTCTACAATAAACAAAAACCTATTCATCCATGCTAATAAAAAATTGCTGCTTCTCTTTTCGGTGATTCCCTTGGTCTCTCTCTCTCTCTCTCTCTCTCTCTCTCCCTCCCTCTGCTTCTAGCAGTTTGGAATCACGCTTTATTATTATTATTATTATTATTTATCATTAAATGGCGCTCTCTCTCTCACACACACACACACACAAAATGCATTTTCATCGGACGGCCCTCCCTAACACAAAAAGTGTGGCCCTCTCAAAAAAAAAAAATAGATAAATAGTGTTGGGTATGCACACCAGATAATAGTTAATCCAAACAAAAGAATTGGAATTGTAGCTCAATTCTATATGAATTCCAAATTCGTCCAAATAATGGATTTAGAATTGGAATAGACTGTGTTTGGCGGCATGAGAAAACTTTAATTCAATTTATCCAATTCCATGCCTGCAAACATAGCTGAATTCTAATTTCATTCCTGCAAACATAGCCTTAGAATTCCAATTCTGTGCAGCCCAAAGCACCCTATTTAAAATCAGCATGGACAGAATTCCAAAATGAACATCTGTTTGTGCCGATTGATTCTGCCTGTTATGTGATTCATCTATTTTCATCCTCCTTGATTATATCCCCTTGTGAATGGAATCGACCACATGAATTCTTTTATTACTATTATTATTATTATTATTATTATTATTATTATTTTTTCCTACAAATGGCCACTAATAGTGAATTTTAAAAAAAATAAAATGTTGGAACGTGAAAAGGCATTTAAGCATTTCAGTACTAACTACACAAAAATAAGGATAAGGAACTCAAAAAGGGCTACTTTTATGTCATCTTCGCCAAATGGGCAGAATATAAAGCGCAATAGGAATAGCACTTACAGACACCAGTAAACACTGAACAAAACATTATTGCACGGAAGAGATAAAAACAATACGCTACATTCCTGTCAGATAGATATCTGCAATCATCCGAACATGAAGATGCTTGAAGCCCTGCATGGCCAACTGAGTGGAATAAAAATGCTCTTGCAACGCAGTTCAATGCTACCATACACTATAGTGCTTACTGTTGAGCCAAAGAAAGCTCCAACCATATCATGCATGGCACGAGCAAAATGTTCTGATAGAACTCTCTTTTTCTTCTTTTCTTCAATTTTTTTTTTTTTTTTTTTTTTCCAGTTTCTTCTGAAAACGACAAACAAAAGCAAAATACGAAATTGTGTAACCAAAACAATAATTTACACCAGTTCCACTCTGTCCTTCCTACAATAAGCAAACTACACCTGACCTCCAATCCAGACGCAGAGATGGAAATAGACGACTATCTATACCGAAAACCCATGTCAAGCTCGTGGCCATACATCCCCTGGCTACGGCCGGGGGCTGCTAAAGGATGTATCTGTTTGGAATTTGCCCTTAGTTCCATCTCCATAAGCCTTTGGAATGCTTCTGGATGATTGCTTCCGACACTAGCATCAGGAGCTGAAAAGAAAATGAGATACATTACATAGTTTCATAAATAAACATATAATGGACATCAGAAAAGACAACAATAGGAGACACGCTTTACTCAAAACAACAGGGGACACACTTACTGATCAAATAGATTATAGCCATCTCTAAATACTAGTAAGGCAAGTACTACCACCTGCTCTAAACACTACATATTGTCATATGCCACACAAGTAAATTAGCTCATCTCTAAAGGGGCTTCACCACCACTCCAACACAATGTAACCACATAAGCTGGACTCCTACTTAAAATGATATGAAATGAAGCAAAGCATAAGACCAACATTACTCCTATAATTACAATATATTAAATATTTCTGGCAAATTAACAGGAGCAAATGAGAAACACATGGTAAAAATGTGTAGGATATGCATATAATACCCGTAGGTGCGTATAAATAACAAATACTTCCGTTTGTTGTACATATTCAAACCTAACCAATATTAACTTTTTAGTTGAATCGTATAATACCCGTGTTCTTTTAAAAGATTTTGATTGCCTTTAATCATCTTATTATAACAAATAAAGGATTTAAATAGTGTACAAAATAAAACCAATATCTTTCTTAACTATTAATTTCATTATCCTAGTCATCACGAAAGTTAATGTTTAATATCTCATAAGCCAATTAGTATATAATACTATATGTTAACTCCAAGGTTTCAAGCCAAGGGCATCTTGGTAATTTTGATGATAACCTATTAATGTGGGAATCTGGTAGTTTACTTGTCTACATCTTGTGACATGACCAAGGCACTGCAAGTGCCAAAATATCTAGTGTTGGCAGCTCAACGTCTACGTGTTTCCACAAGACGTCCACCCCATGTGAGTTGGCAAATCTCATGAAATGCCAACAAGAGTTCTATGTTCTACATGTAAGGATACGATGCTTACACCTTAATGTCCTGCAAGTGCCGACTTTTCAGTGCCTTGAGGACAAGGCGTCTACCAGTAAAGAGAAGACAGTCTTCAAGGAAACTATCTACTTGTATCACACTTTTTACGAACCTATTTCCAAACAATCTCACAATTACTCTTTAACGGATATATTTTCAGCTGAGACCATAAATAGGAGGTCCCCTCCACCGTTTGGGGTAACTTATGAAAATTTTGAGCTTTTGGGCAAAAACTTTTCAAAGAGCTTTTTGAGACATAGATTTAAAACTTTTCAAAAGGCAAAAAAAAAATATTTTGCCTTTTGCAATCTCAAGTCTCCTACACTCCATTGAAAATCAAAGAGATATTCTCTAGAAATTGGGGTTTCAGCACTTGCTTCATCTATTACTATAGAGAAAGAGAACTTTCATTATATATCAATCTTTTGAGAGATCATTGTGGTGAGCTTCTCATTGTAAAATCAATTCAGAAAAGGGACACCATTGTTGTGCTATAACTTCATATATATCTTTGAGAGAGAATGTACAGAAGGTTGGTGTAACCTTCTTGAAGTCTAGGTGAGACATGCTCGTTTAGCAAGTACATCTCGCGGAGCACTGTAAGGGCCGTCTTCCACCCGTGAAGGAGAGCCAGATACTAGATTTGGGAATCCACAAGATGTGCTCTTGAGGCGTGGATGTAGGCAGGGTAGCCAAACCACGTAAATCCTTGGTGTTCTTGAGTTTGCATCTCTGTAACTCTATCTCTTCATCTTTTGAGCTTTGCATTCTCTACTATGCATTACAACTACTATATTCTGTTTACAAACCAAGCTTTTGAGCTAAATAGAAAAGCTATCCCCTCTTCAGTCATTGTTTGGGCAACACTATATACAGGATTTTTTAAATTTTAAAAAAAAAAAATGTAATGAATCAATTTAACTATATAATTATACATATTTTCAAAAACTTATAACAATATTTGAGATATAAGATTTGTTTTTTCGGTTAGTATAAAATAGGATATCTGAACAAGTAAATATGCGACTCTTATATCTTTTTACAATAGTTTCTTATAACTGTGAACTAATTTATCACTCTTTTAATTTAGTTGAATATTGAGAGATTAAAAAATAAAAATAGAAAAATAGAAAATAATATCGTATTATGTATACAACAACTAATATATATGAGTGCTACTGTGTTTTTTTATCCCAATTTTTTTATAAGCATCCGTATCATACTTGTCTATGTATATACGTGTCTATGTTTGCCATTTACCCTTTTTTATGCCGGATTTTTAATCCTATTTTTCAAGAAAAGTTGTATTAAACCCACACGTATTAAGTACCCTTTTGCTCATCCCGTATTTTACACACTATGTAGAGACATCAACATAGATTGCTAATTTCAGCAGCCCAGATTAGTTCATCAACCAGTCTGTCCTGACAGCCGACTGAAGCAGAAAAGATAAAACCGCACTCAGGTGCTTCCATGCTTAAGAGTTTACCGAACCAAGTGAACTTAGAACTCATGTTTTAAATAAGCTAAAACTTTAGTCACTAGATAAGAAATTGATGGAACTAAATGACTACGGAATCCTAAAGTAGAGCATCACATAATGCAAGAAAACTTCGGCATCCTTAGCTTAAACTTCAACAATCAAGGAGTGGAACAAATAGGTCTAACTGTATGAAAGTTAACATAGGTTTGAACCAATAGTGATCACATCAGCAGAGACTGGGCACGACACAAAAAATTATTGATAGAACTTCCATGTGCTGCAAAGTGATGAATTTTCTTACTGATATGAATTTAGATCACTAATCACTAGGATATGGAATTCATCCAGCAAAGAGCATTGTAGAAAAGGCATACAGAATATAGAAAAGCACTGAGATTTTTACCTGGCAGTTGCATTCCAAGGCCACCAAAATTTGGTTGCTGGTGACCAAAAGGAAACCCTTGTATTGTGTTTGGTTCCTGCATCAAACCAACTGCCTGCTTGCTGGATTGAGGAGGGAGTGGAGCACCCCTCGGAAATTCCCGTAGTAGGTGAGGTGGGGGGAAACTGCCTGACATTTGCATCTGCTGTAACATAGGATGCTGACTAAGAGGATCAAACCCCATTAACCCTGTGGTCGAGTGATGGAAAGGAGGGCGAAGCATATTTGCAGGAAATGGATGATTGGGTGCAGCATCATGACGGATGATGCTCTCCGGAGCCATGAACTTCATCTGGGAATTAACATGAGCAGGGTGAGAATCTAATGGATGGAATGATGGCCTCCCATGATTCATCTGAGGACGAAATTGTGGAGAAGATTCTGGGGCATGAAGACTGCGGTATGGATTCTCAGGCTCCATCATATCGTAAGGAACATGAACAAAAGGTTGACCTTCCAGACCTACCATAGATCGTTCATCTTTGAGAATCGTATTAAGAGCGGCAAGTTTCTCAGCTACGATAGCTGGTGTGTTAGAGGATAACAACTCACCTATAGTTGAATTTACAGTGGGCATAATTATAGCATGTGAAGATTTAACAGGATCGCCAACTGTAATCAAGCTCTCCTCTTCAGGTAACTGAATTTCAATTGCCTTGTCAAAGCCACCATGTTTAGATGGTACTTCAGTTCGGATATTTGATTGGTCCACTTCAATTTGAGGATCATTAAAGCCTAACCAATTTTCAATTTTATCCGGCTTGGTTTTCTGTCTATGATCTGATGCCAAAACATTGCTTTCATAGCCCGCCCTGTTGTGTCCAATATCACCAACTGAAGAAGGAAAGAGACCATCATTTAACACATCAATTCTTGCAGAACCAGCTGAGCCCCTTTGCACAGAGACTGGTGCTTCAGCTGACTGCAGCTCCTTCATGAAAGCAGTTCCAAAAAGTGTTTCAAGAGTCAGGGTCTTCCCTGAATTGTGAATATTTTCAGAATTTGCCCCTATTGGGATGTCATTCTCACTGCCAATATTTTCTACATCAAAGAGATGCAGTCTGTCTGAGGATTCAGTGTCAAGAGTGGGAGGTGGTGTCACATCTTTCAGGCCAGTTCCCTTCTGTAACAAGGAAAGGAGGTGTTGTGATGCCTGATTGTCAATATCTGCTTTTGGCTGCTCAATCTTTGAACCAGTAACAGTCCAGCCTTGTACAGGCTGCTGCGAAGTTGTACTATTTTCAGTGAACTCGGACAGAATTGTCTGTTCAAGGTCTTCGCATGTAAGAACTGAAGGAATCGCCTCTTGTTTACTACAAATGTTCAACTGCTCAGATATCTCAGTTGTGGCGGATGTTATATTAGATACCATATTCCTGTTGCTAAATTCAGAGCTCTGGAAAGGAAAATCTGGTGGAATTTGCTGGGTAGCTATCACATCAGTTACTTGGGATCCACCCTTCCCACCACCACCAATTAAAGAAAGCAGATCACTAGACCTACCAGATGAAAGTTCATCTGCTGGCTTATTTTCTGCAATGAGACAAAGAAGAATTAAGTTAGAAACAACTCAAATTAGATAGTTAAAAAAATAAGCAAAGAAACTTGAAGCTTAATACCACCATAAAATTCTAATAAATAATATATATGCATATCTACCATCTTCAAGAAACCAATGAGCAAACTTGGAAGACTGGACAGTACTCGGGCTCCATGTTTCATCTGGTTTACTATCATGACGCTGAGCCAAAAAAAAATGATAAAAGGTGTCAAATTATAATGTAAAGAACTTTGCAGCGACACATCAGATACAAACATTGTTCTAAATTTACACTCTTTTCTTAGAAACATAAGCCAAAAAAAATATCCTCACCATCTTCTTCATGCGAATCTAGTATGAATAAACTAGCAGCAGACAATCTGAATGCATTTTCAGCAGACAGAGAGAGAGAGAGTCGGATAATTAAAGTTCAATCACTCAAGCCTCATTTTCAATAGCTTTGATCAGTGGAAATCATTAAAGGATTGTCCCAGTCTATTTGATGTGGCATAACTTGAGCTTAGGACCATCAGCCACTAGGACAGATCACTGTATGGCATACTTGATTTACATTGGTTCAACATGGTGTGATTTCATTAGATATTGGATTATATTGCCACAGATTTATTCACATATGATATGATTGCATTAGCTCCTGTGCTTTATTCATTTTAAGATGGAACACTCTATTTAGTCAATGGAACTCGATGAATAAGAATGTACTGTGGGTTGAGTACCCAAATCCATCAGGCCACACCAGGTGGAATCCGATTACATTCACCGAGAGATGTCAATAAATACCACATGTCAAAGTAAAATGAAGAACCTTATGAACAATCAAATTGCTTGTTTTAAATCACCAATAGTCAGGAGCCATCAGATGGTGGATCTGAATTAAAGTTACTAGAAAACAACATCCAAACAATCTACATTCCAGACCATGTTCAACAAACTCTTCCATAATGAAACACCAAATACAGCAATTTATTATTTTCTTAATAATTCCGCTAAATATCCTTTTTTTCTTCTAATAAGGCTTATTGATGACTAGAGTTTTAATACTACATTTCTTAGCATTCCATCGCATATCAAGAGCTCAATGCAAATATGCTGCACGTTTTAGTAACTTCTTCAAATGACATACAAAATGCTTAAAAAGTAATATATACATATACATATAGGTAAAGTGCAAAAAAAAAAATCCCATAATATACCGAATGTGAAAATACCCCCCTGGTGTTAAAAAAAAAAAAAACCCTGTATTGAGCAAATAAGGACATTTTTGTCAATTGAAGACTGAAATACCTAAAATGCCCTTACAATAAAATAAATTTAAAAAAAAAAAACATTGATTTCAGTTTTTAAGGGTACCTTAGGGGTATTTTGGGGTTTTATAATAAAATTTTGACAGTCAACAGATATTAGGGTGCAATTTGCACATATTTTCAAATGTTAGGGATTTATTAGGTTTTTTTTTTTTTTTTTGCACATTTTTTATATGACGGGGTTATTTTTTTTGCACTTTACCCTATATTTATCACAAACATATATACACATACCTCATTTATGAAAAAAAAATATACATAAACATACTATAAGGCAAGATCAAATTACACATTGTTCAATAAAAAATATTCTTACACCCCACAATAGCTCTCTGTAGGGTGCATCTTTATTTACGTGTATTTAATTGTCCCATTGGCATTTCACTCTAAACTCAAGCTATATTCTAATAGTTTATGAAGAAAAATGCGAGTTCACGGATTTGACACCTAGCCATATCCTACCAAGTTATTAAAGTGTGTGCAGACAAACACAATATAAGTACCTAATGTAATGGTGGCTTGACAAAACATGTCACCAACAAGAAGTTATCAAGGGGTTTTATATGAGTGCACGCCTGTCTGCAGACGCATACCATGTTCTCTTACTTTCCCATTCTGCATGCCAAATTTATCCATAATCCATATAACATTCCGAATCTCATTTTGCTGCTCACATTCACATGATTTTGACTAGGGTCCGTTAGTTGGCAGTTCGCATATTTGCCAAAGTTGGTAAGGCATGATTTCAAATTTCAACAGTGTGGAATAAATATTTTGATGCTAATATGGCTTGATTTTAATGGTTTTAATGCTTTTCTGGCGTTCACATATCACATATCACATATATATTATTCTCTGCAAAACATTGAGTTGGGACATACAGGACAGAAACCAAACCCAATAACTGGAAAGTTGGAGTTGATAATGTTTGATGTAAGAGGCCCCTTTAAAGAGACACATAAGACAGTGAGCTACAGTATATACAAGGCTATTGTATGTTCATATAAGTGATCCAAATATAAATATATTTCAGGCTCCATGTGTCAGATTTAACAGATCCCAACCTGAAAGAGACATGCAATACACGTATTGGAAAAAAATCGTATGTTTCACAATATTTATTCAACCAAGTAACATCAAATGATGGTGCAAGGAAGCTTGCATGGGCAGCTCAGCTGGTAAGGCCATTGGGGGTACTCCCCTTAGGTTGCTGGTTCGTCTCACATAAGGTGAAGGCTGGGTTTAAATGATGCACGTGGTTTGTGGGCGATTGCGTGCATTCGGAGTATTCAAACCATCCGAAAAGCCAAATAGTTAGCGGATGGATTGATTTTGCCAACTACAAAAAAACAAAAAACAAAAAAACCAAAAAGAAAAAAAGGAGGTGGTGCAAGGAGGAACGAGGAACCAATATCATAGACAGAAGTTCCTAACAGTGAAAAAGAGTAGCAATTATATTTCAGTTCATCGAATAAAACCGACACAGCAGCCACCAAAAATTAATGTTTTTGCAAAGTGCGAACAAATGAAACTTAATATGCAACTCTTTATGCAGACACGCACTAGATTATGTAAAGAGTGAAACAACATTAAGGAAAAATTGATGTCATGAGTAGCAATACAAGTTCAAAGGTAGAGGTAGAGAGCTGGATGTGATCAATTTGGGGCTTGAGGAATGTGGAACCATTATCATAGCGGGAATTCCTAATGGTGAAACAATAGCAGCTCTATTTCAGACATAGACACACACCAACGCACAAAAATCCAGTAAATTAGCTTGGAAACATTATTGGGAAGGCAGCTACACAGTTATATAACAGTGAAGTTTTCTTTCCAACTTTAGTTCCACCACTAAGTAATAACCTCAAATATATTGCTAACAAAGAAAAATGAAAATAAATTGTCAGCATTCTGGAATTTAAGAACACAGAGATGTTAATGATTCTGAAGAATATATATATATATTTTTTATAAGTTAATTGCAAGTTATCAATAGGAGAACTAGAAAAAGTCAGAATACTAGTGATCAGTCTTATGTTCATATACATATGACAACAACAACATGAATGACATCGTGTTTCACAACGTCTGGTCCTGTTCAAGATCTTAAGTTGCACTATTTACAATTTACTTTTAAAAATTTGTAGTGTTTGAACAGAGTGGAGATTAAAGGGCAGCTATAAAGAAAATGCTCCCAAAGAACAATAATTACCTCAATGACACCCGAGGAGCCACCAATATTCACTGTTAAAGCACCGCCAAAAAGCTTTTCTAGGATTGATGTTGAATGATCCTGATTGGAATCACCAAGAAATTTATGCCCTGTCACCTTCTCAGCATCAACTTCAATTACTTCACCAATATTCAGGCTTTCATGGGCTTCTGAAACACTAGAAGTTTGGTAAAGTTTATCATCTATGCCAAGTTTCTTGTTAGAAACTTGCAAAGCTGATGAATAATTCACATCCCTTTCATCCTTGTTTACAAATGGTGAAAGAAGACTCCTATTTTCTTGAGCCTTCTCACTCAAATCCAGTCCCTTGGCTGAATTTATCTCCTCGTGATTATCAAGAGTCCCATTTTGCACAGGATTGGTTTTTGAATGTGAAAGATTTTCCTCAATTTCAGGTCCCCCAACCTGTATAAACATAAACACAATTGTGCTTAATAAACGAAACAGAAGAATGCATACAACATTTACTTAATTTGATCTACTTGGGTCAGCCACTACTAAACCATCTTCCAGCATATTAATTCAACAACAGGCGAACTTCATAGCAATTAAACATTCTAATAACAATATGTAAATTGTGCAGTGTCAAGCCTTCTACCCACTACCCCCTAATTATTTTGTTACAGGTATTGCCACCCTTTACTTCTCCCCCATCCAGATGTCCGGGTCTTCTACTTCTCTCCTCTGTGTACCGTCAACCCCACTCCTCTAACATGCTCTGTCCACCCCCCAAAACATGTTTGCCTTTTCCCTTCAGCAATTTTTAAATAAAACCCTCCACCCATCTTTCTGTTTGTGTGTTCAGTTCAGTCTCTTCTTCTTTCAGTCTTTCACATAAGAATTATAAGAAAATTATATGATACTACAGAAGAAATCAAAATCATTTTAATTATTCTGCAAATGCTTTCCTCACAAGTCACAACTAATGTTCAATTATGAACTAGTTATTATCTTAGATCATAAATGTGCTCAACCTTTTTTCCTTTCTTTTTTTACAAAGAAAAGACAAGTCAAATAACACCTCAGCGGCAAAACAAACACGACATTGCCTACTAAGCCAGTGTTACAAATGTGGAATTCAGATATCTAGTTTGGTGATCAAATTTCGATCAGCACTCGCCTTACCCGTGCCATGAACCACACTCATAAGAATAAGACGTTCAACACCCTAAAACACGTATAATTGAGAAAATCGGAATATCAGTGCCTTGGGTAAATGCCTACCTTTGGGAGACTCTTACTGAACGAGTATCAAACCTGTCCTCTTCGCTTCCCAAGATATTTAGGGACAAGGGCCTTCTCGGCCACCGCTTGCTGACGACGGAATGTATTATCAATTAAAGGGTCCTCGCGTTGGACTTAGTTGGAAAGGTAGGTGTCCAACATGTCCCTTGCTTCGTTACCACCCTCCCTATTGGCCAAAAGAAAATTCCATGTTTGCCTTGTAAACAAGTAACATATATGTTGGAAAATATTCCCCTCCCCGTTCGACTCTCTCTTTAAAGTGCTTGGGTATCTTTTCCCAATTGCATATAATTCAAAGAAGAAGAACGTCTGTATTAAGAACTGCAACTGACTTTTTTTCCCTTGAAGAATAAAAATGCCAATACCATACCTACCAAAAGAACTTGAAACTAGAGAAACTCGTGTCAGAAATTGTTCCCTCCACGCCACTGTCTTGTGTTGGCACCTGAGCCCAATCTACCACGTGTCTTCTAAATAGTAATGCACATGACACTTGCCATCCCACTATGTGACACCACTATGACAACCCATGTGACACATCACCAATCTGCCAGGCCGTATTCTCCAGAGGACAACTCTCCATTCTCTTAATAATTAAGGTGCATCTCCATAGACGCGGTTCTCTGAGACTGCAATATGTATCAAATCTCTATATTCTTCATTGATGATGGTCCCTTGGTCAACAAAACAATGCCTCAACCTTAAAACCTGACAAATGGGTTTGAGTCACTCACTAGGGCTATCTCTGAATAACTAAAACTAATCACACCTCCTCAAATATGTATGAACTTTTACAAAAATTATATGTCACAAAATAATCTAATAATCTAATATGTCACCCAATTAGTTTACAAAATAATCTAATAGAAGACAAGACAGCCCCCACAAATATTAGAAAGCACAAGAAGATATGCTTCAACTTGTTAACCTCTAAAAGTATACCTTTTCCTGGCTCGCGTACCTTTCACACAAAAAACACCACCAAAGGCAAAAAGAGGACTTCCACACACTTTCAAACTCTAGACAACATCAGCAGCAAGAACTATGGGAAGCGGTGAAAGAACAAGAGCATATGTATCCACCACTACCTAACCACCTAGGCTCGATTTAGCATCTTCTAACTTCTTGTACGTGTACTGTCCTTCATGGGCTTGGATACTGGCATGGGTGCAAAGAGTGTTGTATCCTCGAAACTCCAGATCTCATAATATGAAAACTTGACTCAAAAGTTCAAAATGTATCTAAAAATTGGATACAATCACATAAACACATTCTGCACATTCAAATACATTATATGTTCTATAATATTATATCATATAATATTATTGTTATTTATGTGCATCTGGTAGAATTGAAGGAAGGTGGTACGAGGGAGGAGAGGAGGGATGGAGTAAGTTTCCATTGTTTGGTACAAAGGAAAGTTGGTGGGAAGGGAAGCATGGATGAGGCATCCCCCTGCGCCCCCAAAGAGAAGATAAGTATGGTATATTATGTAAACTGACACTATTATCCCCCATCAATTTTTGAAAAATTATACAATGAGGGTAACAGTAGTAAAAAAGATATATATAAAATACCTCCTTCCCTTCCCTCTTACAAAACAGTGGAAGGTGTCACCTCCTTCTACTCCCTCCCACTCAGCCAAACAAAAAGACAGAAGGGCACCTTCCCTTCCCTAGGGATGTCTCATCCATCCTTCCTACCTTCATTCCCACTCATTTTTCCATCCTTCTTAATAAACCAAGTATCAAGGATGTACTTGATTAGTTTAAATTTAGTGGGATGTTATGGAAGGGAAGGGGTTTCTATACATCTGTCAACATGAGAAGCATGAAGCCCTTCTCTACTATCAGATTCAAACTTTATCTCTCTTTCCATAATTATTTGTGATTAAAATGACTGATTTAGGTTCATACCCATTCCCATGTAGAGTGTTGGCAATACGGGTGCCATTGCGTGAAGACGAGAGTCCATGTAACATTGAACATGCAGCACCTGCCAAAGATAAACAGTTCATTTTCATTGTATTATCAATTTTTTAATTTTCCCAAGTGTAAACATCCATTTAAAGTAGGTCACCCTCAGAAGTACTTATATATCAAATCACATTCCAAAAAGTCCAAAACTTTCTCCAAACCCTTTCCTAGAAGAACCTTATAAAAGGTCCAAACCTCAAATTTCCGCCCTTTTATCACTTCCCAACTTAAGGAATCCTATCAACTCAATACTATAGACATAGAATAAGCCAAAAGATAACCTCCTCTAACTCCCAATCCTGAAGTGTCCTGCAAAATCTGGGATAGCAAATAGTCTCCCATAATTGCCACCTAAGCCTCTCCTTCTTAGCTGCTACTTTAGAGAGGTTCAGGAATCTTGTACATAAGAACACTCCCCACAGTCATAGCAAAAGGTAGACTCTCACCATTATCCACAATAAACATGATTTTCTTCAAAAACTTCCAAACCTTAATGATAGTTTTCCACCAAAGCCTCACAAACATAGAACAGTCCCTTCTCCTACTATTCCTCTCCTCTACATACCTCCACAACCACTTCACAGTAATGCTTGATTAAACTATTCAAATGCCTAAACCTTCACCAGAGTTGAGAGAAGAAATCAATTACCAATCCACAGATAAACTTGTTTACACTCCATTATACATAGAAATCTTAATAGAGGCAACTCCCTCCAATAGATTGGGTTGAAGTCAACACAATAAAGTTCAAGTAACCTAGCTAAGCAAGGTCTGGTGGGCTTCCTCAATTACCAATGCAACCTTCTTCTTTTTTCTTTTTTTGATAAGTAAAATTTCATAAAAGACACTCAAAAGGGGAGCGCTCCCAAATACATCAAAAGATGCCCTAGGCGCCACTATAATTTCAAGCTATCCACAAATTCCAAAAGATCCCCCAATGATATACAATTAGACCAATTAACCCAAAAAAATATAGAAGACAGTATGTTGTATTTGAGAGACCAAATAGGAGATTCCTCTCCTTCAGAAGACCTCCTATTCCTCTCTAGCCACAAACGCCACCATAAACAAAGGGGGGTGGTGGCCATTCATGCATCCCTAGCTCGGCTCTCCACTCTACACCCTCTCCAAGCCTCCAACATGTCAACCATAGAAGCGGGTGACACCCAACTCATACCAACATAGGTGGATTGGACAATCTGGATAGTGAACCAAGTGGAGGCAGTCATCCATGCACGAAATATTAGATCCTCGTGCTATTCATGTATCACTCACTACATTGTGTTTACTAGTTGTACATACACAAATTGGAGTTCTTACTGTACTTGTTTGCATAATTGAACAGTTATCTTCCAAGTATCAACGGCCAATGGCACATTTCCCTCTTCCGCTATTGAATTAGAAAGCTGAGTGGATGAAGCTGCTAAAAAGGACTCAAGTCCAGCACTTCTATAAGAACCTCTAGAACAGAAGAAACTTGGTGCAGCGAAGGTGGACAAGTAGGAAATTATTCTTAAAAACTTTTAAAGTTCAATAAAAGTTCCAAGAATCTATAATTCAGCAACAACATTACATGCAATACTGAGGCAGAGGATGAGAAATACACAATGAAAGATGTTTCTGATTAAAAGGCTGAGAGAAAAATGAGAACAGTGTGTTAAACCAAATATCATATTAATAGCCCACAACAAAAGAGGCCTAAAAAGAATTGAGTTTATCCCTAACTCATCCTTTTTAATTCACTCTAGCAAAATCAGGAATGGGTATCGTGAATGTAAAACTCCAAAGGAAAATCAAAACAATTGGATAAGAATTGGAAAAAAAGAAAACCAAAGTATACCTTATTCAATACTTCATGAATTTGGACAAGTAGGAAATTATTCTTAAAAACTTTTAAAGTTCAATAAAAGTTCCAAGAATCTATAATTCAGCAACAACATTACATGCAATACTGAGGCAGAGGATGAGAAATACACAATGAAAGATGTTTCTGATTAAAAGGATGAGAGAAAAATGAGAGCACCGTGTTAAACCAAATATCATATTAATAGCCAACAACAAAAGAGGCCTAAAAAGAATTGAGTTTATCCCTAACTCATCCTTTTTAATTCACTCTAGCAAATTCAGGAATCGGTATCGTGAATGTAAAACTCCAAAGGAAAATCAAAACAATTGGATAAGAATTGGAAAAAAAGAAAACCAAAGTAGACCTTATCCAATATTTCATGAATTCATGAGCCTGCGGCCCCTTGTCAACAAATTAGTTTACAAAAATGTTTTAAATTAAGCGGCTGTTACGGAACAATAATGGTAGGTATAACATTGCAGCCATTACCATTACTTAAAACCATGGTTGGGAGAAAAAGGGATGTGCCTATGAGCAACCAATTTCTAAATAAGAAACATATCATAGGGAAGTGATAGAAGTTTACCTCTGCTGGACCGGTGTGGATTAAAGATTTCATTCCAGAATTCCCATCCAAAATCGTGCTTGTGAAACCTGGGGGTACAAGGGGTCTGGATGCAGGAGTTCGCGAGGGAAAAGAAGATTTGCCAGAATCATTATTTAAAACCTGTAGCATCTCAGGTTCATCTGATTCAACATTTTTATTCAAAAGTCCCTTTTCATCTTTGGTATCCTCCAGCAATGCAGAAAATTCTGAGACGGGGTCATTTTTTTGATTGTCTGGCTTCAATTTCTGCTTCTCTTGAAGTGCTTTTTGTTGTTCCTTCCTCATCAACTCAAATGAAGCTGAGAAAAAAGTTCTACTGAAATTCAATTGACCAAAAAATCAAGTACTAGCATAAACAGTACAAAAGTAAACTATACAGTGCTGGTGAAAGAAACATTACCTCTCCTCCTTCTTTCTTCTTCTTCTCTGTCCTGACTTGTACAGTCAGTAGAACCAAATGTTTCATCATTAAATGAGTCAGTGTCTCTACGTGAGTGAGGTCCAGCCTGAAGAAATTTTTTTGGTGGGGGGGGGGAATCATGAGTAGGATCAGTTCAATAGCATATCCATTGAGTTTGAATCTCCTAGAACAAGGTTCAAATATGACACTGGCATTTGACTTGCTTGAGCATCAAAGCTTTACTAGAGTATTGGCATAATGAACTGATGATTTTTCATGAAGTCACCAGAAAAATAAACAAGTCCAAAACTGACCTTATAGGGGCGAGGAGGATGATATGGCTCATTACTTCTATTGAGCTGGTAATTATCTCCTGCTCGAACCTTTGAAGTCGAAACCCCTGGAGCAGCATATCCAGATGGTCTTGGAAAAGAACCACTCCCAAGAAGCCCATCGTGCTCAGAACTTTGCCAAGACCGTCGAGGTTGGTTGCCGTAACGCCTTCCAGAATCTGCATGGTCAATAAAAGCCAATACTCGATTCGTGACATACAGAACTAGAAACCAAAAGTGCAGAGTGGGAGCAAAAGCAAGAGACTGATAATTCTAAAAAAACAACAATTGAAGCACGTCTATAAGCATCTATGGCTAAATAGTGTAATTATCATGTGTGGTCCATTAATCGAGGGTGCTAGGAGGGGTGGACTGGTAACAGACCTAATCTTTGGCATTATCCACACAAATTGGTTGCTATCATAATTTATGAGTATATGAGTTATGTCTTTCTTGTTTCATCATACGAACATTATAATTTCAAATGCATACATAAATGCTCTTTTGTATACAGATATAAAATAATAATTAGTGACAAGACGTCAGCATAACAACATTTAGAATATAGATCAGTCACTGTTGTGTCCTCTGATGGTGGGGATTAAAGTCTCATTCATAAGTTGTAGGTGAATTTTTGTAAAAGTAACACAATGGGCAAAATGAGAACTTCTGAATTTAAGGCATATGATATCTACAAGGCAACAATTATGTTCCTTCTTGCAAATTGGCTTCATAATTCCATGTTGTCTTAGCCCATCATTCTAGCATGGGCTCCCAATGATTAGGTGGTTAATGCTCTGCTCTCAATCACCTGAGCTGCTTTGTATGTCTAATTCCATTCAGAATGGCAGTTGGCCACCCTCGATTATCTAGTTCCCTTTTAGGGCTTTCACCCATTTCTCCCTTAAAAACATCGCATACTTACAATGGACCATTGTTGCTTTGGATACTGCATCTCTACAGCCCATGTAACATCTGATGCTCATCTCACCAACACCGCCTGTATTCCTTGCCTTATCCCATTTTTTTCTTTTCTTAGTTGGTACTCACACAAACATGCTTCACTAAGGCTTGAACCCCTGACCTCCCTTTGGGAAGTAAGGGCCTGCCACCTGATACCGCTAGGCCATTGGCCCGTTGGTGCCTTATCCCATTTATAACTTGAATCCCCGAACTCTTTCACACAAATTACATCCTGCCTATTATCCACTTTCCATACACTAGATTTATTTCACATAATTACGAAATAAGTATAATTCTAAGCAGGGGCGGATCCAGGAATTTGGTTCAGGGGGGGTATATTAACACTGACAAAATAAAATTTTTTCAAACTGGCCGAAAATATAATAGTGTAACAACAGAGCATTAGAATAAGTGAATAAAAAATGAATAAGAAGAGAAAAAAGAAAAAGAAGGTTATTGCACATATATTTTGCATGAATGCAAGAAAAAATAATTTTTTAAGAAGAAAAATGAATTTTTTAAGAAGAAAATAATATAAAAAGAAAAAAATATGAGAAAATTTTGAAGGAAAAAATTGGTTTTAATTGTAGAAAGAGAATGCAAAAGTTTTTGAAGATGACAAAAAGAAATTTGAAGAATGAGAAGGAAAATGAATAAAGAATTAAGGACGTTTTTAGAAATAGATAATTTTATGGGAGATAATTTATAAATTTTACGGGGCGTTTTATAAATATTTACAAATTATACGCATAGAATAAAATAAAATAAAATTTAGTAGATTTAGGGGTAGAGGGGCCATTTTATTTATTTTTTTTGGGGGGGGGGGGGGGGGCATTTTATCAATTTTTACAAATTTATGTATTAAATATATATATATATCTATATCTAGTGAGGCAGTATGGGCAGGGGGGGGAGCTGCCCCCCCGGGCACATGTTGTCTCCGCCCCTGATTCTAAGTAGACATTTATAGCAGATTACTAACTAATTCAGGTTTTAAATGGAAAGCCTGACATTGACATTGTGTAATTCCACCATGTCTCATACGATTTTGCAAAATACATTGTTGCAAAATGATGCAAATTTTTCCCTTCACCATGGTGGCCATAACAATTAAGATCGCCAAAATGTGGTCCTAGCTACCCTATACCACAATGTATACATCAGCGTTTAAATTACTTGTACATTCGACAGTTGAAAGTTCAAATGGCCACTAGCATCACTCGGTTGGAGCTCTTATGAAATAAACAAGCTATAAGCTATTGCCAAGAATTAATTATTGCTCACAGCCCCGAAGTCGTAGTAGAAAAGCATAAATATAAGCAGATGGATAAATTCAAATGTATACATGTATCGTATAAGTATATATCAGAAGCTAAACAAAAACAATATCTCAGACAAAATAATTCACATGAAGGGCCATCTATCCATACAAAAGATATAATTTGAAGTGAAAAATTATTTTCAAACTAACCCGAATCCCGATCAGAATGTGAATCACCATCTCTATCATTCTGTACAGAAGAACGACTATCCCACCTTCCATAAACACCCCGAGAAAAACTAATTGAATCCCCTCTAGTAGGTGGGGATGATCCATATTCGTTACGCCTGAAACCTTGCAGTGGCAAACTGCCAGGAATTCTTTGCCGATCTTGTATGCCTCGGAAGGAATCCTCAAATTCACTAATTTATATGAAGAAAAAAATCAAGATTAAAACATGCCATAATGCAAGAAAGGGAAGATGCAGCATTAACCATGACCACGCAAGGCAATGCTACAAATTGGAAGGCATACTCCTGTATAAAAGGTTTCACACTATAAACCCCAAGGGTTTGGCTCAAGTGGATATGAACTTGGCCCTGGTGCCTCATGAAGCATCAGGTCTAAGGTTCGAATCCTCTTGGGCGCAAATAATTCCTTGAGGGGAAGATGTGTGGATTACGGAGACACATATCACTCAAAAGGAAAGGGATCATGCATCTTACCTTAGTATTGATTGGTCAAACCCACTAGGTAAGCTTTTGCAAATTTCCAATTCACTTAATGATAAAAGAAAATTTCTTGTATATGAAATTTTCGAATGCCTGATTCATCAAAACAACGTCATCATTGAATAAGAAAATCAAAACTATAAAAAATAAATAGGAATACCAATTCAAATGTACAAAATAGAATAAAAAGCAAATTAATTACTTTTGAGACTCGCAAATTGTTTCAGAGGGCTTATCTGGTGAGCTTTGATCTTCATTTTCGAAGCTCATACTGCAGCACTTGGTAAAAGATAACTTCTTCACTTAGCCAAGAAAAGCAGAGAATGAATCTGACTTCAACCACACAAAGCCACCTCCACAAAGCAATACCCAGAATATGTTTTAGCACTTGTGTCACAAATTATGCTCGTCTACAGATATTCTAATTACAAATCCCTCGAAAAGCTATTTAGCGTCGTAAACCAGTGTAGTAAACCAGTAGTATCGTTCGATTAAGGCAATCCAAAATAGCAAACATGTCCACCCAGTATCTGTCAATCACCCATTAATTCATGTTAACTCGACGCTAAATCTCGGCTAATATGTATCGCACAGACTAAACCACTCAATTTACAAGCTAAAAATTTCGGCTGTTCATGCTCTGATCCAGCTCAATCTTTATAAAATCCAAACCATGCAAACATTGAATAGCATGCCAGCTCTCATTGATTAAATTGCGCAAATATCATTGACGGCTATTGACCCTTTTCGTCAAAATCCATGCTCGGATCACACATATAAACATCAATTTATCATTTTACGTTTGCCCTAACCTGAACTCCATTTCCGAAACATCCACTACGTTAATAGCTAAATTATCAATAGAATTTCTTAGATTCTATTATATAAATAACGCTTCTTATAAGCTTTGAATGAGAGTAATAATAGGTTCGCTTCTTTCTGATCTAATCAAATCTATAACTAGGGTTTGCGAAGCAGAGGAACTACCTGGATCAGATAAGCAGGGAGAACCAGCCGAACGTGTTCGTTGTATGTCAGATTAGGGTTTTGATCTTTGCCATTTTTGCTCTCTATACGGTGGATCGAGTTTTGAGCGAGAGATCGTTAGATGTTTGCAGAGAGATGTAGAGAGAGACTGTTAAGGGCGGAGAGGTCTCTCTTCCAGTAGCAGAAACAAAGCGGAGATATGACGTTGTCTACCATTACACACCGAGAGAAAACAACGATGGGAGATGGAGTTCGTTTCACGCGCTTTTTTCGTTCGTGTTTGACACTATTTTATTGAAAAATAACTAAATAAATAAATGAAGAAAAATAGTGATAAATATTTGTAAATAGCAAAGTACAAAAAAGACCCTCCCTGTATCCACATTGTGCATTCATTTTTTCGTGTAAGCCGAAGTATTTTCAAGTGTTGCAAACTAGCCTTTAAAAATTGGCATTAGCACATTTTTATTTGACTCCCAAGAATTCTAAAATATCATTTTCCTCATTTCTATGCCCCCATCATATCCAATATGTTGTCTATAAACGCGTAATATACATATTTACTCTCTCCTCTCTGTGTCCTACTCCTAAGTATGTGGGATAGGAATAAATATTTGGTGTCCGAAAAAGTGAATTGGCTCATTGGAATATGTATAACTAAGAAAAACTTGGTTCACGGTGCCCTAAGCATATCCAATACCTTCTCAACTCTGTTTCTCCGTCTCTCCCTTTCGATCAACTCTCTTTCTCTTGTTATATAATGTTAGGCATGTAAAGCAAAATCACATTTCTTCAAGCTCAGCAAATTGTAGCCCCCATTCCAATGTTAAAAAAAAAAAAACAAAAAGTTTCGTAGACTAATTACACTTTTAGACCTCTTATACCATGGCAGAAGATTGTATAGTGTGCAAAATACATGACAAACTAGTTGTTGAGAATCTTGGCTCATATTTCTATTGGAATTAGGTTTTTATATTTTGAATTGTTTTGTTATAGTAATTTCTTGGAGAGGCAAGTTGGGCTCTAAGAAATTGTAATAACTTTTTATAAATGGATAGTTAAGGTTTTGTTGAAAGGTATGAGTGGAAAAACTTGTAAGTTCGTAAGGGACAGTCTTGTAAGCTGTCGGTTAATGGGTGGGGAGAGAGAGTCAGGTTTTGTAGTTAATTCTATACAAACTGTGGAGTGCATAATTTTCTTATTCATGAACATAAATTTAGAGTTAAGTGAACCATGTAAATGGTGTGCAACTTGGCATGGGTTGGAGACTTAACTTGGGTTCAGTCTGTATACAAAAATCTTCTGCCCAAGCAAACAGCATACCTCCAATAAAAATTTCAAACACACTATCAACTAGGTTACCATACACTTGTGATATAACTTAGTTATAAATAAATATATCATTTCTGGACTCGGGATGGGCTTCATATAATATCAACCCAAACTCAAATCGAATTTAATTTTGGCTCAAAATATCTAGCCCAGACCCATACTGAGGGTAGAAAAACATTGTCCAAGCCCTAAAAAATTCGGATTAATTTGGGTTGGGCCCGCCCAAGTTGCAGCCCTATGCTCGCTTATTTCACTTCCTCTTCGCCCTAACACTAGTATGATTTTCATATGTGAGCGGATGATGAAGATTCTAATTACTAAAAAAAATTCGTTTTGGATCTTACATCAAATGTTAGGAGGAAGGCTATATGTTCATATAAATTCAATATTGGATAATGAAAGAGTAAAGGAATTGGAGAACATAGTATCAACAATGTAAATGCAACTAGAGGGGGAAAATTTGTGAAATTCAATGTAATCTAAAGACAATCGGAGGAGAAAACTACGAAAGTGAGTGTATTGAGACAACAGCAACATGATACTAAAGATAAATTGGTTCAATGGTAAACTTGTTTATTTTCTACCTGGTTTTTCAATTTTTAAAGTTCCGCGTGTTGAACTTTGGTTTGTAAACTTGTGTACCACAATGTGAGTAGTTTACTTTATTGAACTAGCTATATTTTTTATTTCTTTTCGTGAATATGATTTTAGCTAAATGAAAATTTAACTGTTCATTTTGAGCACTCAAAATCATAATCAGATAAGTACCTAGTAAAGAGTTTTGTTATCGATTCTCCTGATTTGAGTGAGAAGTTTACCATATTGAACTCGCTATGTTTTTTCTTTCTTTCCTTTAATATGATTTTAGCTAAAGGAAAAATTAATTGTTCATTTTGAGCACTCAAAACCACAATCCGATAAATACCTAATAAAGTTTTGTTGTCGATTCTCCTGATTTAAGAATTAGTGATTCTGATAACACCTAGAAAAGAGTTTTGTTATTTTTAAAAGTGGGCAAGAGTCATTGTTTGATTCTATTTATTGGAGTAATTAAAAAAAATCTATTGATTTTTATAGCATTACTCTCAATAGAAATACAATAATTACAAATCCAATACAATAAGGTTGTATTAGGTGGCATGAAATTAGAACCTTGAAATTGAAACTTTGTAAAATTTAATAAAATTTACGTAGTTATTTTTCTCTAATTCCAACTAATTATAATTTTAATTTTAAAATTTCAATTTCACATCGTCGCACATAACCTAAAATTTTTATAACATTACTCCCAATTAACATAATTACAAATCCAATATGACAAGACTATGTCTAAACACAAGTAATAGGAATACAACCACGCAAGAATCGAACAAACCAACTCTATCATCCATGGACCTTTGCATTAACACAGCCACTGCCAACCAGTTGCACCAGCACCAACACCAACACCAACACCAATAAAGCCATCCATGGAACTTTATTGCACAGTTCGTAACAAAAGGATGAGATGGTGCCAGGCCATGCAAGTCGATCTTTGTTTTTAACAAAATGGAACTAATCAAATATATTGTAATGTCACATTAATATTGATAAAAATATATATATATATTCAAAACAAAAATGAATAAATTACAAATGTAAGTACTTTTTAATAATTTTGTGACAGCCCTGTAAATTCCTCTCATAAATTCTTTTACTATCGAATTTCATTTTGAGTTTAAACTTGGATTTATTTAATTAAAATTCAAAAATGAAAGTGTAAACTTGGATTTATTTAATTACAATTAAATAATGTAAGACAACAATGCCGGAGATAACAAGAATTGTCAAACGAGAAATCTACCTCCACTGACCTGTATTTTTCCCTCCATTAATCGCCTCCACATCAAGCTTAATCTTCACTCTTCTCAGTCTATCAATTTTGTTAAAAGTCATTACTCAATACACACGCATATATATATATATATAGACATACATATAATGGTTTATTATTACGGCGCGGTGGCAATGGCAAAACCCTCGTTTTTCAGAGCGAAACAACCCCCGGCTCCGGATCTCTCCGCCGACCGTACAAATTTCCGAGGCGGAGCTTCCACTCCCCGACGCGACCTTGTCTTCGTCGTCAATCCCCGAGGTGGCTCTCTATGTGTTTGTGTGTGGATTTTCGTTTGTGTAACTCTGTTTTTGCGTTCGCTTCTGAAGTTTTGGGAATTTTTTCTTCTCGGAATTGTGATATAATTAGGTGCTAATGGTCGGACGGGTAAAGAATGGAAGAAATTACTGCCCTATCTCAGGTCTCGCCTAAGTACAGATTGTAATGTGAGTTTTTTCTTCGGTTATCATTGTTTACTCCGCCTTCGTCTATGTCGATTTTATGTAATATAAATATTGGCAAATTGATTAATGTTCTTTATAGGGATATACAATGAGTAAGTCTACGCATTAGATAAATGGATTATCTGGTATAATAGTTTAATTGTTTTCAAATGCAATTAATTATATGCATTTTCACAAGTCACAATCTTTCATGTCTCGTTGCTTGCTTCGGAACTATTTGAATTGACATGAGAAATATACACAGGTGTAATGGAGTATCTGGTATAGTAGTTTGGTTGTCTCAAAATGAAATGTTAGTTAATAGTTACTAACCTTTCGTAGGTGTTGATTGATTCGGAAGTGGTTGTTTGACATGATAAATCTACATAATTTACAGAGTACTAACTTTGATACTTCAAGATATTAAAAAATGAAAAAGGTAGGCTGATTATATTAAGGCAGTCAAAGATATATTTGCTTTGGCACAAGAGGAACATAGTGAAAACTGCATGATTATCTCACTGTGTTTTTCAAACCTTAATAGAATGGATGATGAACCACTCAACTTTTGTTGCATGTGAGACGATATTTTCAACCTAAAAAGGAACATATAAGCTAGTGGACTCTGAGTAGAACTCAAAAAAGAGGAGCAACATGCTATGTCTGCAATGTCATTGGTACATAGCTAGAAGTTTATGTTAAGCTCACGAGATTTAAGTGTGTTATTACTTAAATATTTTTAAGATAAACATGGTTTGAGAAGGCACTATGGAGACCAGACCAAGCGCGCAAAAGAAATAAAAAGGAAGAAAAGGAAGACATTAGCTGCAGAAATCGATTGCCTTGTAATGGATTTGCTTCTTCACCTAGAAGCAAGAGCCAGCTTGAGAGAATCCTTTAGCTATCAAACAAGCTTTACACCTTCCAATGGCCCATCAACACATCATTTTAGAAACCCATTCATTAGTAACTGCTTTCATATGGGCAGTAGAAGGAACTAACTACCATGTTCCTTTTTTGCAACAAGGCTTAACTTCCTTCCATAGTGCAATCCTGTTAGGGATTCCAAAAATGACATTTCCAGATGTGAGGCACTGATTACAAGAAAAATGAGAGGATATTATGTAGCACGTAAAGATTGATGAAGTTTTCTAGTTGGTAGAAGACGTCAAGGTGGTAGAATGGGCATTATCATAATAAATAGTCATAGTTCTGCACAACGCCATCATGTTAGAATATTATAGTCATGGGAGGAGGAGTTTTTTTTTATGTAATTTAGTCATAGTTCTAAAAGATGAGTGCTAGAATTTGGATCTATTGAATTATTGTGTCATAATCTAAACTATACAGTACACAACAATTTGGTGTGATTTATGACCCCATGATCTGCTGGTGGAACAGCTTGTGGTTAGAAGTGAGATGGTGGAAGGTGACTCGAAATTAGGTGCTGGTGAGGTGACCATAGGAGTAGGGCACTCACTTGAAATAGTTTTGATATATCCAACACAACAAAAGAAGTCTAAATACTTATTACTTGGTAATGGCTCCATTAAACTATATACAGGAGCATACCTTCAATAAATCATCACCTAGCATGTCTTTTCTCAGTTCTTGGTTCTGTGTTACAAACTAAATCACTCTTAAAAAATTAACATGTCTTGATGTATAAAGTTTTCCTTACAGATTTTGTGGACACTACAAGTCTACAAGCCACATGGGATGAGATTAATTTTACAAAAGCACAATTGTAGTGGACCAATATTGTGATTTGTTATTTATTTCCTTTAATATGTATGTCAAACACATGCATATGTATATGAGTTTGGTAAAAATGTAATTCCGTTGGTTTCAGGAAATGTGCTCTCGAGGTGATTAGTTAGTAACTAGCAAAGAGGCAAGTTAATTATTAAGGTAATTCACCTTTTTAAATGAAGTTGTGCCCCTAGTTTATTAGGAACAGAACCACGTTGTGTTAATAACTTAATATTTTTCCATTTGCCATTAACCTGATTTGGGGTAATAAATTTATCCACATGATTTACATCCAGCTTTTCGGTCGTAGCTTTTATTATTTGTTTTTTCATTTTGTAGACATGCTTATTTGCATTTTGATTGATTCATCATGTGAAGTATTTCTGTATATTGTGACCAGATATGCGAATCTTTGACTTCAGGTCCTTCTCATGCCATTGACATTACAAGGGAGGTAGGCATCTTGTGCCTTCTGGTTTGAGCTTATACTTAATTCAGGTAGGTTACATGGGAATGTAACCCGAGTTGTTCTTGCAGGCAATACGTGAGGGTGCTGATGCCGTGATTGCTGTTGGGGGTGATGGAACTCTTCATGAGGTTCAGCATGCTTACCTTTAAGAATAAAAACTAATTACTTCCAATTTGCATCTAACAAACTCAACACATTTTATCTCCCCCCCTTTTTACAAAAAAAATGCTTTGGATGTGGGTGAACTGTGTAACCACACATCACTAAACTGTTTGTAAAGTTGTAGTGTTACATTAAGACAAGTGTATTATATTTTTGTACCATAAATCCAAAAAGAATGCTATAATATCTTCAAACCAGAAGGATTTCTAACTGTTATAACAGTGAAACAACTTGTCACTCAAATTGAATAGATAATAAATAAATAAATAACTGAAGAAGCAAACAAATTTGCTCATCAAAATTGAAATTTAATATTCATGACTTCATCTGGTATGTTTCTCTTCATTTCTAAACATGTCATCTATTGTTCATTTTGTCCTAACATAGTGGTAAAATATCAATATTCACGCATGTTCTGAGCAAGGATGTTGTTGTGTACTTATTATGATCGTTTCAATAATATGCTTTATGAACAGAATTTGTTTTCTATGCTGGAAGTCTCAATCACCAAAATGTGGACCAAATATGGATCTGTTATAAGGTTGAACTTCTTATTGGTTTCTGCAAGATTTAAGTATCTGATAGTAGGTAATTTTACCTCTGATTTTCTCAACTCATCTCAACTTTACAAAGTCTTTTATGTATCCTATTTTTCCATTCCTCTCTTTCTAAGGTCATAGCCTTAGTCAAACCACAAGTTATTATATCCTTCCTTACTAACTCTACTCACATTAACTTTGGTCTTGCATTACCTTAACGTGGATCATGTTACTCTTTCTAATTGATGCTCTTAGTGGTGTTCTTTGAACATGTCCAAACCATTTAAATTGATTTTCTCTCATTTTACACGCCACTCTTTCATTTCTGACTCTATTCTTCTTTGTCTCAGCACATGCATTTCAATATTCATATTTCCACCTTACTCAAGTTGTGCATATGTTGTTTCTTAGCTACCCAACAGTCTGTCTCATGAAGAAGAACTTGTCTAATAGTTGTTTTAAAGAATTTTCCTTTCAATCTTAGTGGGATAACACTGATCGCACAAAATATTGTTGGTTTTCTAATTACCAATACTTTTAGTACCTAATGCATAGAATGATACTTTCTCTAAGGCTCACAATTACCAGGTTGTTAATGGCTTCTTCTGGGGTGGAAAACCTGTTTCCAGTCATGATCGAAAAGCTACCCACACAACTGCACTCGGTGTAAGTAATTATCACTGCACTCTTGAAGTTTCTCTTGTGGACTTCTCCTGACTTGAGACATAAATTAGTGTGCATTGTGAACTGCACGGTATGGTCTCTTGAGATGAAGATATGATTTGTTATGTCTTCTCTACAGCTTATACCTTTGGGTACTGGATCTGATTTTGCCAGAACATTTGGCTGGTAAGTTGCTCCCTACCCCTACTAGTTTTATTTGATAAGGATTTGTAGTATTGGTATTTGCTCCAGATTGTTGAATTGGTATTCACTGTTGTTTGTTTTTAAGGAAAAACGATCCCCATGAAGCCATTGAACGCATAGCTACTGGTAAATCGTCTTAAGCGATTCTCTCCCTTGTTTCATATTGACTGTTTCATTACTGCTGCAGCTTCAATTTGTAGAGCAATCTACATATTTAATTTTGCTCCTGTAAAAAAAAAACCGTCTGCTACCATAGGCGCCTTCATTTTCTTGCCTTTTCTTTTAATAAAGGTGTTTTGCAGGTGTAAGATCTCCGATTGATGTTGGTGTTATTAGTGGAGAAACTGGAGAGTCTCATTATTTTATAAATGTCGCTGATATTCATTTGTAAGGCTACCTACTTGAGTGTTAGAATGGAGCTTGATTGAAAATCACATGCTGATTTACTCTGTCAAAAAAAGAAAAGAAAACATGGCACTGATTTATGAATCTCATTGCTATATTTTGCGGCATTTTGCAGGAGTGCAAAAGCTGGTTACCATGCATCTAGGTACAAGAGATTTGGAAATTTGTGTTACGTCATTGGGGCTTTGCAAGCGTTTCTTGGGCACCATAACCAGGACCTTAAGATCAAGGTCATTATATTCTAATATTCCAGCATAAAGATTTGATCCTTCCTTTTTTTCACATGATACGTGATTCTGTAGTATTTATCATGTTTATTTTGTTATTTATGGGTTAATGGTGTTTTTAACTCGATACAATGTGGTTATTTTAGGTCAATGAGGGTGAGTGGGAAATATACTCTCAGGTCACAGCTCTTTGCATTGGAAATGCAAAATTCTTTGGTGGTGGCATGAAGATTACTCCAAATGCCAACCCTTCTAGTGGAAATTTCGAGGTCTAGCAGTTTCCTGTTTATCATTGAGATTGATCTTTTATTTTACAAACATGAGGTACTGTGCTGTAAATTTAACTCTGCAACTTACTGTCTGTGCAGGTGGTAATTCTACAGGACTTCAAATGGTATGACTTTATTCTTAAACTACATAAGCTGTACAACGGGACACATTTGTCGGTGAGAAATGTATCTTCCAAGAGGTATATTGCTTCTCTTTCCTGATCCGCGGGGATTAAGTAATTGTATATAGCAGCACATGGCTGAAACATGGATAAACCTGACACATCTTAAGGACATTGAGATGAACTATTATCCTCAAAAATTTATCATGCCCTTGTCGTGTAATGAAATTTGATCCCACTTGATATAAGCTTGTCACAACCACTTTGCTTTGTGTTTGCTGTACCTCACCTTATTGCATCAGTTGTGAGCTATTTTCTTTCATTGACTATCTTATATCTTATTGTTTGTTAGTGATGATATCCTATGAGATAATATTGATGTACACTATCACAATAAGAACAATAACACAAATCCACATTAGCAATTCTGGTGGGAACCTGATTTATGGATGACATCTTATGTTTGCTTGGTTTGTGAAATGTGTGCGCTACTACTCCAGTCTTTGATAAACCCTAAACAACAACAACAACAATCAATCAAGCCTTTTCCCTGACTAATTGGGGTCAGCTACATAAATCATATGTTTCCATTTTGCTCTATTTAAGGCCATAACATCAATTAATAGACCCTAAACCACCACCACCACCACCATCATTATCATCCTTGCCTTAATCCCATAATTTTGAGTGAGAATTCATCAAAGATATGACATAAGTTTTACAGTTGGTTGTCTAACTGACACTAACCCACCTCCATTTCACATCTGGCCTTGGGTTCCTGGCAATAAACCCTAGACCATCATATAAAATTTATTGCACAGGAAAAGACGGTAGATAGGTGCCAGAATTTCTTTCTTGTCAGATATTACACTAGACATGTTCAGTTTCTTAACATGATTTTCATACATCCTTGTTTACGTTGCAGTGTACATTCTCTTGAGGTAGAGGAGATTGCTGGCGGGGGCGGCATTTATGTTCAGTCTGATGGGGAATATCTGGGGTTTCTTCCAAGGAAGTTTTGTATTTTACCTACTGCTATTGAGATGATCCGCTAACATGAGTATCAAAGAACATCTTCGTATTACATGCCAGAGTGCACAATTTTGCTTGTAAGCAACGAATCTAGATCACAAGTTTCTGGGCATTTTTCTTGAGTACTTGGTATGCTGATTGCTGTAGATCCATTACTATCTGAGATAGAGAGAGATGGAATCATGAGAGATCAATTCTTTGTTTTTTTTTTAGAAATTTGAATTCAAATGTTATAGTGTTCTTCCTCCTTGGAAATTGAAAGTGGGATAGTTCGTCTTGTTTCAAAAGTGCATGGATCCACAATGGGCATTAGTATAGATGGTATGAGCTCTCTCCTTTGGAGGAAGTTGAGAGGAGTAATATTGCAAGTGTGTGCTTGCTTGAACTTTTCACAAGAAAGGAAAAAAAAAAAAAAAAATTACAGATTTTAGCACAAATAGTGTGTGAAATAGTAGATTATAATCCAACCAGAAAGAAAATGAAAAACACCTACAAGGCTACAAGAGAAGACAACTTGATGGAAGCCCATGTTGAAAAAGATGAATTTTCTAAGGTTTATAATCCACATTCCATTTTTTTTTTATTAATATGCGTGTATGATAAAGAAAGAGATGTAAACCCCAAGTTGGTGAAGTTTAATGTATGTGGTAATGCACTTGCTTAAATTTACAATTTTTTTCTTTTTCACCCAGAGGAACAGAGAACTATATATACGTATTTGCATTGAATAGAACTAATTTAAAGAATTGAAATTCAGTTTTATTTTCAACAAGAGTAATAAAATAGGAGTGAGTAATGACAGAGAATTTGAGGGTTAGATAAATTCCGTTATAAATTGGTGAAATTATTTGAGATTTGTCCGATTTGAGAATTTAAATCATTATTCATAAAACACTGCAATGTTAAGGAATCTGAGAGTGAAATTTGTCCGATTAGAGAATTTAAATCATTATTCATATAGTTCTATTCTTTAAAAAATGTGCATAAGAAATAATTAAAAATCAAATTAAAATTTAAACATTTTTTCCTAATTGAAATTTAACTTTCAAACAATAATTCCAATCTATTTTTCATGGCTACAATGCGCCCAAAGACACAATAGAAACACTGGGACTACTGTCTAACTTCCAACTATCAAAACCTCTCTCTATAAATGGCAACCATTCTTCCATTTGCTTACACCACTCCCCAACTCCGATCTCACAACCGCTGTGTCATTTTCCGGCCGAGTCACGGTCGCAATATCTTCAAATTCCGATGCAAAGGAGAAAACTCAACAAGCAATTCAAATTCAACCACCCGTGGAGACACTGAACCTGAAAATGTACTGCTCAAGATGGCTTGGTATAGTTCCGAGCTCCTCGGAATCGCCGCTTCTTTTCTGCGTTCGCCGTCGAAAGTAGAAGCTCCCGATAGAGGTTCCGAGCTCGTCGGAGATGGGTTGGGTGTAGTTGATCGTGGCATGGTTGTGGAAACCATCAAAGAGGACTTTCAAAGATCGTATTTCGTCACAGGTTATTTCACAAACCCTATTGATTTCTGTTTGGTGCCTGGAAAAGTGAGGAAAAGATGAACTCTGTTTTAATTTTAATCAAACAGCTGTTCAATTTCGGGAACCCAAATAGAGAAAAGGAAAAGTTATTCAATTTCTTAAATTTTTTCTTGCTGTAGTTTCTCTGCAACCAAACGGTGATTTCTGAAACCTTTTGTTTCCTTTAATGAGTGAATTGTACTTTGTTAGATACTATGCTATTCTGCAAATTTGCTGCCTTTTTGTACTCTTTCGTTTCTCACAAAAGGGTTTATGTTTAACCCATGCAATTTACTTCCTGTATCGCAATTAACCTGATATACCCATTAAACTCTTGGCTTTTCATTTTAGTCACTGGAAAGAAAAATGAATCTGGAAAAGCCTTTTTTATTTTTATTTTTTATGATGTCTTATATTTATTATAGTGAAGTTTCTCTATACGTGCCAAATTATGCAAATAAATTACCATTATCACTACTACCTCAGTGATGTTTGATATCCGATGCAACAAAGAAATAAACTAAGTTTTTCCTTTTTCTTCCACTAAATACCTTGGATTTTTTAAAGTTTTTTATTCTTCTTCATAGATTAGACCTATCAAAGCAATTCATATTGATATGACTTCAGTAAGAACACTTCAATTAGAAGGTTACTTTAGCAAGGAGCCTAATCAAATCGGGTGACCATTACTAGATACTGCAGAAAAACTAGAATCTTGCAAGAAGGCAAGAGTACTTTGTTGTATGGTTGCATGTTCAGTTTAGGCTTCCATTGAGCATCTAGAGATATAATTCAAGAAGTTGATCATTAATGAGAAAATTAGAGAGAGTAGACTTGGATGGTTCAGACACGTACATAAGAAACGGAGAGGGTGAGCAAAAATAACGTGGGATGTGATTATTAAAAATTACTTTAAAAGGTTAAATATGGCAAGTGAGATGGCATGCAATATAAAAGATTGGAGACAGAATTCATGTGGCCGGCCTCATTCATATGGGATTAAGGCAAAGATGATGATGATAGAAGTTGATCTGCTATCCGGTTGCTCTTTTTCAATAGAGTTACTATTAAGTTTGAAATAACTGTTTAAAAAAAAGAGGCTCTGAACTAGATAGCAATAGCATTCAGAAAATATCAATACAATGTAACCATAATTATAGATGTGCAAATGTTTTCTGACTTGAAGAAAAAAACACACACACACACATAGGAGAGCCCTGTTGCAGAATAAATGAATTCCAAACAAATTCTAGATACTAGATAGTAATCTGTTATTCACATTTACTCTAGACTTGCAGTTTCATAGATTTTCATGCTTAATCTATGTTTGATTCCCGATGGGCTGAGTGAGTAATCTTCTTATTGCACTGTTCAGGAAATCTGACACTTAATGCATATGAAGAGGACTGCGAATTTGCTGATCCAGCAGGTTCCTTTAAAGGACTTCGTCGTTTTAAAAGAAACTGTACAAATTTTGGATCTCTTCTTGAGAAGTCAAATATGAAACTTACAAAGTGGGAAGACTTTGAGGTGAGCTTATTGGATGTGGAGATGTTATGATTGTTAATCATTCCCACGTATGTTGGATCATGTTATCTCTTGGACCAACAACGAGTTGACTGAAGAAGCTTGATGATTAGATCCTGTCTTCAATTATTTGTTGTTTTTTACATGAACTTTAACATCAAATTATATTCAACACAGGATAAGGGAATAGGACATTGGCGTTTTAGTTGTATCTTGTTTTTTCCATGGAAGCCCATTCTTTCAGGTATGTTAACTTTTTTTATGCTCAAGTCATAATTCCCCCCTCCGAAAGTTCAAGCAAATGCACACACACCCACAATATTGGCCCTTTGCAGGGCTCAAACACTCCATCCAAAATCTGTTTCACAATTTGAAAATAAAGTCCCTTTCCATTAGGATTAAGGGTGGATATATATCCAAAAGTTGTGCGTTCTCTTAGATGAAACGCATCATTGGAAACACATTAATTTCAATAAACATGTGTTTCCGGACAATAATGCATGAATAACACATGTTTGAACGTTGTCCTTGTTTCATGCATTTTGACGATGCTGAATTTGGTTGCAGCAACTGGATACACAGAGTATTATTTTGATGCACAAACTGGAAAAGTAACCAGGTAGCGCGCTACAAATAGGCACACTCCTTTCTATCTTTTACATTAACTTTGTAACCCATCTAGCCGCTTTTGGGATCTTTCAGGCATGTGGAGCACTGGAATGTTCCTAAAATGGCCTTACTGAAGCAAATTATAAGGCCTAGCAAGGGGTGGTGGCGTAAGAGAACAGGTGGTTGAAGAGTATGGGGATGGGGTGAACCGTACGGCTAAATTCTGGTCTCATTGAAGGTGATGAACAGAACTCAAATTGTAGGTTGAAGGCACATAACAATGAGTTGATTGCTCCCAACTTCTGATTGAGGGTGATTTCTGTATTGTAATGTAGTTTTCTCGCAACAAATATAAAGCTTTGTGATATTCTCACTCACCCACATCTTGCTCTTCCACTTGTAAATGATCTTGTTAGCCTGCTTTTCCTTTGATCTAAACTGCACTGATGATAACATCATTTATAAGCATAAGCAGCAATAACGTGTAAGGAAGCAATGTTTGTGTATAATTGCATCACCTGCTAGCTGGAAATATATATATATATTGTTTGTATCATCCAGATTAAACTGTGTGACTACTTTTATATTGCCACTGGTGAATACAGTATTTTCTATGTATCAAATGAGAACTGTGTGGCCGCAATTTTCTCCCGAACAAGATTTACATTTTGCATTGCTCCTCCTTAAAGTACATGTCATCAATTTTCCGTAAATCATTCAAAAGCCTGTAGTCTGGAAGTGCTTTGCAGATTGATGACCTTATTTCTTTTCACCTCATGAAAAGCAACCAGTAGTGAGAAGCCAGAGAAGCCAGACGGTCCAGATCACTCATACGTGTGGCTGTAGTACAACTCGAGTATCCGGACTCTAATGATCTATGGTGGTTATCGACATTAAGGGTGGAGTGCAGTTTTGGGTTAATAGCCGTGGTTGATGGCAGGTAGTGGGTGATGGTGGCCACAAACATGGGTGAGAAAGGTAAGAGGGGTTTCAAAAACTTTTTTTTTTTTTTTTTATTCTGTCTGAGCATTTGGTTTGGTTAAGTACTTTAAGTCTAAGAATAAGAGTAGAAATTATGTTTGGTCTGTCATCACAATTTGATGCCATGATAGTAAGTTATGACATGACACAGTCTCACTCGTCAGACCACTCCATCAGAGGAGAGATTCCACTAAACTCTGCCCCTTTCATCACTCATGCCGGGGATGAATTTACATTCCCCAGTCTGTAGTAAATATTGACGCTGTAGTAATTTTCAACGTCATTAATTTATTTTTAATACATTTACATAATTTTGTATCTTTTGATCCTCTAAGGATTAGTAATATCTTTTTATACTTCAGTCATTATATAAATATTTCTTAACGATTAGTTGATGGAAGAGGGGTCATTATTCATAAGCATCAAACTTAAGGGGAAGACTATCACTGTCATTAAGACAAATACGAATGCGTGTATTATAATTTACCTACTTTACTGAAAAAAAAATAGCCATTATTATTATTATTTTTTTCCTATAATGTTTTTCTTTTCTTATACATAAATACTAAAAATATTGAAATAATAAGAAAGTATGGAGTGTTGTAGAGAGATGAATGATTCTACAATATTAAAGAGTTCGTACAAATTGATAGATTGGATTCTGAAAAAAGTAAGAGAGCTTAAAAAAAATAGTTGATTGGATTGTAATGTATCATAGCCATTCAATAAGACAAATGATGCCTATATATATAGGTAAACATTCTCTTATATAAACATGTACATACAGAAAGAGGGTTGTTTTATTCCCAAAGACAAACAACACATTTGATGAAGAATGTTGAATTATTCCTGATCAGAAAACCAATTAAGAGATACGGAGTAATTGCCATATTGGATTTTACAAACACTCCTAGATTGGGGCTAGAATCACTTGTGATTTCAGCAGTAGGCGAACGCGGAATTCAATAAATTGTTTAAAATATGATTGGGTAATTATTCTATTAGTTCTCATTTATAAATTTATTTTTCTCTAATCATTCTGACTTAGTGTTATTTTTTGTCAGATCATACTTTAGCATAAATGTATGATGCAATTATATATATATATATATATATATATATATATATATATATATAAAGCAAATATCTGATCAAACATGTACAAAATTTCATTCAATTAAGAATCATAATTTTAACAAGTTCTCAACCAATGGTTGGAGATGATTAAAAAAAACATTATTTCATATAACTTTGATTTTCATACACTTAAAAGATTACTTCAACAAAGTCAATAAATAATTCTATTATAACTGAGAAAAAATTTCAATAGTTGCGCTTCCAATTTAGAAATGGGACACAGTTTGTGTTCGGATGAAGTGTGAAATAAAGAAAAAGTAGAATTAGAAAAGAGTAGGTCGTGTTTAAAAAGAGTTAAAAGATTACGTCTCCATATATTTATTGAAAAAATAAAATTACTATAGGAAATAAAAAATGATAATTACAAAAATTAATTGGGACTTTGTATAGAATTATTAGTATAGGTATAGATAAATCTTACAAATTTTCATTTAAGCACTTAATCTTCTATTTTAAACAAAATACTCTTGCCCAATTAAATATAAAATCAAACGTTCTTATATAACCTTGCAAATTAGACATAAAATTTGGGGAAAAAAATACCTTTTTATTGATTATAAAATAATTAATTTTTTTAGGTACTAAAATCACGTAGCACACGAGTTTTTGAATTGAATTTAAATTCAAAAACAATATTATGAAAAAAAAAAAACTAAAGAAAAATATAAAATAATAGATTTTAGGTCTCACTAAAGTTATAACTAGAAAAATTTACTCCTATTTAATAAGAGTATAAATGAAATATTTAGTGATGTAGGAATTAAAATGAAACTTTTTCAAAAATACTAAGATTTATCGATCATATAAAAAAATAAGGGCTAAAATCATAAAATTCCCCTATTATTTACAAAAACTATCAACTAACCCCTCAACTAAAGAAACTATCACATTAACTCTTAATCTTTTCTAAAAACTATTACATCACCCCATTATGTTAAGTGACCGTCTAAAACTAACAGGAGAAAAGTATGTGACAGTCATGTGCATACTATTCTTACCATACTGCCCTTTTAATTACATAATGACTAAACTACCCTTGTAAAACACCTTTAGTTTGCAAGAAAATGTTGCAGCACAACATCCACCAAATCCTTATATGTTCAATTGTGAACTGAAAATTTATATTCCTGATGGCAACCAAGTTAGTTATGTTTGGATTCAATTAGTTTTGAATTGTGCAATTGGATTCAATAAATTTTTAATGGTGGGGGACATCACCGACTGTCCGTCGAAGTCCCTACTATTCAGATCTGCTCCAGTGTTGATCAGAGCCGAGGCTAATTGAGAATTTGTATTTGTGATGGCCAATTTCAGCAGCGACTTAAGGTTAAGATTCATTGCAGTTACCAATCGCTTTCGTGTACAAAAAATAGATTTTAAGGGTTTGGGGGGAAGGGGAGATGAGGGATTCGATGACTTGAAAGCCGACAACGGAGATGGGAACATCGGCATCAATCCTTGAAGATGTATGGACCAGGCTTCGCCCTGATGGGCTTTGTCGACGGGAAGCATGGAGGATCGGACAAGGATGGTATCAAGAGGGGAGAAGAGAGGTGGGTGGTCGTAGGGGTAAGAGATTAGGATACATTCAGTGTGTATTTTAGTATAGGGCAGAAAGACGTCGTTTTAAGTTAGTATTGTATATATATATTTCCCCAATTCACTTGAAGGGCATATTTGGCATTTTAAAATTACACATTCAATTTTATAAAATAATATTATGTTATCAAAGGTTATTTTTGTCAATTCACGTGAAGTTAACAATTCTGTCACGGAATGGGGGTAACTTGATTGTTTTTATTAGTTGCGGGGTAATTTGTTAATTGAGGGGGTTATATGGAGTTTTGGGTAAATACGGGGTTTTGTCATTTTAGCCCAAAAAGCAATTAAAAAAGGACATATTCGTCATTCAACAAGAAAAGCCGGACTTGGTAGTAATTTCGGCTTGGTAGTCATTTCTGCTGCTATAAATTTGCTAGGGTTTTTAGTTTCTTAGGGTTTGAAGCTTAGAAGGATTGAGAGAGAGACACAGACAAAGAGGGCTTGGTTTTGCTTGTCGCCGTCGCATACTTCTCACCGCGTCAACAATGGTAACACACATTCTCTCTAATCACTATTCCGCTTTGATTTTCCTAGTAAACAAACACGATGTCTTACTCTCTGTCGTTTGTTTCAGATTATCCCTGAGAAGAATCGCAGAGAGATCTCCAAATATCTCTTTCAAGGTCTTCATTTTCCGCCTTATAGTTTAACTTCTGTCTCACTATACTCTTTCTCATTGATTTTTTCTCATATATGATATGTATATGCAGAGGGTGTATGTTATGCGAAGAAAGACTACAACCTCCCAAAGCACCCAGAAATCGATGTCCCAAACCTACAAGTGATTAAGCTCATGCAGAGCTTCAAATCCAAGGAGTATGTGCGCGAGACCTTCGCTTGGATGCACTACTACTGGTATTTGACCAACGATGGCATTGAATTTCTAAGAACTTACCTCAATTTGCCCTCTGAGATCGTACCCAACACTCTGAAGAGATCGGCCAAGCCTGTTGGTAGACCTCTAGGTGGTCCACCAGGCGATCGCCCACGGTAATTTCGGACCCATTTGTTGGGGGTTTTTTTGGTCATAATTTAGTGTGTAGTTAACTTATTATTATGCTAATTTGGTTATGTTCATATGTTAATTTTGTTGATGAGTATAGTTCTAACGGTTGATTTGTTGTCTTGTTAATTAAGTGGCCCTTATTGGTTCAATTTGTTGGGTTTTTTTGGTCATAATTTAGTGTGTGGTTAACTTATTATTATGCTAATTTGGCTATGTTCATATGTTAATTTTGTTGATGAATATAATTCTAACAATTGATTTATTGTTTTGTTAATTAAGTGTCCATTATTGGTTTAGTGTTTATGTGTCTGGGTGGCTTTAGTTGTAATTGTTTGATTTTCAGTTCTATGATCTGATCTGTTATGTTCTCTTTTGTTTGTTTGGTATATTGGGCATAATTTATTGTTTATGGATAATTAGTTATGATTTGTTATGTGAACTTGATAGTGGCTGTGGCTGTGGCTGTGGCTGTGAAAATGGGTTTTGTTGCTGGTTATTAATTTAGATTAATGGTTATTGTAATTTGATTTACTACATAGACTTCTTTAGATGTTCCAGTCTATTATAGTGACTGATTGTTTACCTATATGTTTGAATAGAACACACCAGCCTCTCCGAGGCTCTTGTGAAAATGTGTATTACATAGACTTCTCTAGTCGTTCCAGTTCTATTTTAGTGACTTTACATAGACTTGACTATGATATTTACCAAAAAATATATATATTTTAGTGCCTATGATTGTTTATTTATATGTTTGAATAGAATACGCCAGCCTTCCCTAGGCTCTTGCTAAAATGTGTGTTCCTTAGATTGAGATGTTACATTGTCCTTATTTTAAATTTTTGGGTAGCAATTTCACCACTTTCACCAAGTAATTAGTGTAACATACACAACCATCGCTGACATCATATGATTTTTACTTTCACCTTCATCATCTCTTTCTCTATATTGTTTCTCTCCACCAGAACCTTAAATAAACCAATCTCTTTTATCACTAATTAGAAAGAAAAATAAAATGATACTGTGACTCCTTTTCTGATTGAATATTAATTATTTGAATTTAAATGTAACTGTTGATTTTATACTTACTCAATAGTAATCATTTGTTTTTTTTAAAAAAAAAAAATATTTAGTGAATCCTGCAAAAATCATGCCCCTTAGGGAAGCTTGTCACAAGAAAATATAAAATGTTTGTAAAGGATGTTCTATCAAAATGGGTGGTCCTTTTTTTTTTTTTTTTTTTTTTTTTTGATAAGTTCTTAGAGAATAGTTTTTTAGAAAATGATCAATCAAAAACCTTTTAACTGTTTTGATTTTTGTTCTCTGAAATTAGAAAACTATTTTCAGAAAACTGATTCAAGCATGCTCTAAATTTCTGAAGCATCTCTCTCTCCTCCTCTCCCCCTCAATATATATATATACATCTCCACTTTCTCTCCCAACACTCCCCTCCGTTTTCTTCTTTTAAACACTAACATGCAGGAAGCCACACACAAATTCAGGAGTTTGAATATAATCATCCTTTCTTCAATCTATTTCTATCTCTTCCATAATTGTGTTTTTATCTTTAACCTTAACTAAAATTCATATCTTGCCTGGCAACCATTCTATAGTCTCTCCTACTCACTGTCATCACCGTATTGACACCATTGCCTGCATTTGACCAATCACTTCTATGATTTCCTCAATTAAAGCGTTCACCGAATACCAATGATGACATTATAACAGTCATATAATTGAAATCAAAATTTGCACAAAAATAAAGAACATAGTTTTCATAACCTAAAATATTAAACATTTTGTCCAACTTTTGGGAGAGAGTGCAAATTTTGGTTAAAAAGATAAAACATGGGAAGCAGAAAAAGAAAAACAAGTGAGCGCAATCTTGAGATAGGCGGTGAGTTTTAAGCAAGAATTTTTAAGGTGGAAACCTGAATTGCCTGTGTGGTAGGTTAACAATGGCAAGAAAACAATGGCCTAAAGTTGGTGTGATTTTTGTTGGAAAAAATGGGGGTCATGTAGTGTTTATGGCTGCAGGTGATAATTATGGCTTGTCGTAGTGGTGGTTGAACAATTGATATGGTGATGATGTTGGTATCAGATGATGAGGCTTGGTGCTATAGACTAGAGATGAATGATGCAAGACCACAGGGTTGATGGAATAGAATGTGATTTTAGTGTCTGGTGACGTGCGTTTGCTCATAGGTTGCCCTAGAAAAGAGAGGAGGATAAAGGTGATGATTTGATTTCCTTGACTGTTATTATCATTATCAGTTTGATACGGGTGATGCTAACTGTTAGCATAATCCTCCATTTTAACTATCCTTACTGTAACTAGTTTGTCTGGAAATGATTGCAATTTTTTAGGCTTCATAATATATATGATTTATTGGTAATTTATATTCTACCAGTTATATTTTTTGTAGACATTTGTTTGTTGAGTTTACTAGTATGGTTAATTCAATTTGGTTTTCTTGATATGTTATTTATTTATTTCATCTTAGCAGTTTGTCATTTATTTTTCTTTCCTTTTAGTGGTTATAGTCCTGCTGCTCATTTAATTTTTTTCTTTTCATCTTACTGATTGGGAATTATCCATTTTTGATGTGTGAAATTGGCAGTGGTCCACCTAGATTTGAAGGAGATAGGCCAAGGTTTGGTGATCGTGATGGATACCGTGGAGGTCCTAGGGGACCCCCAGGTGAGTTTGGTGACAAGGGAGGAGCTCCAGCCGACTACCAACCTTCATTCAGGGTAATTTTTCTTGTTTGGTTTTGCTATTACTGTAATTGCTTGCGTGTTTGTGTATTTTTGGATTCTTAAGGTAGCTTTTTGTAACAAGGGTCATTTGTCCCACATCGGAATCGGATGGGAAAGTGATTGGGTATAAATGGGTGGGTATGCAGCACTACCCAACAGTTCGAGCTTTTGGGTATATGGGCAAGCGCCCACCCGTTACACTTTTGGTTGAAGATTGAATAAGAATATATATATATATATATATATTGGGCAAGTAAAATAGGAATATTTCATGTGAAGAATATATTATTTGTTTGCACTGTTCTTCTTGTCAATGCTTTTGAATATCTTGTTAACTTCTGCCACGTCATAAATCCAGCCATCTTGAGACTCGATCTTGATTTATCAGAGCTGAAAATTTTACCTGTTGTTGTTGATCTAATCACTATGAACATAGCTCGTCTATGTTTCCCAATTAAAAACAAAATGAAGTTGATAATCTCTTTCAGTGTAGAAGTTAAAATTTTTGGTGAAATTTAAGTCATAAAAGGTTCTGAAATAGTTTTGACTCTTGAAATAAAATTGTTTTGAAAATTTTTAAAGTTCATGAAACTTCAGGTCATGCCTAATACTTTGGTAATTTACTAAACCGTTTTGCTGTTCATTTTTCATACGTATTGCGTTTTTATTATAAGTTATTTGGAAGTAGTAGTTCTAATGTAATAGTTTCAAGCGTTAATGTGATCCACCATGTTACAAGTGAGAATTTACACTATTTAGAGTAATTTTATGTGCCTAGCTTTTTCTGATTTGGTGCTTTTGGACTATATCAATCGTTCTTGATTTTAAGTTCCAGTCTGGGAGGGTGGGCAGTGGATATAATTAGCTGAATATCCTTTGGGAAATGAGGAACCCAAATTCTTCTTTTTTATCAAGTTTACTGTTTCAATGAACCATTCTGATCTTCCTAAGTATTCTATTCGACATTGATATGCACGGATGTGTCCCATTGTTGGGTTAAAACTAAATATCAGGATACAGGGACATTGAACTTGCCTGAATTGTTGTGTCAGAATTTTTTTTTTTTGGCTGCAAAAGATATTACATTATGTTTGTATGCAACAGATTACATTTACTATTGGTACATTCACTCACTTTGAAATTTACATGTGACAGAAGGAAATATCTGTGAATATTCTAGGTTTAGAGAAGAATAGATTATTTTTTCATGTAACCTCTTGCAACCCATGTATTAACTTGGGATCACCGAGGAGGCTGCATCTAAAAAATGCCCCCGAAATTGCAAGCTGTGATGACTCGGGAGAAATAATGATTTGTTAATGTTTCTTAGCTTGTAATGATTTGGCGTTTGCTGATACGCACATGCAGGGTCCTGGAGGAAGGTCTGGCTTTGGTCGTGGAGGTGGTGGCTTTGGTGCTGGGCCAGCGGCTAGTGGAAGCTTCACCTAAAGGGCGGCCAGCGTTTTAAATTTACTTGGCCATGTGCGAAAGTAGTGACCGATATTTTTGCGTGTTTTAATGCTCTACTCTTTCAATATGCTAAACCCACTTTATGGTGCTATTTTGGAGTTGTAATAGAGTAAACATTTATTCAGTTTGGTTGTGAAGACTTGAAAGGGGAGGAACACAAAGACTTGAGTTACCTTTTTTAGTTTATCCAGACTTCAGGATGTTGTCATCGTTTATAAATCTTCTTAAATTGCTGATTGTTAATTTTAGAGATAGAACTGAGTAACAGCAGCAGAAAAACTGGATGACCTTGACTGTGTAGATGTGAAGTCAGAGGAAAGTCAGTAAAAAGCATTAGTTAAAGACTCACCCAAACAGTAAAATCAATTGGATCATAAAAGGGTAATTTTTTTAAAAAAAATTTAAGATGTGAAGCCAGAGGAAAGTAAGATAGCAACCAAACAGTAAAATTAATTGGATCATAAATGCTTTGTTTAGTTGGAGGGATGAAAAATGGATGAAGGATGGATGATGTAATGAATGGAATGTGTCTTTATGGATATGAGAAAGGATGAATGGAGTGAGATTATTTTTCTTGTTTGGTTGGAAGGGAGAGAATGAGAGTTTTTATATTTTTTTAATCAATACATAAAGGAAGGAAGGATGAAGCATCTCTCTTGTTTCCTTCCTCTCTTCCCTTCCCTCCAACTAAACACAAAAATGTTTATCCATTCCTCCTCTCAATCCTTCCCTCCAACCAAACATAGCAAAAACAGTGAATTTTATTTTATTTAATTTTATATTATTATTATTATTATTTTTAAGGATCCTGTATAATTGATTTATTGTATAGTAAATATCTTTCTATGTGGATTCCGATTTCAAGACATATTGTGTTAAAGTAGTACTATATGTTTAATATAAAATGGAACCTTGCAAATTAACGCAACCATTTATGATATAGTTTAAATAAAAGGGACTAGATATGAAGTGAGAAAATGATATGCTTTGAAAATTAGTGACAGTACAACAACTACCAAACATTTTTTTCAACTTTCTTACTAACTATCATATCCTTTCTTACCACTTATGGACACAATTGAGTTAATTTCTACGATACACATGAAAGTGATATTATTTCTTTTCCTAACAAAATAAATTCATTGGAATGATGGTGAATTTCAAACTGAAAGCAGTTAAATGATGGTGAATTTCAAAGAAAAGCAAGGAAAGTGGAGGGTTGCATCAAATTACATCTTTTCGACAAAAACAAGAACTTCAATATCGTGAATTTAAGTACAATTATATTATATTTAATACAAAAATGTACTCAAGTCGCATTATAGAGACAGCCAAAAAGAAAGTTGTATAAATTGGCCTGCACTGACACATGATATGATATGATCCATCTTTTTACCCCAAAAGTGAGTGAGTCTACAGTCTACACATCCATTTCATTGCTTTGTGAACGAGTGTTGTATTGAATGCTCAACCTCCCAATTCCTTAATTAATCCAAATCATATCGACAAAGATATAAAGCACCAAAAAAAAAAAAGGTTTTAGTTGATTGGATGTCACTGAAAAGTAATTCCCCGTTTTTACCCTTTATTCTAAGTTCTCTCTATAAAAAAATCTCAAATAATGGAGATTCCATTATGGGTATGAATAGAATAAGGTACATAAATTTTCTTATGTTATTAATTTTTTAATAATAATTTTATTCCACCCTATTTTATATGCAAATTAAATTTTATATTCTTAGTGGTACAACTAAACTCTTCTTTGTATCTTCATTTTCCTTAAATAATTCATTATTTTTGCATTTTATTTTTCAATCCACAAAACTCTGCACCATCTAATGTATATAAATATATCCCATCATACTGCTGACATTAAAAATAAAAAAATAGTTACACGGAAAAAATTTTTGGGTTTTGAAATGTGACAATTGTATCACCAGACTGGCAGACTCTTAAGCTAAATTTACATTTCATAATTACTTTTAGTTCTGTTAACTCTTAAACCTCATGACTGTATCGTATTCCTTCAATCTTTCAATTTTATTTGTTTCTTATATTTTAGAATCATAGCTCATTTTTTCTTTTTAAAAATAAAAAAATTCACAAAAAAACAAAACAAAAAAGGTGTTGTATGAGCATCAATAACCACCTGATGCTGCAAGAAAGTAGAACTAAGATAGGTCCCCATACTAATCCATCAGGTGGTTGTTTGTGATTCCATTTTTGCACTCCCACTTTACTATTAGGTGCAAAAATATTTTTACTTAAATTTTAAGGAAAATTTTCACTTAAGTAAAAATTAGGAGCCCTAAATAACAAATAAGTTTATTTTAAATGTTGATTTTTCTTAAGCAAAATAATTACACATGTATTGAAAACTATTATTTATGTCCAAAATACCCTCCCAACTCTTATTTCAAAAAATCAAAATCTCCTTCCTAAGTCAAATAATTCTTTCCTTCAATAAATTTAGAAAAATAAGATTTTTCAGTTGCCTTTAAACTTGAAGGGTATTTTTGCATGTGGTGTATATATTACCAAAAATAAATAACATCTATATATATATATATAAATAAAAATTGTGCACTTAACTTTAACGTTGAAGATTTACTGGAAGAATCAATGTAGGAAAATCTTTAAGTATTGATGCTATTTCCTATTGTTGAAGATTTTTTTATTATATTTGTTATTGAATGAATAAAAAATCAAAATCTCCTTCCTAAGTCAAATAATTCTTTCCTTCAATAAATTTAGAAAAATAAGATTTTTCAGTTGCCTTTAAACTTGAAGGGTATTTTTGCATGTGGTGTATATATTACCAAAAATAAATAATATATATATATATATATATAGAAAAATAAAAACTGTGCACTTAACTTTAACCGTATCTTGTTGAAGATTTACTGGAAGAATCAATGTAGGAAAATCTTTAAGTATTGATGAGGAATATCCTTCATTATTGATATGTCCTTTTATTGAAGATACTGGAGGAATTTGTAAAGAATTTTTTTTCATTCTCCATGTCTTCACATTCCTTTCCATTTCAGTTCATTTTTCGGATGGTTTAGCACCTCAGCATTCCCCAGTGTTGTTCCGGCCCATTTCTCGATGTTGTTCCGACCATTTCCCATCTTAGTTCCGGCCTTTCTCGGCGTAGTTCCGACTTTTTCCGGCTTAGTTCCGGCTTTTCCCGGCTTAGTTCCGGCCATTTCCCGACTTAGTTCCGATATTTTTCTAGTTTAGTTCCTGTCTTTTCCCAGCGTTGTTCCGGTCTTTTCCCGGCATTGTTACTGCCATTTCCCGGAACTAAGTCGGGAAAAGGCTGGAACAATGCTGGGAAATGGCCAGAACAACGCCGAAAAATGGGCCGGAACAACATCGGGGAATGTCAAGGTGCTAAACCATCTGAAAAATGGACCGGCCAGTGACCTAGCGGTACCAAACCCCTACTTCTCAAAGAGAGGTCAGAAATTCGAGCCTCAATGGAGACATGCATGTGTGAGTATCAACTAGGGAAAAAAAAAAAAAAAAGGATATGAATGTGAAGACATGGAGAATGTGAAGACATAGGGAAATATTCTCCAAAAATTCCTACAATATCTTCAATAAAAGGAAACATTAATAATAAAGGATTTTCAGGCATTTTAATAATATCATATCCGCACTACCCCCAACACTTAACCTAAAAATAACAGGAAGCTAAAAGATCTCCATCTGGTTCTCTAAAAGGCTTCCCACTGAGTGGCATATCTCCCTTCAAAAAGGGATTCATCCCGAGGAGATTCAAACTATTTTGTATCTACCAATTTAAACACATAATACTGTTTTTCCTTCAAAAATAGACAATAAGGTGTTTAAAGTTTTACCTAGGTTACCTACAGTTTTCATATTCTGGGTAGAATTAGAATGTTGTCGTCCCTCAGAATTTACTTGAGGACCTTAATGTTTACCAGGAGAAGTCCCTCATTCTGTTGATGAGAGTCATTCTCTTGTTGTAGTTGCACTCTTTGGTCCTGTAGTTGCGCTCTTTGGCCTAATAGGTGCGCTCTTTGGCCTAGTAGGTGCGCTCTTTGGCCCAGTAGTTGCGTTCTTTATGTTAGGAGATTTGCATTTTTTAGCTCAAGAATATCAATTTGTGCTTCCAAAAATAGACCTATTTCAAGCATAATAATAACATTCTGTTCAAGCACTCTACGTGTAAGAACTATACTCCCCCAAATTGGTATTTTCATTATCATTATAGCCTAAAGAATTAAAGCATAAGCGAATATAACCCTATCCTCTTCATTGGGGATCGAAGTCACCATCCGTTTGAAATGTGCCTCGTCGTACACATTATGTACGTGCATAAAGTATTGAGTGTCCGAACTTGGAGGAAAATATGGCCTCAAAATGCACATATCAGAGTAGGTTGATTGATTATGAAAACACGAAACACACCTGTCCATATCGAGCTGCTCTGCAAATCAATCCACCTCCGCCTCTCTCTGTAAATCAATAGGAAGGTTCAACGTTGGGCTAGATTAACCCTAGCCTCGCCATTCCGGTTTTTTCTCTGAACAATGCTGGGGAAAAACCGGAACAACGCCAGGAAAATACCGAAACTAAGCCAAGAAAATGGCCAGAACTACGCCGAGAAATGGCCGAAACTAAGCCGGGAAAAGCCGGAACTACGCCGAGAAAGGCTGGAACTAAGTAGGGAAATAGCCGGAACAACATCGGAAAATGGGCCGGAACAACATCGGGGAATGCCGAGAGCTGAACCATCCAAAAAATGGACCGAAAGGGAAAAGAATGTGAAGACATGGAATTGGATGTTTCAAGTTTTACCTAGGTTACCTACACTTTTCATATTCCGGGTGGAATTGGAATGTTATTGTCCCTCAGAATTTGCTTGAGGACCTCAATGTTTGCTAGGAGAAGTCCCTCATTCTGTTAACGAGCATCATTCTCTTGCTGGAGTTGCGCTCTTTGGTCCTGTAGTTGTGCTCTTTGGCCTAGTAGTTGTGCTCTTTCTACTAGGAGATTTGCATTTTGTAGCTCAAGAATATCAATTTGTGCTTCCAAAAATGAACCTATTTCATGCATATGAATAACATTTTGTTCAAGCACTCTATGTATATGGGCTATGCTCCCGCAAATTGGTATTTTAAAAATAATTGTAGCCTTAAGAATTAAAGCATAAACGAACATAACCCTGTCCTCTTCATTGGGGTCGAAATCACCATCCTCTTTAAATGTGCCTCGTCGTACACATTATGTACGTGCATAAAGTATTGAGGGTCCGAACCTGGAGGAAAATATAGCCTCATAATGCACATATCAGTGCACATTGATCGGTTATGAACACATGAAACATACCTGTCCATATCGAGTTGCTTTACGAATTAACACGTTGATCGGTTATGAACACACGAAACACATATCCATATCGAGTTACTTTGCAAATCAATCCGCCTCCGCCTCTCTATAAATCAATAGGAAGTTTCAATGTTGGGTTAGATCAACCCTAGCCTTGTCATTCTAGTCTTTTCCCGGCGAGACCGGAACAATGCCTAGAAAAGACCGGAACAACGCCGAGAAAAGGCCGAAACTAAGCCGGGAAAAGCCGGAACTAAGCCGGGACAATGCCGAGAAATGGGCCGGAACAATATCGGGGAATGCCGATGTGCTTAATCATCTGAAAAATGGACCGGAAGGGAAAATAATGTAGAGACATAGAGAATATGAAGACATGAAGACTGAAAAAAATTTCTCCACAAATTCCTCCAGCGTCTTCAATAAAAGGAAACATCAATAATGGAAGATTTTCCTCCACTGATTTCTTCAATAAGAAATATAATAGTAAATCTTCAACAATAGGAAAGAGCATCAATACTAGAAGATTTTTCTCCATTGATTCCTCCAGTAAATCTTCAACACTCCTCCTCAAGTTGGAGCATGAATGGCATGAATGTCCAACTTGCCATTGAAATTTCAAATAGCAGCAAGTGCAAATGATGAAGAGGCGTAACAAGATGACCTCAATAAAAATGGATCCAAAAACGAGACGAATAACAGTAACCTCGATTGATGAAGAGGTGTAAGAAGACAACCATGTTAAAAAATGAATCCGAAATCCGAAACGAGTAACAGTAACCTTGATTGATGAAGAGGTGTAAGTAGACCACTTCAATAAAAATGGATTTAGAGATCCGAGAAGAGAACCAAGAATGGGTTTGATGAAAAAAGTGAAATAAACAAAGAACATTGCCTACTCTGATATCATGTTAAATTTTGGATGCAGAAATAAGAAATGTAAATAGGAAAAGGGAAGAGTGAAAGATGGAGAACACATCATATACATGGTTCGGCACTAAGGCCTACATCCATGGACACAGAAATATTTATAATTGAAAGGAAATTGACCGGATCACCATGATTGGTGGAGGATTTTGCTCCACAATTACATAGAAATATTTATATATATTTCAACAAATCTCCTAATCTATATTGGTTCAAACCTGCAAATTTCAATTTAGAAATATACAAATAATTTAATAGAAATTCATTATATAAATAGGGAATTTTTTTCGGTAAGTGAAATTGTTTTATATATATATATATAATATGTGCACATAAGTTTAACTCCTAATTTATACCAATATAAATTTGCAAATGTGAAAATTTTCTTGTGCAAAGAAAATATATATATATACATACATACAGTACACAGAGAGAGAGGGAGATCGTGAAAAAATTAAATGGTTGCTTCAATAAATGGTACACCAACAACTATGTTTTATTTATAAAAAAATATATAATTAATTGAGTCAAATGACGATCATCTCAAGGCATGGACTACGAACAAAGAAGATTTATATATTCTTCGCATAAAAGAGTTTAATTATATTTTTCTTTTTTGAGGACTAATCTTTGATTGCCTAATTTTTTACTATATTAAATTTTTTTTATTGTCTGTATAAGTTTTCATATATATATATATATATATATATATATATATATATATGAAAGTTGTAACAATATTGTTCAAAGTTAAGAGAAAGATTTTGTTTTTCTAATTTTTTTTAAGTAAATAAATTATTTTAAGAAGTTAATTGATTTTAAAGATATAATTTAGTAGTATTTTGGAATAAAATCTTGGAGGGTATTTTGAACCTGACTAATAGCATTTAATGCATATATAATTATTTTACATAATTTAATCAAAGTGAAAAATAAACTTTTAAAATAAATAATTTATTTATTTAAGACTCCTACCCAGTGTAATTTTCACAAAAATTAGTAGTTCATTAAGAAGAAAAACAAAATAGATGGATTTCTTTCTTTATTGCTCATCAATATTAATCAACTTATTTACTAATCAAATCTCAATAATTATTATGTCAAAGGATTATATAATGTCACTTCCAACATCCAAACCATAATGCATGAGTTCAGAATCTTAATTGTTCCTTTTGACTTCTCTCACTAATCGGACGGTCAGCATTAACATTACGTGAACACGAGATCTTCCTCGTGGGTCCCATTCTAACATCCACAGCACCACCGGTAGAGTTACCACGTCCGTCCGATCCAAAACATTTCGATTATCAATTCTTAAATCACACGTGTGATACATCCACGGTTAACCGCCATATATCCGTTAAAGGTGGCCCCGGAAATTTCACCACCAAAAGACAACACAAGGCAATTTCATCAGGATATTTACGTCATTTCGCAATACCTTAGACTTAAGAGACACTTTCTTGTCACACTGCCACGGTGCCACCTTCCACTCCTAGAGAGAGACACCGGAACCCTCTCTCTAGACACACTGTCCTTATTTAGAGAGGAACAGGTCTCTCTTTCAGTTTCTCTCTCTAAACTTCACTCTCTCTCTCTCCTTTGTCCCATCTCCGTCTGTCCGAAGCAACCAAACTCGCCGGAAAATTCATCTTCCGGCGAAAACAATGCAATTGAAATCAGAAATTTTCAAATTGTTTTGATAACGAATCAGCTGATCTCTTGATAACTATATATACAATTTGACGCATATATATAAATATATATATATGCTTCTCTGTCTAAAATGTCAGTATACGACGCAGCGTTCGTGAACAGCGAGCTCTCCAAGCCAACATCAATCTTCGGGCTCAAACTATGGGTGGTGATCGGGATATTCGTTGGAGCAATCATCGTTCTCATTCTCTTCCTCCTCTCTCTGTGCATCACCTCTCGCCGCCGCAAATCCCCCAAGCTCCACCGACCGATGAAGGTCAAAGGCGGAGGCGGCGAACTCACTCCGGTGGTATCTAAGGAAATCCAGGAGATCGTGCACGACGCCGCACCGGATCACCGCCCGCTGGTTCCTCAGGCGGTGCCGGAGATCCAGATCGACATAGGTAAGGCCGAGCACAGAGTGGTGTTCTCTGATCGGCCGTCGAGTGGGGAGAGCAGGTCCACTAGTGCGACGGATACGGCGTCGTTCGGCGGAGGTGGAATGCCGGAGGTGTCGCATCTAGGGTGGGGAAGGTGGTACACGTTGAGAGAGCTTGAGGCCGCTACCAACGGTTTATCTGATGAAAATGTGATCGGTGAAGGTGGTTATGGTATTGTGTATCAGGGTATATTGGCGGATAATACTCGAGTGGCGGTGAAGAATTTGCTGAATAACAGGTATTGATTTGCTCAATTCACTTGCATGTTCGATTCTGAACTGCTCTTCATATATCTGTATCTATTGTACATGTAAATTTATAGGTATACTATATATATAAACTATAGGTTTTGAGAAAGAAAGAAATTTGGTGAATTATTGGTTTGAAAATATGAACTGATAAAGATGATGTTTGATGCTGTGATATTAGAAGTTTTATTATAATGATTTACTGGGATTGCTTGATTCTTTGGTTTTGTTCATTATTTTGCCCTTTTATGTATAACTTGTGGTCTAAAGTGATTTGATTTCTGAAAAAAGGCAAAAAAATAATAATAAAAGAAAAAAAGAGCTTTCTTTTTCTTTTCTTCCATTTCTGTCTGGAATCAGACATAAATTGGCTGTTTTAAGATTCAAATGCAGTATTTAGTCAAATTTCAGATCAGATTAGATTAGGAAAAGATGTTGGAAGGTCAAGACTTTTATATCCATTTGAGTAGTATTGAACTGTTCTTCAGATTGCTTTATGCCTTCTGTTCCTGCTCTGCATAATCCTTGAATTTTTGTAATCCTTGAATTTTTGTTTTCCTTCCGATTTTTCCAATTTCTCTCATATTCATAAGCTCACGACACTGGTAAACTATCAGGGGTCAGGCTGAGAAGGAGTTTAAAGTAGAGGTGGAAGTAATTGGGCGTGTAAGACACAAAAACCTTGTCAGGTTGTTAGGATACTGTGTGGAAGGGGCTTACAGGTACTAATAATAATCTTCCAATTTGAATTTGAGCTCTGATTTTCTTTGAGAGTTGAGAAGCTTAACTTTCTTTTTTATGTATAATGTCTAATGTCTTTGTTGTTTAGGATGCTTGTGTACGAGTATGTGGACAATGGAAACTTGGACCAATGGCTTCATGGAGATGTTGGGGAAGTCAGCCCTCTAACTTGGGATATTCGAATGAACGTTATATTGGGAACAGCAAAAGGGTATCCATCGTGATCATTTAAATTTAGTTTTGTGTTTGTGTTTTCCAAACATTGCTTGCAAACATATAGCTCAATCTGTGTTTATGAACTTCTGTTCCAGATTGGCCTATCTTCATGAAGGCCTTGAACCTAAGGTTGTTCATCGTGACGTAAAATCTAGCAACATACTTCTGGATCAACAGTGGAATCCCAAGGTGTCTGACTTCGGGCTTGCTAAGCTCTTATATTCTGAGAGGAGTTATGTGACTACTCGTGTAATGGGAACATTTGGGTTAGTTTCCTTTTTAAAATTGTTTGTTCTTTTCCCTTGTAATAAACTAGTGATTTGTTTTTTCATGTTAATGAATGAATACAGTTGCAGAATCATTGATTTGTTCATTCAAGTAGGATAATAACTAATGTAGCTGTGGTTTATCTAGCTATGTTGCACCAGAATATGCTTGCACTGGTATGTTGAACGAGAAGAGTGATGTTTATAGCTTTGGAATACTTATAATGGAAATAATTTCTGGGAGAAACCCTGTTGATTACAGCCGACCACAGGGAGAGGTTAGCCTTTTAATATTTGTTGGAAGCTGTTATTTTCCCACCACTTTTACTGAGTTCCCGACATATAATAACAAAAACAATTAAATAATTGCAGGTGAATTTGGTGGATTGGTTGAAGACAATGGTAGGAAATCGAAAATCTGAGGAAGTGGTGGATCCTAAGTTGCCGGAGATGCCTGCTTCAAAAGCGCTGAAACGAGTCCTTCTGGTTGCTCTTAGATGTGTAGATCCTGATGCACTAAAGAGGCCCAAAATGGGACATGTTATCCACATGCTTGAGGCAGATGACTTGCTATTTCGTGATGTATGCTCCATTTCTTTCGAGTTTTTCCCTATTGTTTTATTTTTTCTCAAATTATGAAGTTGATCGTTCAACATAATAGAAATAGTAAAGTAGGATTATCTTTCCATTATTACTTGAAATCTCAATCCATTTATCTATTGTTTCTCTTAATTTTCAGGAACGGAAAATTGGTAGAGAACCTTCCCTTCCCCATCGTGATCATAAAGAAGTGAGTCACGCCCTAACAAAATTAGGTGATAAACAGTTTGGTGAAGGGACTTCTGACATCAGTGAAGGTGAAAATGGTAGAAACCAAAATCAGCAAACTAGGTGGAGATAACACCATGGGTGGACTATAATGGTTCGAGTTGCTCCTAATTTTTGAAGCTCAATTACTCTTATATATATATATATATATATATATATATATGTTTTCTTCTTATTAGTTTCCGGTGTTTTGCTGCACTGCCAATTCCTAATTTGTGATATTTTGCATTTCTTTTATGCTTAGTTTACATAGTTGGGATGCATTTGTATAATTCAAAGAATCAACTCACCATTCTTATAGAAATTATAAATCATTGATTGATATTGATTTGATTTTGTCATGGTGCCAATATCAGCATTATCTAAAACATGCTTTATGTTGTGCTCCTTTACTTTGATTTTCGGTTGGGCTTTCGTAATCTTCAATCTAGCTGTGTCACTGTCTCCATCTACATCTGTTAAGGAATAAATTGGTTAGCATGCATTAGTGGGAACAAAAACTTTAAGCTTTTATAGTCACTTTGTGTAATCATGCGGACATTTGACCCTCCCCAGAGCCTGCAATGGCGAGAGTCTTGTGCAGTGAGTTTGCCCTTTTTTTTGTCGTCTACTTCATGCTGCATGGTCGGGATAAACACTAGGTAATAGTATGGGTATCGGTCAGCATCACAACTAGCAGCGTTGCGATTGCAAAAGCATGCTAGGTAGGTTACAAGGTAGGGCCAGTAACAGCTATTAGGATTGAAGAATTCTTTCATTAGCATCACTGCCAACTCGAGAATTGGTTGGTTATGTGAAATGGACCCATGAGCCAGCTAAATTTGTTCTAGCAGCTGATGTGGAATCCATTGTGTCCCCCTGGCCATTTTGTCTTGGTCATACCAGCAAAGGTGGGCCTTCATCCACACATGGTTTTTATTTCACCTTCAATGCCAGAACATACATTATTTTGCCTGTGGATAGCAATAGCATCACTCTTACTGTGATTTGAGGTCAAATCAATATGCATTATAGCATATGTATCTGTCACTTGGCCTACTTTTAGGTGAGTCCCAAACTGTGCCCATCATGTCCCACAACATTATACTAATAGTTTAGTTGGACTAAGCCTCCTGCATTAAGGAATTTGAAGTCATTTTTATACAAAAGCATTACTGTTTCTCAAATCTTCTTTAGTTGTTCTTTCTGTGATTTGTTTAGGGATAATGATTTGAAATCTAAAGGCGCGTAGATACTCATGTTGTCATGATGTTATTAATATTTGTTACATGACATCTGCCCTAGTATAAAATTTGTTAGACTGTCCAATTCTCTACGACTCTTTTGTTTAATAAGGTTCAAGTTTGTTGCTTGTTAAGAATAATTTGATTATAAAAAATGATACTCCGTAGTATTTAATCCGATTAGGTGGGCCCAGTGTCTGCAGGGATCGACTTGTTTTTGGCCGTTGGATGCATTGTGATGGGACCTTAAAAAACAAGTTGGTCCCTGGCTTGGGTGATACTGCTCTTTGATTATTTATTTTCGCTCTGTTTTCTGGCCTTTTGGAAGGTACCTACAAGTTGCAGACATGGGTTAAGAAAAGTAATTGAATTTTCTGGCACCACAATTATACAGCAGATGCTTATTGTGGAAAAGAGTGTGCATTCATGTGATGTTTTAATGGTGGTTTGAGGGAAGTGAAAAGAATTATTAAAAATCTGACGATGACTGGTAGATAATGAATTTCTTAGGACAAATTGTAGATAACCAAGTCAACAAGGTATACAGTAACATGATATGTGTGTGTGTGTGTGTATATATATGTAGAGAGAGAACACTGCCAACTGCCAAGAAACAAGGGCATAATCAATGGCATTCGAATCTTATACTGTCAATGTTGGTGCTGAAATGATTATTACATCTATTGTCAAACACATTTATTTATATATATATTTTTAACAGTGTGTTGAAGAAAAATAAATGTAACGAATTGAAAAGTGTATCGGAATTCGGACTTGTGGTCAATGATGCCTTCCCAAATTCTCACGTTAACTCCTATATCCTCAAGTGGCCTTACGTTTCATTCTATGGTCCATACACTGTATTGGTTGGATAAGAACATCTAAGAAGGAATAACTAAATGCAACTTTCTTTATGCAATGCATGATTAATAAATATTGAATGTATAAGTTTTGCCAAACTAAAAATTGAGATAACACCAAGGTTTCAAGGATGTAAGAGAAAACAAAAAAGCCTTTCAAATCTGTTGGCCAAACAGAAACCAAAAGAAAATAAATTAGAACACCACGCCCAGGGGATAAAGTACACTGCACATCCAAACGGTCGGTTGGGTAGTAGTTCAAAAGCTCTTACTCTCCGTGTTTGACTATACAAACACCCAACAAGGTTTTATTCTTGGATATGGTTATAAAGGAGATTATGGATTTTTGTCGCACAATTCGTCTCAATATGTGTCATTTTTACATCATGCGTGCTTTCTCGTTCAAAATTTTAATACTCATGACTTAATTATGTCGCTCTCACGTTCCCTCTCTCAAATTTGCTCACACTTTATTTGACTTAAGTATGGATCTCCAAAATTGTATTGGTGCTGTAATTTTTTTTTAATTTTTGATGTACTTATATATATTGCCGACATATTTTATTTTACTTTTTAACACAAAAAAAAAAAATATATATTGTTGAAACACAAAAAAATAATGTTGAAACTAAAAATAATGACATTGAAAAAACATTTCAAAACACTAAATTTGAGTTTCGAAGTTCAATGCATTTATTATAAATTTCAATAAATGTATTGGAATGGAATGGGAATGGGAATGGGAATGGAGGTGAGAATGGAATGAAGTGGAAATAATGATTCTCATTCTCTTGTTTGGTTGCAAACATGTAATGGAATGTAAAAAAATAAAATGATAATTTCCATTCACTTGTTTGGTTGGACTAAAAATTAAAATGGAATGAATTTATATTGTTTTACCTTTGTCATGTTTTCTCCAAATTACTTTATCATTAATAATAAAAAAAAAAAAAATTAACTAAAAATTTAACATCAAATTTTTTCCAATCCAGTGGTTAGAAAGAGGTATGTAAGAATGAAATTGGGGGCAATAGATAGAGAGAAGAAAGAAACTGACGGATCCGATTTGATCGGCGGTGACGAACAGCGATGATCCAAGCTCCGTTACAAACTTCAGTGCTTTTGGAAAGATTCGATTTGGAAAGAATAGTGATCCGATTTGGAAAGAATGGTGATCTGATTTACAAACTTCAGTGCTATCGAACAAGGGTGAGGATGGATCCGATTTGGAAAGAATGATTTCAGCAATTCTTTCACAAAATTAATGAGAGAATCACGAAAAAGCTTGCTTTTGGGTCCTATTCACTGTTTGCTTCACTCAGATTTACTTTTGATTTTTTATTGTGTCTTGGTCCATCACTTTGAAGTTCAAGATCAATATTATGTTGGGTTGGGTTGGGTTTGATAGAGGAGATGATGATGCCGGCGGTGGGTTTGATGGAGGAGATGATGACGCCGGCGGTGGGTTTGATGGGGGTTTGATATAGGAGATGATGATGTCGGCGTGGATTTGTAATTTGTTAGGTTTTATTTTTTAATATTTTTTTAGTTTGTATTTTTTTAGAGTAGGAATGAAATGGTCATTCCTTTTGTGAAAAAGGTGGAATGATTTTGATGGAATGATTATGGGAGAATGACGATTTCAAGTTTAAAATTGGACACCAAACATAAGAATGGAATAAAAATCATTTCATTCCACTTTCTTTGTATTTCAATCCACCGCACCAAACTAGCCTTAAAATGTGTTAAAAACATGTTACATTAGGCTCCATTTGTTTGGATGTAAAATATTTTTCAGAAAATATTTTTTTATTTTTTGGTGTTTGGTTGTCGTAAAATATTTACGAAGAAAAAAAATATTAAAATTTAATAAAAATAATTTATCCGTAAATTTTCGGCAAGATGGACTCGACCTCAATCCTTTACCAAATACCGACAAAGTAAAAAAATAAAAAATAAAAAATAAAAAATTTTCTAAAAAGAATATTTTACGTCGAAACAAATCGGAGTCAACAAAGGAAATGAAAAAAAAAAAATGGTGATAATTCTCGATGAACAACTGAAAAACCTCTCATCTCTTTATAATTAAGGAGGAAAATAGTAAATTATATCTTAGTAGTGGCTCTCAGTGTGTGGGAAAGAGATAATTCTTTTTTAATGAAAAAGAAAATGTTACAGGAACTTCTAGCTCATCCAACCAACTGCCTTCAGAAAGCCATTGTTTGGGCTCATTCCTTGCAATTCCTTGAGTTTTGGTTTGAAACGGACTCAACCGTAGTTTGCAAATCTATGCTACACTCTCACAGTTTAATTTTTGATATTCCTAGCGTCAGATGTTCTTTCGTCATGTGAGATGTGAGTAGGTATGACAACGATGTTGTTGCTCGTGCCACCAAAAATTATAATTAATATATATATAATAATAAATTGGATTTGATGTATATGTATATATATATATATATATATATATATATATATTTGTAAATTTGATGTATTATAATAGATTTATACAAAAAACAAAATTGGATTATTTATTTTTAACTTATAAAAATATATCCCTAATAACAATCCACCACTGTTATGCTGGACCCTATATAATTTTTACAAATCTACTTAATATATAATTGATTTGTTAATAGAATGAAAAAACTACTTAATACTTAATTTTTACAAACTTACTTAATATATGATTGATTTGTTAATAGAATGAAATCTACTTAATATAGGGTTGATTTGTTAATGGAATGAAAAAACTACTTAATATATCATTTTTACAAACCTACTTAATATAACCTACTTAATATAGAGTTGATTTGTTAATGGAATGAGAAAGCTACTTACATTTTTACAAACCTACCTAATATAACCTACTTAATAAAGAGTTGATTTGTTAATGGAATGAGAAAACTACTTAATACATGGTTGATTTGTTAATGGAATGAGAAGTAGGAAGGAGATACATAACAATTTTACATATTGGTGGTGTAGCAATGTTTCTTAACATAATGCCGGAGCGGTTGTGTGTGTGTATATATATATATATATTTTATGTAAATTTGATGCGTCATAATAGAATTATAAAAATTTTAGATTATTTATTTTTATCTCCAACTGTTGTTTTATACCTTTTTATAAAAATATATTCTCAATAATCCCACATAATTTTTACAAACCAGGTTGATTAATGAGAAAAAGATAAAATAAAGAAAATATGTTGATATAGTTATGTAAAAAGGTTGTATAAAATTCACAA